ATTCGCCAACGGATCAAGAGAAGAGATATTTAGAAAGGAAAAAAACGAAATAACACCCAAATATTTACTTGCAAGCTTAGAGGATTGAAAGGATTGACAAGAGAAGAGGAAAGAGAAAAGAGAGAAGAGGAAGAGAAAATTAAAAACAAGAGGGAAAAGAGTGGAAGCAAGAATAAAGAGAATAACGAAAGTATTTAAAGAATTTGAAAGGAAAATATGTGGGAGAAACAAATGATATCATTGTGGGTTGTATTGGTGGTGTTAGGCTCAATAATATCGTCTGTTTTCGACATTGCTGCATTATTTACAAATTCTTGGGGCGTTACAAGTCTAACCTATCAAAAGTATTCATGGGGATTATGGAAGGTAAGAGAAATAAATATATGTATATATGATATTTGTTATAAATTAGCATGAATAGCATATACTGTATATCCAATATAATATTTTTCTTACCTGTTCCTTTTATTCAATCTATAGTTTTGCAATGAATCAAAAGTGACAGCCGAAAGAGAATGTTTCAAAATTAACGAAAAATACGATCACGGTATTATAACTCTTATTATTTTTATTATTATTATCGTATTTATGGCAGGTTTTCTCTATATTTGTACTAATTAATTGTTTGAACGCAAAAGCGTTCAGAGGCAAATAGATCTAAATACCCTAGATATTAGTAAAAAAACGATTTACTTGAAATAATCAATTATACATTATTTAACAAAATACAATTTATGACTGAGAGGAGAATAACAAAAATAGATGTGACGTCATTAGTTGGAGAATTTTTCGATTCTCTTCTTATTGTTTTTATGAAAAAAAGCTGAAAAGGAAAATATATACAATTGTTAAATAGAAAACGTGAATTCTATAGTTTTTAATGGAAACAAATATTGTTCAATAATAAGCAGATAAATTAATAAAAGCACATTTTCGAAGGTGTCAATTATTAATATAATTATAAATCATTCGGTCCTTTAAAGTGTTCTCAATCTAAAAATAGACTAATTCTTTTTATTACAAATTGCACAAATACTGCATATATATATATATATATTATTTTCTCTTGTTTTACTCTCTATTTCTTATTAGATTGGATATATCTTGCTCAAGGTGTTGATATTCTGGCAGCTCTGTTTGGTCTTTGTTCCTTCTTCACTTGTATGGCTTTAATGTGCAGCCTAAAGCTAGATTGGATTAGCAGCAGATTGGCAGTGGTTATAATTGTACCAATAAGCTTTGCTGCAGGTATCTATCCAAACAACCAACTTTATAACGGATTAAATATACTTTAATAATTAATCATCTTTCTTTACAGCATTGTTCAATTTAATTTCTAGTGCTGTTTTTGGTGCAAACTTATCAAATGAGTTTCAAGCTCGCATTGAATTTTCTCAAATATTCAACATAATTTCAACTATACTCTACACGCTGAGTGCTATCTTCGCCATCTTTGACCTTCAAAATGTATGCCTTAAAAAACAACCGACCGGAAAAGGTCTCATTAGACCTATTTAATTAAAAAAACAAACAGAATAAAAACAAAACAAAAGTCACAAAAAATGAAATAAGAGGCAAATTAGCTCTTATACAATTTACACTATCAAGATTCTATTGACATGTGAAAAGACACTATGAAATATACTGATATTAGAGAACAGTATTGACTGGATATGAGAAACAAAATGTAGAATATAGTATATACGTACTACTTGTAATAATAATATACAACTGTTTATACCGTGAAATCCTCGTTACGAACTTTTTACTTAGTATATGCAGTGTATAAACTAGCTACAGCAGCAAAAATTTTGCCCTTTTTTGATTTTGTAACAATGCATTTATACTGTTTCCAATCATGCGTACTCAATGAATGATATTATTCCAATAAAAAGAACTTATTTATGTAACCGTATTTTGTGTGAATTGGGTCATATTAGATTTAAAAAATCATATACACTATTAAGGTTTTTATTATTATTCTATCTGTCTATGAATGTATCCGACTCTCGCCCTCTTTCATCATTTCTATTTTCTCCCTCTTTCACAACAGATGGCGCACGTATCAAAAGAAATTAGTAACTTCAACTGCCTAAAAAAATAATTATGAAAAGAAGAAATGTTTTTAGCTGATTATATCGCGTTGTCATGGAAATTATCAAAATAGAATACTTTGAAATATACAAGAATAGTAAAAGTGAATAGTTTCAACAATCTTGAATCAATAATTACATTCTTGATAGTGAAAAATTTCAATAATCTTTTATTTATACATACATAGACGCAATGTATGAATCGATATAGTATACAAAAAATTACTATCAACTGTAGTATATGGATTGTAGACTCATTCGATAAACATTTAAACTGAATGTCCATATTGACAATAGCAATACAACACTAGAATCTTTAGAATTTCTTATTACTCTTCCTCTCCTGCAAAATGAGATTGAAAAGGTTAACATGGTCTTTAAACTTTTCTCTCTCCTTGAATTCTTTAAATAGAACGGTTCGAAGGAGATTTGGAAATTATATAAACTTTATCTCTATTGAGGTAAAATCAAATTTCCTCACTAAAACACAATTTATTCTGAATTTCCTCATACATCTGTTGTTCCTTTAGATGAATGAAATACAGTAATAAGCACATTCCTATAATTAAATGTATCTAAATATTTGGATATACGCGTAAAAAATATTGTATATCTGTTATATTCTCTTAATCCGATAGATGACTCTTTAAAAGAGAATAAGCATTATTAACCATATTAATACTAAACAATCATATACAGCAGTATAATGTACAACGTTTTATGCTGTATACTTTGCATATTAATTCTTCAAAGTCACTTTCCAACACATGGTGTAAAAAATATGGCTATATTAAAGATAAATGAAAAAAAAAGAGGTTATTAACCTATTACCATTATCATTTAATTAATCCGGAAATTATGTTAAATGATATAAACATATTACAATTTAATGTATTAGAATTTTTATAATATTTATATAAAAGTAAAGGTTGCATCTTTACCTTTTCAATTTTAAAGAGTAGATTCAACACTAAGTCGAATTTTAACAGGAATAAACCATTTATATTCAGGTGTAAATAATCAAGTATTGGTTATTTACGCTTAGAGAGAAATTGATTTAAATATATCAATCAACTTTTAAGCGGGAAAGAGTATCGTAATACTTTAAATATGAACTTTTTCATAGAAATGTCAATAGTTTATTAAGATTAATAGATATATTCTTTGGAATTATTAGTCCAATTTTCATAAAAACACATAGGTCGTAAAGTTATAAACTTTGCATCGAAGGAGAGGCAAGCACCCTCGTGAAATATTTAAAAAAAATTCAACCAGCTGACGTTCTCATTTCTATATTTATTCTGATTTTTTCAATAAACATTATCTGTTAATGAATATTATGATTTATTAAATGCTGTTTTTTGCATAATTCTTTTGTAAAACACCCTTTAAAAAATGACTAGTAATAGATTAATTCATCCGCTTTTGGTAGATATCGATGGAAATCGACCTTAGTAAAGTAATAGAGGTCAATAAATTTGGATAGATTGAAAATAGACGTGAAATTGATGCTTAATCAATTCTCATTTCATTTGAGAGACGGAAATTCATTAATTAATGAACAGTTCTGTTCAAATATCTCTCCTAAGGGAATGTTTAATCAAACAACAATTTATACACAAATAAACCATACAGATGTCACCTCTTTTTCTCCTTAAAGCTATTAACTTTTTCTACTCGTAACATTAAACAGAAACAGTGGAAAAGAGAAATATCGCTTATTTTCTCAAATTCGTAAAAAGGGAAAGAGAGGAGATGAGGGGATAAGTGAGTGAGGGAGGGCAAAGAGAGAGGAAGAGAGGGAGTGAGTGTGTGCGTGTATGAGTGGGCGAGTGGATAGATTGAAAACACATATTTTCAATTGAATACCCAAATATTAAAGATAAAAAAGTATTTCCTTCTGTTTAAATTTTTACAAAAGTTTCATTTATTCCAAAAAAAAGAAGAAAAATAAAACAAAACAAAAAATATTCCTAAAACAGAGAAGTTTTTCAGAAAATTGAAAATATCAAATTGTTAAACCTGTTTTTTTTTCTTTCCATACCTATATATTAACAGATATATATTTTACATATATAAATATATATAAAACAATCATTCTTACATTTTCATTCCTAAATATAAAAATATCTAAGAGGGATCTTTCATTCGTTACGTCCAGATTTAAGTTGCATATAAACAGTATATATATATATATATATATATATATATATCTAATAATACAATATATTCAGATATTCATAAAATAAATATATAGTTATTAGTACCTGACTCATTATTCCTATGCAGTATGTCTATGAATTTAATATATTTTTATATACATATATATACTATATATATATATATATATTAGTACAATATAGTACATAAAGATAAAAGTTATATTTCGTGTATTGCTGGCAACAGGAAACGGTCGACTACAACTGCAAGAGTCAACAAAACAAGCTTAAATTTTCTAGAAATCCGAATATGAAACTCCACTACGTTTGGTTGCAAAAAAACACTACAATCAAGTGCTACAGCAAAGAAAACTGCAAAGAGAAATAATAGTAAGATATTTTTTTAGCCAGAAACAGCCTTGATTTTAGACGGGGGAACAGATGGCGTTGGCATCGAAATATTTAACAGTAATGTAGATCTACTAAGCTATGACTACTATTTTCCAGTGCTAAACTGCCTATGATCTTGCATCATAGTGTTTTTAGTTCGCCTGTTTTATTTCCTCTAACTGCTGTTTTTTATACAGGCACCGAAAAACTCGTAGTTTCCCAATGAAAACAAAATATAGAACTAGTCGCCTCGTAAATATATATATATACATTAACATATATAAAAAAGTAACGCCTTCTGAAAGTCCATCTAATAATTATGTTGCCTTAATGAGGCCTATATAAAACTATAACATTGCTAAGATATAACTGGTTCTATTGAATTGAGGTGTTTGTGTTTTTCTGCGTGGCGTCTCATACCGGCGTTTGTCTCCACATTTGAATGACAAAGCAAGCATTTATAATAAAACTTCTTATGTTGTCTAGAGTGTTGCTGAAGTTCAACACCAGTTACACCGGTAAAAAAGCAACCTCTAACCAAACATCGATAAACTGGGCCCCAATTCTGACCGTGATCTCCACTTGCTGCAACGCAAGCATAAGCAGCATCGTGCACCTCTACAGCCCCACCAACATCGGGAAGTTCATGCTGTTCGATCACGTGATTGTGGGCGGAACCCTCGAAAACGAAGAGTTCATGGCACTCAACACAGACGTAAAGGCGCCTGTTTCTTTGAAAAACAGGATCCGAACGAACATGGCAGTATTGCTCCGTTGAATTCCGTCGAGATGACGGAATTTTCCTAAGATTCTGCATATGGTTTTGTAAATCTGTATCCGAAATAAGAACTTTTGGCATACTACGTTCTACTCTTTCAACTAGTAAACGACTTTTGCTAAGTTTCTTCGTTATACGCCAATAGGGATGATTGCATATAATATGAGACTTGAATGATGAATATGTTCTCGTTCGAAAAAAGCAAAGAGAGCATTCCATAACTTCATGTGGTGATATGACAAAAAAGTTTATATCGATCTTATCTTCCGTGGAAGAGGTTGGTGAAGAGCCACCAGAATCCAATCCAAAGTATCTTTCCTCCTCTACGGAATCTACACTAATAGGCGAATCGGGTAGTTCCAGATGAGCCTGTTTAAGGAACGGTTCATACCATTCAGTTTCACCATCGTCAGTAGGAGAGGGAGTGGGAAAAGACTTTTTATGTTTTACAGCTAGTCGTTCCTCGTTTCCCTGAGGGCAACGTAGCATCTGCTCTAAAAGAGAGGCGGATGATGAATTCGAAGATTTCCTAGGTGTCGGCGAATTACAACAATAAGTATGATCTGTCACGTAGTTTGTTGATATTTGACGTTCCATATCGTTGAGTAGGCCGACGGCATCCTCAAAGATGTCATCTGGGACGAGTTGATTGTCAAAGAGGTGATCAGTCGCGATATCCAAAAAGTCGCAGTCGATCGAAGGTGGTATGTCGAGAGATAATTCATCCTTTATAGGTTTTTTTAAGTGTTCCGTTAATACACGTTTTAATAGTGATTCTTCCTCTTTTAGTTCAACGTGGTCGTCTATTGAAATGGAAACATTTTTAACACGTGTATTACAACAGAGAGTATCGAATTCGTAACATGTCAATCTTTACAATGAGTTGTGTCCTCTACGCTTGACTTATAGACTAATAGACATGTCTCAGACAAAAAGGGTGGCACTTACCGACAACCTCCGTCTTTATTTTAAAGATCTCGTTCTCATCGCCCATCTGCTTCAAAAATCTACCTATTAAAGAAAAATGATATAGTGTATCTCCGTCTTATCCATTATCTATACTAATCTACTAACTAATCTGATACAGAATAAAAAAAATACAATTTCAAGTAGCTTTGGGCCTTAAAGGCCTATTTCAATTGTTAGTTGTAAAAAGTATGACGAAAAAGGTCATGCATTTGCCAATTGAAATCAAGGACAAACTATTTGGCTTTTATTTAGGCGTCGTCTCTAACAAGGCCTATGTTCATTATAGAATCAGGGTCATCAACCTGACCTCCATAAGCCTATTGGACCTATTATCGCCCTACAGAATAACCGACCGATTTAATTTTTATGAAAGGACATGTCTTAGACTAGTCATCAAATTTTAGATTGAAATTAAGAAATAAGTTTACCGTTAATTTTACATAGAATAGAAAAGACTTACCAGATAAAAATAGCGATGCCTGCGTGTTTATTTTCCGCAAGCGTGCTAGAGCTTGCGTTTCACGTATTCGACAGAGGTTACCCGGATGCTCTTAATAATTTATTCATTTAATTTAAATTTTTTTTTTCTTTTAAATATTCTTTTTTTATTTTCTTAGTTATTATGTTAAACGCTTTCTATTAAATTTATTCCTTAATATCATAGGGTTTCGTTTTCCAATCCTCAAAAGTTATCCAACAATTTCCCAATTTCAATATAGTATTACAGAAACCAGTCTATTGTCGTCTGCTACTATTTTTAGCGGCTAAAATCTCGGTTATCTCAAAAATATCATATAAGAACGAGTTATATACTATTTTACCCAATAACAGGGTCTTTAAAAGTATGTTAAAAACCAATTGAATCAAACTTTTACTTTATTATCCCAATAAGATCGCTACTAATTGATTATTTATTTTACGAAAAAAGGCGGGAAGTTTGAACGTCTCTATTATAAAAAGATGGATTCTTCAATGGAAATCGAAACTATATCAGAATCAGTTAAGAATGATGAACCCTCTAACGAAACAAATAAATCTAAACAGAAATCGAACAATTCTAAACTTCCGTGGTAAGTTAAAGTAAAAACAAAAAAAAACGAACCCAAAGTATTAAACGAAATACTTTCCATGCCAATGTCTTGATTGTGAGGTTTTTTTCAAGAGAAGGAACTCTTAAAATTTATGTTGCTTTATATACAATTTAGTAGAGAGGATATAGCACAAATTGGATTTCGCTGTTAGCTTAATTAAATATCCATTCGAAACCACTAAAAATTGCATTAAAAAGCCTAAAAAATGTCAAATGAATTTCAGGGTTGAAAAGTATAGACCAAGCAAGCTACATGAAGTTGTTGGAAATTCCGAAACAATAAAACGATTAGCCGTATTCGCCAAGAACGGGAACGTTCCCAATGTCATTATAGCCGTTAGTTCATTTCCCTTATTAAAACGATTCAAAGAAAGCTTATTGATAATTCCTTCACAGGGACCACCAGGGACAGGAAAAACAACAAGTATACTATGTCTAGCCAATGAACTATTAGGTGATCTTTCAAAATCAGCCGTTTTAGAATTAAATGCATCACACGATCGGTAAAACTAAAATAAATTTTCCCCTCTTCCTTTTATATATTCATTATTGTTTTGGCTCCAGAGGAATTGATGTAGTAAGAAATAAAATCAAGATGTTCGCTCAAAAAACTGTGAATCTACCTCCAAACAGGCATAAAATCATTATTCTGGACGAAGCTGATAGGTTTGACAAACAGGAAACTATATTTATTAAATAAGCATTTTGCTAAATATTTTAGTATGACTATGGGAGCTCAACAAGCTTTGAGAAGAATTATAGAATTGAATTCGAATACAACAAGATTTGCCTTGGCTTGTAATGCTTCTGACAAAATCATAGGTATTCTGATATTTAAATAAGATATTGATCTTGAAGCTCTATTTATTTTGATAGAGCCTATTCAATCAAGATGTGCTATGCTTCGCTACTCCAAATTAAGCGACGCCCAGATACTTGATAGAGTTTTAGTTGTATGCCAGGAGGAAAACGTAAAATATACGGATGATGGTTTAGAAGCTATTGTATATACAGCTGAAGGGGATATGAGACAGGCATGAATTTTTTATTCTGTTTCTCTATTTTTAAACTTGAAACTATTAAATGTTCCTTGTTTAACACTATCATTCTATAACAGGCCTTAAATAACCTACAATCAACCTTTGAAGGATTTGGTTTTGTGAATAGCGATAACGTGTTCAAAGTTAGTCCTATTAAGATATTTATTGGCTATCCAATATCGCATGGTTTATATTTTTGTATTCTATTTTCCAGGTGTGTGATGAACCGCATCCAAATTACGTAAAAAATCTGTTGACACACTGTGGAAAGTCAGAGTTTGACAAGGCATATGAAATAGTTTCATATCTTTGGAATCTAGGTTATTCTCCCGAAGATATTATAACAACAATAATGAGAGTATGCAAAACTCACGATATGCCTGAATTTATGAAATTAGACTTTGTTAAAGAAATAGGGTTAACTCATATGAAAGTTATTGAAGGTAACGGAAGCTTATTGCAAATGGCCGGATTATTGGCTAGATTATGCAAAGTTGCTAATCCGGTTTGAAGAGTTGATCGATTCATTATTGAACTATAAGCTAACGAGGAAATGTGTTCCATCGATTTTTTTCGATCAATCTTTTTGCTAACCTTTGTCCATTTTTTATATTACCGACTCCTAATCTATCCTTGAATTTTACATATATAGCATACATTATATATCTATATATAAACGTATATATTTATGTATATCTATACATTATATATAGCTCTAAGCAAGAAAACGAGCATCATTTTCATATTTTTTTACATCTATATAAAAACAATATCTGTCTTTTAAATATAGAACTACGTAATAACTCATATACATTTTTTCTTTATTACCAGAGGTCAAGTACGTCCTCTTTTACTTATCATTGTCCTTTTAGAAAACAGGTGGCTGACTTTCTTTTTTTTTTTTTAATACTATACTGAAATCATTAATTACGTTTTTTACTCTCTTTAATTCTCTACTATCTTACTCTTATAAGAATATATAGAAAAACAAAAAACAATTACCTATTATATTCTTCTCTTGAAGTACCGCCTCCTTCTTTTTAATTTACAGTAAATTATCTGCTAAATAGCCGATACAAATACTTAGTGACTTGAATTTTGATAACGTTAGCCGCCTGTCCTAAATTAGGAACAACTTGTAATACCTTTTTTCAACTTTCTATTAATAGTTTAATTATGTAAATGCTATTAAATATATACAATATTTGAAAATATTAGGTGTATGCTATAATATTAATCTTTAATAGGAATTTTTTAAAAGAAAAGAGTTCAGTAAACTTTTTCCATGGCAAGTTAAAATAAGCAAACAGACCATTAAACAAATAAAATAAAATCAACTGACTTTCGGACAAAACGTCCTTGTAGAGGATAAAAATTTTAAAAATTTCTCTTTTCTTATATCTACTAACGTCTTTATTTTAGTTCAATTATAAAAAAAGTGCTATTTCTTTAGAGGTAAAAAACCACTTTATATTAATTATTTAATATATCACTTTGCTTTCCTTAACAAACTTTATAATTAAAATATTAAGAGCGAATGGAATCAGATCACAATCGAATTTTAGGCTTTAAAAAGAGAATGTTACAATGTATAAGCATTATATTGATACCTTCTATACAGTATATCATAAGGATATAAAGTCGATTAATCTAACCGAGAAAATAGGGAGAATAAAGGTCTTCAAAACTGTCTGCTCTCCTGGCTTTTAGGCTATTTGTTTAATTTTTATGTTCGATCGATCTTATCACCCTTTAAATAACGTAAAACAAATATTTCTTCTCTCATTGCAATAAGTCCCATTATAAATTAGTTGTATTCCTTAATATTTCTTACATTAGTACAGCAGTATTTCTATATGTCTTGGTATATACTAATAGATAGAACAGTGCACTTTTCAAACATACTACGCATTTTTTTGCATTATTTTCTAATACATTAAATATATACAGTATATACAATTTCGTATAAAGGAGAAGTTATATATTGCATTTATCTCTTTTGATTTTCCTTCAATCATTCCCCTTTCATCTTTCCTTTCAAAATGAAATTTACGACAGTTTTTCCATTCAAGTAATTTGTGACCAAAAAGAAAATAAACAATGTTTAAATAGTTGATTGCCATTAATAAATCTCTCTCTTTTTAAAGATAAATACGAAGAACAATAACATTTTCTAACTACTAGAAGACCCATACAACATATTGAAAGTAGAAAATAGAGGTTATTTTCTCTTCTTTTTTCATTTCCCTATGTTCTTTACTTAGCTTTGTCTTTTTTTTTATAAAAAAAAAAACCATACTAAACACGTTGCAAAACTGTTGTAAAACATATCATTTAATGAGCTATTAAATGTACTTTTATTAATGTATAGGCAATATTAAACACGATAAAAGTGAAAAATAATAATATATACAGTATATATATACAGTATATATATACAAATATATAAAATCTAGCGAAAATCTATTGAAATTTGTTAAGATAAAAGGTAAAAAGTAAACCAAAAGGTTGTTAATACAATTACTATAGATGCAAACAAAATAAGGAGTGTTTAAAAACAGCTGTACAGTTCGACATTTATCAACAATAAGTCACGTTTGCGACTGATTTCCCAGATGTATATACTTTAAAGGTATAAGATCTCACAGTGCATAGTTTTCTTTTATTTTAAAAATTGAATATATTTACATCTTATTATACAATAAGCAAAGTTGTAAAACTGTATGATTGACAACGGATTACAAGGAAGAGAAAATATTGTCTTTTTTTTTAGTATTGCTATTAAAAGATATTAGGGCATATGGGAAATATCTCATACAAGACAAAGGATACATACTATATATTATATACTATATATCTCTATTTATACATGTTTAGTCTGTATATATTTATAGATTTGCATGCTTCCCTCATTATAAGAAAATACTGTATATATACTATACATTATAATAGTTTCGTGTCTGTCTCTCTCGCTCTGTGCGTATCAAGCAAGAATTTCACGATTAGTCCCTTTGATATATGATTATTTCTTTTGTAACAATCACAAGCAGATTACCTTTTAATATACAAATAATAGATATCTGTATTTCTTTTTAAAACGACTTTGTGATGTAGGCCTGTTTAACCTCTATTCTATTAATGTGAATAGGAGCAGGTCAGAGTATTGTTTATGCTTTTCATGAAAGGTTAACTAGAGATTTTAGTAAAAGGGAAAGTTTTCGCCAATTAGTTGCTACCAGAAACGAGAGATTTTTTACTTTTGTCTCGACTAACATCATCAGTTTCCCTTTCTCTTTCGTCTTCTTCTTCTTCTTCTGCTTCGACTCTAACTAAAAGTGGGATACGTAGTAGGAGAATATAACCTTTGAAGTTGTATAATAATAAGTTAGTTGCTGTATATTAATATAAATCAGCCATTAGATTTATTTCATTAAAACTATTAATTATCTTCTCCCCCCAGGTAGTTTATCTTGAAATGTTAAGTTAAGAACTTTAAGATTTGTAGGACATCTAGTTAAAATATTAATCACTTATCATATTTGAATATGAAATTCTACAGATTCTATAGATAATAATAATACAATTTAGATACAGAAAAGAACATATAAATGAAACAACTAGGCTATATTCTATATATTTTGACCTAAATATATCAAAAAAGAGCATTCTTAATAACTCTCTATTTACCAGTTTCTTTTTATGTATCATAAACGTAACCAAACTGAAAATTACTTGTAATGATTATTGTAGTATTATTAATTTTAGCTTAATGTAGTATTTCCTCAATAACCATTCCTACTCTTTGTCTATCTTGTTCAGAGAGGATATTTAATATTAGGCCAATTAAATAGGTAGAAATTTAAATAATTTTCTATGTGCTATATATGAGATATTAATCTATTTCCTGTCATTCCTCACCTGTATTATCGCTCCACACGCATGAATTCTCTTAAACGTTTTTATCATGGTATATCATTATATTCTAATAAATTTTTACTTGCATTCGAATGTGAATCTTTTTCAAATATATAACTAAAGAGTTCGTTAATAGAAATCTAATATACCAATTGTGTTTTTTATATAAAAATAATTGTGTAGTTCGTTGTCAATACACCGAAAAAATGCATTCCATGACCTTTTTTAGCTAACGGATTCATTATCAAAAAGACCGTCCGAAAAGTAAATCGAAAGAATTTAATTTACGCCTACATTAGTTTGTTTTTATTGACGTTGATCCACCACGAATTCTTGGCTTACTATTGGGTTTCGTCGTCTTGGAAAAATCCTAGTTCAAATTACCAATCGGAAAATGATGTGAAAATCTTATTTTTGGCGGATCCACAATTGTTGAACGACGAAGAAAATTCATGTTTGTCTAATTTGGCATTATGGGACTCTGATAGGTAAGAATACGTTAATAAAAGATACTATATAATAAATAGGTATTAAATTATAGACATGTAGAGAAAGGATACAAATTTTCCTTATAAGCTCAATTAGAATTTTCATTTGCTATTTATAAAGATAGAAACAGAGTGAGATGAATGCGGATATTTAAAAAAAATACTAGATGGCACTGTAGTTTAATGCTAGATTTATCTCTCTCTCTCTCTCTCTCTCTCTCTCTAAATAATTAAGTTTTTTCTTCTTGTTAATAGTCACCTGTCAATAAAATTCAATATATTATTAATGGAATATTACAAAAGAAAATTTTGTGTAGGGAACAAAATCTTTATAATAATTGACGATGAATTTAATTGATATAAACATTATAGAAATAAGGAAATCGTATTTATTTTCATAGTTTTTCAATTATTTTCTTTGTTTTTATAAAAAAAAAACTTTAAAGAAAAATTAAAAGAAATAAAAGTTTAAGCTTATTCTTTCATTTTTTTTTCTTCCCTTCCAAAAAGATATGTTAGAAGAACATTTGAAACTGTGATAACTTTCTTCAAACCGGAAATTGTTGTTGTAGTAGGAGATGCACTTGACGAAGGTAGTACGGCTCACTCTTCTGCGTTCTTACGATCTGTTAAAAGATTAAAATCGATATTTAATAAGAAGGAACTATTTGAAACAATATATGTTGCTGGTGACAACGATGTTGGCGGAGAAGGGCTTGATTTTAGGGTTCCATGGAAATTACAAAGATGGGAAGGTTTTCTTAATGCTAAAGAAAAAGATGTTATTCCAAAAAAATTTTTAAGACTATTAACTATGCATTATGATATCTACGATCTCGATGATGAAGACACTCCCTATTTGTTAGATAGATTAAATAACATTGGTTGGGGTTCAATAAGGGTTATTGTTAATCATATGCCTATTTTAAGTCGATACCGTCCTTATTTTGAACCACTTATTAAGGAAACTAGGGCAAATCTCATCATTTCTGCTCATACACATCATTCACACTTAATGACCTGCGTGGATTGCCGTGAAGGACATCATAAGGCTTCCAATACTTGGACTGGTGGTGTCAGGCGTCTAGATGATTTTTATGGTGTTGCTAAACTAAATATTGCCGACCCACTCATTATACACGAGTTGAATATCGCCACCTGCAGTTATCGCATGGGAGTTCAAAAGATGGCGTATCTATCGACAGTATTTCAAAGTAATGGAACCCTCCTTGCATCTTTCTTCCACTTACCAAATCGACTTGGCCACCTGTATAGTTACGTAATTTTTATATGTCTTCCAGTGGTCATATATATTCTGACCGTCCTTTGGTTTTACCTAGTAAAAGCTGTCCATCTGGTTGGCATTAGGCGGTCGGAGGGTTCGACTTGCCAACGTATATAGGATTACACCAGCTTTTTCTTGGCAGGAGGTCACTAAGAAAAGGGAACCGAAAACTAAAGAAGGGAATCTCATCTTATTTTAAATACACTTTTTATCTAGTATTTGAATCTAAGAGAGAAAATATTATAATAATAAAGCCGCACCCATATAGAGCGTATTATGTAGGCTGAAAGCAGAGTCGCGCAGCTGGCAGTAGTCAAGAGGTAGTTATGGCATTGATCTGGAACCGTGCTGCAGCACCTGTTAAGCTCGGTCGGTTCGGTTGCAGGTGGCGCCTGGCTTATCTGTTCTGCACCTGGCACACTCGACCGTCAGAAAATGGAAGAAGTACAACGCCGTAACAAGCGTAAGATGAGTGAACCGAGGAAACGTATTAGGTTAGAGCAGGAAGACGATATGGAAGATGAAGGAAACAAAGAAAGATGTTGGGAAGAAGTCGCTACAAATAGTAAAAGATCAAGAAAAAATTACAAAAATATGACAAGGGAACGTCGAGTCGAAGCAAACGCTAGGGAACGATCCAGAGTTCACACAATTAGTGCTGCCTTTGAAACTCTTAGAAGAGCCGTGCCATCTTATTCCTACAATCAAAAATTATCAAAATTGGCCATTCTACGGATAGCTTCCTCATATATTCTCGCCCTAGCCCGCCTAGCAGGAGACGAGCACGACGAAAAGCCAGACTTTGCCGAATGTGTCGATATGTGTACAAGAACTATTCAAGCGGAAGGCAGAGCTAAACGCCGTCATTGAACTAGCTCTTTCAATTGATTTTCATTCTTTTTTATACCGGATCTGTGATATAGAACAGCTGTTTTATCTATGTATATATACATACGGCACAATAATGGATATAGCGCGTATATTCTACAGGATTAATCAATGAACAGGTGCTGCGATTTACGTAAACAATTCGAACGCCGTTGCCGGGCGCTAGCTGCCAGATGTTTCGCAGATAAGCCTAATTTGTTGCTACACTCTCAATTTAGTCGGCTTTTTAGATAAGATGCGGCGGGAAATTCCTACCCGTATCTTTTTCTAAATAGATAAAAGCTAGGCTAGTGAACGGAAGGGAAGAAACAGACAATGGGCTAAAGAAAAAAAAGAATTATTATGAACCTTACTTCTTTATACGATCAGTTTTATATACGTGCAAAAATTTTATTATTCGCGTAGTTCAGAATTCTTAACTAGGTGGCGTCTCTTAGATGTGATATATCAGTCGCTTTCCATTGTAATTTCTCTTTTAATACCTTTTGACATCTCTTCAACGATGTCTTACCAAAAGAAAGAAACTGAACATTTTATAGCCAATAAGTTATTCTCATTTCCTTATTTGTGTCAAAATGGAATTTCTAATATCTCTAATTACAGGACTAAGTAGTAAATCCTAGAATTTCAAATCTTCCGCCTTTCCTATAAGTTTTCTTCCTTTTTTATTTCCTAGATACTATATCTATATACTTCTTTTCCTTTGTCACGATTTTGAAGTTGAGAAGCATGTAAAATTGAAATGAAAACTACTCTTGTACGGTTTTAAAACATAATTAGACAGGTTTGTTAGTAGATTGAGTCGTTGATTCTTACCAACCCCCTACTTGGTTTTCATTGTTATCATAAGAGAATCGTTTTCTTACAATATCCAGTTGTAGATCAATGAAGGAGAAAAAGAATGCATTATTTTGCAGAGTACAAAAAAACTGACGTCATACTTTAGTACAGGGCGAATAGATTTAATACAGTGACCGTCTCCATTGAGCTTGTAAAAGAGACGTATCAACCCGTTTAAGGTTAGGCCTAAAGACGCACTGGCTTTTTAGCAAAAGGTCGCTTTGTTTGGCATGGTTTGCCGAATGATCGTAAATGAGAAAAACTAACGATAGAACGCATTGTATTCCTCAACTTACTCAATTGTAGAACAAGAGCTGGTTATAGGCTTATGTTAAGATTAAAGATACTAAATGTATTGTGTATCACATCTATAGTAGAAGGTGACCTTTCAACGTGACCTGAGCATTCCCAGTTAACTCTACACGGTCATCTAAGACACTTATGTTTACGGTGCCTTTTCTTGCTCTGCCTTGTCTTGCTCTCATTTTCTTTTTATTCAAGATGTCAGACCAAAAACTACTAAGAGTCGTATGTGCTGAACCAGTAACGGGATCTTCATTTACTCCTAACCAAGGAGCAAACATTCGCGAAACAAAATCATAGCTTTTGCCTTCTTTATCCTTGAATTTGTCTCCTTTCATTGTCACTGATATCCATTCAGTAACGCTTGTATTTAGTAGCCTATGAAAATTTGGCGTAAAAGCTTCAAACTCTTCAGCACTAACTGAATCCTTTAGGTGAACAAGTCCATATTTCAGATTCTTTGATAAATAGACGCCTTCAATAGGTAAATTACCCGAAACTTCATCGCATACTATCTTCCAATCTCCTTCAATACTCTCAATTCTTTCCAATGTTTTATCCAAAGGCAATGAAATAGTTATACCTTCTCCATGCTTTCTTGCAAACAAACTACCACTCTTTCTTGTGACGAATTCAATTTCTTCGTTCTTATTTCCCAGTGTGTAGAAAAGAGAAGCAGCACTCGCCAAAGTTGCATGACCACACAAAGGTACTTCTGTTTCAGGAGTAAACCATCTAAGACCGAACTTTGAAGCTTAAGTGTAACAATAGCGATATTAATTATAACTTTATTAGAACTATTATTATTTGTTATTAAGGTAAGTACATTTGTCAAAGGTATCGCCATCCTTTAATATTTTAATGTAAGCTGTTTCTGATAGGTTCATTTCCCGAGCAATATTTAATAGAAAAGTATCATCGTAGTCCTGGAAATAGGTTAATTACACTTATTATTACATAATATCTAAACAAATACTAAGCAAATATAAATATCTTAACTCAACAACCTGATCAAATTTTAAGGGACAAATAGCCGCCTGATTGCCGGTAAAAGGACCATGGGCGAAGGCATCAATAATGCAAATTTCTTGTTCCATTTCTCTCTGTAAAAGGTAACGAACTGAGAGATATAGAGTTCTAGGTATGTACTGATTCTTCAGAAATCCGTATTTATACTAAGATAAGACAATAGGATCAAAGTTCAGCAAATTAGAGTGAATATGTAAACTTGCTTTGTCACAACAAGACTACAAAATTTAGTGTGGCACTAGAGGAAGAGTATACATGTCTCACTAGTTTTTTGTATTCAAATACACGATCAGCCTATTATAAAATTATATTATGTAAACAGGCCGAAACTATTTTTTCTTTCGCCTTTCTTCTTTACCATTTCCTTCCTACTATCGCTCTCTGTCTCCCTCTCTCTCTGTCTCTGAGTTGACTTTTCCCCCCACCATTACTATTATTCTCCATCCATTTCAATATCTATCTTTCTCTCTTCCTATCCTCTCTTCCAAGCTTACTTGCTTAAGTCACTTACTTACTCTTCCTTTCATTCTTTCCACTATCTTACGTTTTGTTTTACTTAATGTTTTATTTATCTATTTTCTACCTAAGCATAAGAGTTTTAGGTTATGGAAAAAACAAATAAAACATGTTTTTTCCCACATCTTAAATGTTATTACTATTGCGCAATGTAAGAGAAACTTACAAGAACAGATAAATTTTAATGCAGTTTATTAATTTTACATATTTTATTTATAGAATAAAGAAAATAGATAGTTATTCTATCTGTACTATGCATATTATGTATGTACATATATATACATACTATATATATATATAAAGATTATTTAATACATATAATAGAGTATTTAAAAGGCTTGTATAGTCCCCTATTTAACGTATATGTATAGACAAATATACCATACAAGTATACCTATATAATAGATAAAGAATACCGGTACACGTGTTCATATAAGTTTATATTTGTAAAAGCTTAAACAATCTGGTTTTTTATAATTTATTCATAATTTTATTAAATTTTTGCTGATTTATCTTCCGTATCTGTATGTTACAGATGTAAGGAAAAAAAATGAAATATATAGTGACGCAGGCGTCTAAAACTTAAAAAAGAAAGGAATTATTGTCTTTTAAATTATGATATTATATATATTTTATGTTTGAATAAGGATAATTAGTTTGTTGATTTCATTTAAACAATTAATAGACGAGTTTAATAGAAAGTCATTATTTAGTAAATTAAGAAGGAAAATGGACGACAATTAAGATATTGACGAAGAGAAGGAGGATTGAAACTAGTTTGGAAACAGAGAGAGAGAGAGAGAAAGAGAAGTGATCAAGTATTGATACGTTTCTCTTTTCATTCCACCTGCTTGTTTTATCACTACCCTCTTATCGGAGTATGCTACATTTCTTATCATTTAAAACTGAAAGATTGTGTTCTATACTCTACGGTATTTAAAGCTCTGATTTTACAGTATAATCTATGGAAATTATTTTAAGAATAGGTGAACATTTAGCCTATTTACTCTAAATCGATTGGATAAACTTTGACCTAGTTTTTTTTTGACACTTGGATATCCATTACTAAGTAATATAAATCTAATACATAGACGGCGCCGTTGTTCAACCAATCTTTCAAACATCTGTGTTATTTCCCCCCGCCGTATTCCATTTATTATAAATAGGGCAGGCTACTTACTCTACCGACTTAAACAAATTTGATTATACTCTTGACATCTTTTAATAATTAACTAGAATTGAAAATAGTAAATAAATAAAAGAAAAATTAACGATTAATATGACTTTTCCTCATTTCCATTCATTTTTATCCGAATGCAGAAACTCTTGTATTATTTCAAAATATAATAAAAAAGACAGGAATTAGGTAATGTAAACCAAAATACTTATTTAAAAGAGAATGAATAAAAAATAGAGGATGAAAGAGAGTAGGGGTGGAAAACATCAAACAGAATACTGCGAACGAGTGATAAAGAATGGGTGGAGAGAATGAGCTAGGGAAGGGAGGGAGAAGGAGAGGAGGTGGGGGGTAGGAAAGAAAGAGAATATAAATGAGTTGGAGGAACAGAGAGGACGAAGGCGAGGAAGGAGAGAACTAGAGAAGAGCAGTTAAATAGTTCATTTTCTCATCCTATTTTATACTAATTACGATTACATATTCTATCTTGTTTAGTCTGTTCCACAACTACCCATTATAATCTTATCATTATTGCATTCCATTCACGCCACCCCCCACGTTTAGTCTCAACTCGACGAATTTAAGGAGGATCCTTTTTGGAAAAGGTAAATGGATAGAGAAGATCGTAAAACCACACAGATCTATTTAAACTAGATAATAAATAAAACATAGTAGCATATACAATTTATAAAGGATATAAAAGCCCTATTAAGTTGATTAATTAACTGAAATATTATTATTTTTAAAGTAAAGATGAACTTTCAACAGTGTAAACTTTGTAGTTAAGTATGAAATTTTATAGTGAAAAAGAATATAAAGGATATTTTACTATTTTTCTCTTGTTTATTATTATTATTCTTCTTGGTATAGAACATACAAGACTAAAGTGTGACTTGACCCTATAGAATTCCACTAAACCACTCTATAAGACCAAAAGTACTAAGAACTGATCGCTATTTGCTTTAGGGTGAATTCTATATAAACTACAGTTATTTTCTTTTTTTCAAAAGTAAATGTTTCCCCCTTTACCTTTAACATGCTTATCTCTAAATTGTGTTTTTACCTTAACAACAAGTCTCTTATTATTTTTTGTAAAGTAGCCAGGATTCCTACTCTTCTCTTCACGATTATCTTGAAGGGAAGAGAAGAGCTTAAAGATGGATTTAATTAATATATTTCCTTTGAGAAGGTTTCTGGAAAAATTTAAGATTTTTATCAGAAATGTTCCTAATAGAAAAACAAAATTAATAAGAAAAAGAGAAGGAAGAAGAGGAAGAGAATTCAATTTCTTTCTAGAAGATAGATAATTGTACATTTTAAGAGTTTTATAAAATTAATGATTTTATCGATTATGTCCATTTAATCCATATTTTTAAATTAAAAAGTCTTTTTAGAGCATTCCATAGGGATTGGGAGTATTTCGTAATCTCTAATTTCTCCGTCTAAAACCATTAAGGTAATTAATCGTAAACAGGGAACATAGCATGGAAGGAGTGTAGGATAGCAGAGAAGAAGAGACACAGACAGACGGACCGACAGATAGACAGACAGATAGAGAGACAGACAGAGAGAAAACTGTTTAAGATTAATACAGGTGCTTCATCAAGGTTTTAAAACGTTTGCAGATTTCCGGAAACTTCAGCTGCGTTTTACAGCCGGGTAACTAATACAGTCAGAATGTTAGAAATCTACTTTAGGAATCTATTTTAAATATTCCGATCCGCTTACAATAAGAAGTGAATCCAGCTTATACTGAGTACATTCTACTAGTTAATCTTTAGCTTTTTTCCATCATCCTCAACTATGTTTTAGTTCCTCTTTTCATCCACTTGTCGATCCTAAATAAGTAAGATGAAGGTCTATTGATTGAGTAGTATGTTATTAAATATACAACGTATTCAATTATTTGTCTATAGTATATTTAACGAAGAAATTACAATATTCCTTTTTTTTTTTATCTTGGCTTAAACTATTCGATGAATTTTTTCGATAATCAATAATTTCAATCTGTGCGTTTAGGAAGAAATGATCAAAAATTCAATAAGGAAATATTAAGCAAATATCAAGGTGCGATTAAAGCTTTACTATATATTCAATGGGAGAAAAAAGGGAGAATACATTTGTCTAAAACGTTGCAAAATGTAATTTGAATATAGGCCTAGCGGCCATTAGAGTAAATAACAGTTTTATCACTGGGTAAAGTTGATTTATAACTAGTTGACCAGAGACATTTAAAGGAAAAGGCTATATGCTTATATATAAATGTATATTGTAGGTATATACTGCATATATATATATATATTATAGAGTATATGACTTGAGGTAAATTTCATTCTATCAATAATTATTGGCTTTTTTTTACACTACGTTTAAAAGCCCTTCCGAGTATTTTACTCTATTTTATATATATTTGAACTTTTCGCAATATATTTCCTACGATATCCATTACGTCTAATTTCCTGTCTCCTCCTCCTCCTTCTTCTTCTCCTTCTTCTCCTCCTTCTTCTTGTTCTTGCGCCTCTTCTTCTCTTGCTTTCTTCTGCTCTTAAGGAAGATTTCAATTCCATCTCCAGTTTTTTTGGCATATAAACTAAACAGGTGTTTAGTCAACTATCACAAAAATATTGTATTATGGACAACGACGTCTAATGTTCGACTTCTAAGAAACACAATCGATTTTAAAGTGTTTATTTAATTTTTCTACTCCTCGTATAGATATTTTAATGGAAGTAACATTAAAAAATGCTTACATTTTGATACAAATAAAATAGAAATACATATATAATTTATACATATTTGAAAAAGTGATAATATAATCGTTATTATTCATTCCTCTTTCGGTTTTTTTCTTATTAATTATAGTGATTTTGCGGGAATTTTACATGGCATTCCGTAAAAACTCTTGTACATCTTTGAACGCATTCGATATCGTTAAAAAATTCTGCGCATTCGTTAAAGCATTTCTGAAAGGTAGAAAAAAGAAAACCAATAATTAATTATATAATAAAACGTATTGTAAATATAGTGTTTTATCCAGAAGGGTTTTATTTAAAAAAAGAAAACCACAATAGACGCCATCTAGCGTCTATCATAAGAAGTATATCATTATGATAATGAATCTAAAAATTAATTACCGTATAAACTGGATTACAAATTTTGTAAGCAATTGTAGGCGATTTAGACCGTTTTAATAATTCCAAAAGTTGCCTTTCATCGTCAATATTTTCTTCTGTATTTACATTTAGCACACTGAGTAGTATAACAATAGTACCAATCTGGAATTTATTGAAAATAATTAATGAATGAACGAATGAATGAATGAATGAATGAATGTAAGCCGATATATACAGTATATGCATATATATATATATATATACATATATTTCTATTAAAAATCAGTTAAACAAATAACAATAGAACAGCTATTTACTATTATAAAATATCTCATATTCTTTATCTGTTGTTTATTTATCCTTTTTCAATAGAAATGTGCAGTATCCTTGTAAAAGTTGTTATCAAACGAGTTTTGTTTGTTTTTAGAAGCTATTTTCGCAGCTATTCTTTTATACGAACAAAAATTCTAACAGATCTATCTATCTTTATATATAAAAGGATTATAATAAATTGTTAGAAACAATTGTAATTATACAATATAAATAGGAAATAACTGATAGGAAAATTACTGACAAATAGATGAATCCAATTGGTGCAGCGCCAATTTTCGTAATTATTCAACATAAAGATTAAACTTTATTATTATTATTATTATTATTACTATTGTTCCTTTTATTAACTGATTAAGAAGTTTATATATTTTCATTCATTCATTCGGGGTGAATTAATTTGTTCTTTTATTGTTTAGTTTCATTTATTCAAAAGTGTTTAATAGTATATTAGGTTAGGCAAAGTAGACAAAGAGTTTTGATGTATATACCGACAAACATCAACAACTTTCAAGCCAATTAGTCAAGCCTTCTCTTTGTGTTCAAAACATCCCAATGAAGAAAGCTTATCTAGTTTGAAAAGGGATATAAAACAGCCATCTTTCTTTTATTACATTTAATGTCAACAAAAGGATTTAGCGTAAGTTTACATAAGAATCAAAGGAAGTATTAACAAGAATAAAAGTTACATATTTACGTTCATTTCTCTTATTTATGCTTGTAATCTTATCAGGTTTCACAAAAGGATATAAGATTAATAGATTATCGAATGGAATATGACTGTAAGATGTGTATATTGAATAAATTAGCGTTACGTAGCTGCTAATTTCTGCTGAATGTTTGCATGTTTATTTGTTTGAAGTAAGACAGATCGGCTTTCCCTAAGGTCATCACTTACTCAGCTCGTGATCTAATATCTTAAAAAGATAGCCCCTGGGCTATTAAGCATCAAAAGTAAAGAGGATTTACCAATCTGTTCAAACATTTTTTATTTATCCAAAAAAAGTCGTATTTCAATAGAAAAATTCCATTCATTACTTAAGATTAAAACAGATATCGTGAACAAAAAGAAGGTTAAAAGCTCTTTAGAGATTTCTACCAATAGGTAGTTCAAAATAATTTATAGATCAATTATTGCTTAGATTTTATAATAAAAAAATGACAAGATATCGAAAGATAGATATAGAGTTTCATGTTTTATATTAAGACATATACACGTTTTCTTTCTTATTATCAAACTTTTTATTAATAACGAGGGACGTTAAAAAAAATATGAAAAAAAAATCAATATATGGGTTATAAATAATATAAATGTAAATATTACAGGTATTAACCATAAATAAATATATTCATCCATATAAGTGTATATAACTATATTTCATACACACTTATATATGTTTTAAGTATCATAGTTATATATACATGTATATGTACAACTATTTCTTTTTTAACTATAAACAATCAAAATCAAACCTTTTTACGTAATAAATGTATTGTTTTTTTTGTTTTTACAGTTAAAGTTTTTTTTATCAGTCGCGATACCGACAGTTGTCTCCACGAGTTGAAAAAATGATGAATTCTTATAGGTCTTCATTAAATATCCGAATCTGAAAGATACAAAAAAAATGTTGCTTTTTATTACTGGACTCTTTTTGCCAATAAAAATTTTTTATTTTTCATTTTTTGTGTTTAATATAAATAGAACAAGTACGAATATTGATACAATCGAACTTTCATATGCCTTATTCACAATTTAAAAAAAAAAAGATATATTTCAAAAGATTTAGCCCTGTCAAATCGTAATTTATGATTTTGGGATCAAACAAAGTAGGCCTAAATGTGCTGTATTCTTTTATTATTAAAACTTATATTACGTACATCATGTAAATCCAAACTCTAAATTATACATAAGTAAGTATATTTTGATTCTTTTATGAAATTTAACCCTCAAATAACCATTTATATATAGAAAAATACAGTATATATATATGTATATACAATATATATTTATATATACATACATATATAGATAATTAATGTATAGATGCGAATATATGTCAAAATATCTATCTGTACTCACATTCTGATAATCTCTTTTCATTATCAGCTAAAATTTATTCATAATTCACCGCAAAACATTAAGATATTATAATTTAGAATTATTGATATATATTCTAAAGAAGTTTATTCTTTAAACTTTTACAAACTATTCATCTGACAGTGAAAATATAAATATAAATTTGTTATTCACTCTTGAGAAAGTATCTTATTGTAGCTAATACTTTTTTGAACGACGTAATGTAAATAAATATATGAAAATGAAACTCTTTAATGTTTCACAATGTCAGATAAATAGTTAGCCAAGTGCTACTTTTCAAATCATAAAATTATCAAAAATTATACACCTAAAAAAATATAAAAAACATATTGTAAATGCCATCAATTAATTACAGTCAATGGAAAAAAGTCACGTATGATTTGTAGAACATAGTCTAATTCCAAAAATATCTTTATCGATAAAATATAAAGTTCTTATAGCCACCGGTTTTTTTAAAAAAATAGTCATTTTACATTGTGGTAGTTTTACACAATTATTAAAAATGTCATCAATTAATCCACAGCAAGGTTTCATTTAAGATCTTTAGGATTTAGCTTAAAACTTTGGGTATTTTTACAATTTCTAAAATTACCAGTTATTCCTTACACGAGCATGCAAAACGGTTCAGTAAGAAATTTACGTTGAAAACTTTACATAGCAATATCAACAAGAGGATGTTATGCAAATAAAACATCTTATAAAATATACCAAACATTTTAAAAAAAATATATGTAATATATACAATATATATATATAAATAAATATATTTCTATATATATATTCTATTTATGTGTATTTCTTTATAAATATATATATATATATATATCAAAAGATATAAATATATACATTCATATGTAACTAAAAATTGTATATAGATATAGATATATATATATCATATACATATATTATATACATATATATGTTTAAATATAACCGATGTTTAGATAAAAAAAAGCCATACCCTGAGATAAAATTAATAAATTACACTCTCCGATAATAATTAAAATACAGTAACATACAAAAAGGGGTAAAAAAGTGATCTTAGAATATCAAATAACATTAAAACCTGTAAGTTCAAAACAATTTCTTATGAATAATCAAGAATAGTTGCCAAATTACACCTTAATTTTAAATATTACAGAATTTTGTAATAATATTTAAATATAAAGTGTAAAAAGGATGTAACCCGAATATCATGCTTTCTCTTTTTTTGATCCATTAACATGCAAAATATATGAAAATATGTAAATAGATATAAATACGCAATGAAACTCACAAATTGTTTTACATTAATTATCAAATATGAAGTTATAAAAAAACATTCAGACTAATCCAATAAATCAGTAAATTTGTGGAACATCGTTTAGTTTTTTTTAATTGAGCAAACTTTTATCAATAAATATTTTGAAAATTTATGCATTGATCGACAATAACGATGTTACACGTTTTTTCGCATTTTGGAAAAAATGTTATCAGGTATGCCACATTGAAAAAAAAAACATCTTAACTGGCAATATTTGGTTCTAATTATATGATAAATGAAGAAAAAATCACATCTGCAGCCTAGGACCGTAATATAAATTTGCATTTGTGTGTAATGTGATAAGAAAAATACATTTTTTAAAGCAAAATGCGCATATAATGCACTTTAAAAAAAAAGGTATATATGTAGAATAAAGAACACAAAAAAACGTACGGATTCTGAGCATTTTTAGCACCGTTTGATTTATGGCGAACATGTCTTACAGAACATGTTGATTACATAATTATAACAAAATAAGGCACGGATACATTGATTAGAATAACATACGTATAAACTTTTTTTTAATTAAAAATTCAACTTAAATATTTAATTCAGAAATTAAATGACTTACCGGCTATTACCCTGTAATGATTATTATAAATAATTTTAAGAGCACTCACCTAACGTCTACTACTGCGATGATGTCTTGATTCATAATGGTCATCATAGTATCTTTCCCTACTACGATCTCTGTAATCTCTTTCCCTAGATCTTGATCTATCCCTACGACTTCTTTTACGATCATCTCGTTCTCTTGATCTTGATCTATCCCTTCTGCTAGACCTTTGAAATGACAATAGAAATTTAAAAATTCCTTTAGAAAAACTTAAGGGAAAGTTCTTACTTTCCACCGCCATAACTCTTGGATTCAATACCATGTAGGGTATCTTGAAGGGACGAGATTAGGATCTTACACCTGTCGTCGTTCGCTATCTTACTTTGCTTAATCAATGATATAGCAGTAACAAGAGTTTCAATAGCTGAAGCATAGTCTCCTGCCCTGGCGTCCTGAACTGATTTGTTAATTGCGCTGCTAGAGACGGTTTTATTCCTACTAAATAATTCTTCAAATTCAGCTTCAGAAATAGGTTGTTGATCTGCTCCACGAGATGAATCCATTGGTCTTCCAAAAGCATCAAAGGGAGTAGCCGGAGCTCTATCACCAGTTCCGTAGGGATCTGGATTTCCTGGATATTGAGCTGGTCTGCCAAAAGGATCTGCCTGAGGAGCGGCGGTTGGAGCTTGGGAAACAGTGGGGAAAAAGGCTGGGTTTACATGAGGAGCAGGCGCTGTGGCCATTCCCGGAGCGTTGGGAGCTCCTGGATTCATCTGATTTCCTGGATTACCCGGAGCAGCAGCCTGTAGACCACCGCCAACACCTACTGGTCTAGATGGACGACTGGCATTTACAGCGGCTGCGGCTGCAGCCGCATTTCCTTGATTCCACTCCATTCGGGCTCCTGGTGGCGGTCCACGCATACCAGGAGCAGCATGCAAAGGTGGTCCAGTAAGACGTGGTGGAAATCCCATTGGAGGTGGTAGACCAGGTCGTAAGCTGGCATTCGTAGCAATGGCTAATAACCTGACGACATCGACAACGTTAGGTCCTGTTGTTGGAGGGGGTACAGAGCCTGTAATCGGAGGTCGAGGAATTCCCATAGAAGGTTGGTCTTTTTTCATTCCCGTAACTTTGGGAGTATTTTTCATATCTTTTCCATTCGCTACATGACTTCTGTTGTCGCTTAAGTCGAATTTGCTCAAATTCTGTTTATTGGCAACTGTGCATATAAGTGTTTGGCCGTTTAGCTCCTTTTGGGGTAATTTTTTCAACAGAGCTTTTACAGACTCGTCAGATTTTAGTAGAACAGTTGCAAGTCTATATTTTTAAAAAATATCACACAAATTAGTTCAGCCAAAACACGATTGTTCAAACTATTTACCCTTTGGATTGACCATTGGATCGATTTTCAAAGAATTTAATTTCCAGAATATCAGAAACGCCAACACTGTTAATAGCCTCTTGTAATTGATCATCAGTCGTCCACTAAATTAAATTTGTCATTAAACTGGGTTTCTTATAAAAAATATTTTCAATAATATAGTTCTTACCCAAGTCATATTACCCACGTATACACCATGCCTACTCCTATTAGCGGGAACGGGACCATGCATAAAAAAGTTGCGAGGAGTTTGCTGGTCGGATTGTTCGTTTGTCTATTTGATCATTTAGTAATGATTGTTTATATCTAATGAACGTATTTGTTTACAATACCGTCGATGAGGCCCCTCCAGTAGTAGTTTCTGGTTTTGTTTCCGAGTTTTCCTCGCTATCAGCTGAATTTCCAGTTATTATGTCATTATAGAGATCATCTCCTTCCGTAGTTGAATTATTAACCTAAAATTTATTGGAATATAGATTGTTTTCGCCCATGAAAAATGTATTATATTTTCATTCAGCATTTCGAGATGCCTAATAGATATTTTTGACATCTTTTAAAGGCATATTAAATATCGTTTTGTTAAAAACTTAATATTTATGTAAAATGTCTAAAAATGATTTCTCTTACATCAAAATCCTCAGCTACATCACCATACAAATCAATGTCCCCGTCCGCCATCTTGTTTAAGAGTAACTGCCAGTGTATTGTGGGCTACAACTTCCGCTAGCTATTTAGTTTGGTTCGGGCTTCCTCATACAATATTTTTAAAAAATATCGTGGAACCTGGTTCCCTTAGTTGTATTCCTTGCTAGGCGGCGCCACCCTCAACGTTTACCGCGTTATCTATCAGAAGTTGTTGAATGTTAAATCGTTGAACTTTAAAGAGCGCATTCTTTGCTGATGGAAGGAGAGGAAGAAATCGCTGATAAACAATGGAACCTCTTTCCTCACTGCCTCGTTATAGGTATGAAAGAGAAAAGAAGATCACGTTCCAAATCGGAATATATAGGAGATTTCAACGACGATATTAAACCTAACAACGGGATAGAGTTATTTGATGCTTTCATAGAGAGAAATAACGATTGTTACTGGAATCCGCATTTGGATGAAAGCTTAAAAAATATTAAATACATTGGCTGTCTGCGTTCACATACGTTGTTGATTAATGGAAGAGACATTTACTTGGAGACTATCAAGTCTGCTTGGTCTAGAAGAGTCTTAAGGGCACCGAAGGGATTTTCTTTATGCCGTATTGGTAAGTAGGTCGACAGGTGTTCCAGGTGTTTTTCGACATTGACAGTTTCTCCGCAGGTTAAAAAGTGTTTTGCACGTAGAAATATTGAGATTTTTTCACAGTCGTTCATAATAGAGTACCGTATCGGTATTCGTTCTCTATCGATATGCATTTGTTTATGTAAGGCGGCTTTATCAAGATCTTCGTTTTTGCTTTGATCTTATTGAATAGTAAGCTAAGCGTACCGCCAAAAATTTTACTCTATATCGCTTGGATTTGTTATCTTATCAGTTCAAGCTGCGTTGATAAATTTGCCGACCTTTTTAGACCCTCTGACGTAATAAACCTTTGATATTAAAAGCGTTCCCGAACGTTACTTACGAATTAAAGTTTATTGCCTAAGGCGCACGCGTTTTACATTTGAATAGCGCATGTTTCACGTACATTTAATATGGATTGTTCTCTACGGCGAAGTTCTCAAAGAGACGAAAAGTAGAAAATATGTAATGACAAAGTGTGAAAACGAGAGAATGCAAATGTTTTCTAGTCTCTTGTAGCTTTAGAATTTTATTATTAGTAAATTTATACTAAAAGTACTAGTACACATAATTTGTTTATACATTTGATTATCGCTCAAGTTTCAATTTTCATTAGTGTTTATTCATTATTTTCACACAGCTGAACTCCAACCGACTCCTGTCTCAATAGTCCCTCAAAGCCAATTCACACCCTTACCTGAAGCGTTATGTATAATAGTTTCGGATTTACGTCGACTAAACAAAAGGGCAGATCTGGAATCGATCTGTTTGAAATTGAAGGATACTTATAAATCTATTCAGGCACCGCCTGAACAAGTTGTTTATGAGACGCTTGATAGCCTACTAAAAGAGAACAAACTCATCTATATAGGTAAAGAATTACTTTATTGAAAAAATAGATTTGTAACCTTTGAACTTTTTCCCCCCGCGTTTTACTTAAAATCCACCCCTTCTTTTAAAAACTACCGGCCTTGAGGCCCTTATTGACATTTGTAACGCATACTATTTACAAAAGAAGATTTTTTTTAAATAATAAATGCATAAGAATTTCCATTTATCTCTTAGGTAACGGCTATGAATTGGTAACGCCGGAAACGCTCGCCAAATTAAAACAGCAACAAACCTTACACAATCGTTTATCCGTCCGCGACCATAATCTTGTAATAGACGGCGATAGTGAGACACCGACTCTATATATTCCAATTATGCAGGTAATTTAATGTGCTATTCGTTTACGGAATTGATCAAATATCGATCTGACCCGTTACCTTTCGACATAAAGCCGATATAATGAATGTATTATATTTTTTCCTCTTTCTTAGCCGAATCAACCAGACATTCGATCGATATCTTGCCAAACTTCCCCGGTCGATGAGGAAAATTTAAATAATATGAATAACCCGGAAGATATTGATCTTTCACCCAAGAAAATAGAAAGATCTCATTCCCTTAGATATAGGCGTGATCATCCAAAAACGTTGCGAAGAACTAGTTCCCTCCTTCATCCAGATAATAAACGATCGAAAAATCCACTACAACATTCAGCCACTATGCCGTTGGTTGGAGAAACAGAAAAAACTTTCGAGCATAAGAGTAAGTTGTTTTATTTATATAAAGTAGAATAACACACCTACTTATTAATGTACTTGGGTTAGAAGATTGTGTTAGAAAACAAAAATTTTAGGTTAAATCGATTAAAAAGCTGAGAATGTTAAGTACGTGCCCGTTAGGTTGTTCTAAGCTATTAGTCAAAGTCACGTCAAATTACCGCCCTAAAATTACAGGTGTAAAAGCAATTGCCCTTCTCTAATCAGTTTATTTCCTTTGTATGAATAATTCTAATTTTCAAAGGATAGTCTAGGTAGTAAATTAACTGGTAGCTTTATTTTGATGTTTCAATACCCTCGACTATTATCTACCGATCATTTTGACACTTTTGACAGGTTACGTCTTATTTGAAATAGGTCTTAGTAAAGAAAGTATAAAAAATATTTACTAAAAGACTCCAAATAAAACGAAATCTTTTCCACCACACCCATACATTTACATTATAAACTATTGTATCCCAAGTTTGCTCCAATTAAATCGGGCGCCGTTCGGCAGTTTGTTTTGTGTGACGCTTTTTTTGTTAATTGGATTTAGCGTTTTGTTTGTAAAGATTTTCAATGAATAGAAACCGTTAACCTAAAAAAGAAAAACGCACATTTGAATTTCCCAAATCCAATTAGATAGTTATCGAAGACTGTTATATAATATTGACTAGTTTGAGTGGCGATTTCTCATTTCTTTTGTCTGCTCTCGAGTACGACCGTCGGTGACGCCCTACCCGGTGGGCGTGTTGTCCAAAATTTTTTCGCTATTATTCACATCCCCTATCACATACATCGATAATTTCAAAAGATTCACGCACGAATGGAATAATTTTGTGTACCCGAAAACGTACAGATGGATGTATAGAATGAAAAATGGGATGATTAACGACTCATAATTAGTGAGTGAATAAGAGAGAGAACGTGTGCACGCGTGATCAGCCTTTATTGAAGTCTTCTAGTGTTATTAACAAAATTTTCTGCCTTTCCTAATCATATAGCGTCGTTTTCCTTTCTATTGCTATTCCGCCGCAACTATTTAACGCGGGGTGTTAATTCTCAAATGGACTTTGAGAGCCACGTCACGCTAACTTTCCAATTAAGAAAAAAAAATATATAGTTAAAGAAACTAAAACACTCAATGAATTTATTCGCATATGCTCAGGTATTTTTAGAAAGGTGAATTGGAATTTAGAGCAAGCGTAAAATTGCCTGATAGCGGCAAAGAAAGTAAAAAGAACATCTATTTTTCTTCCTGTCTATCACGGTTCGTCAAGATTTTTTAGATACAGTATACAAAGTACCTGTAGAAATCTCTCTTTTCTGTAATCAAGAATATATCCTGTAACATTCAATCTATGTAATCTCTTTTTTCAATAATACTGATTCAATCACAAGCTTAAGGTTTTAGTGTTTTGTAATCCAAGTAAATGTGAAAGTTAACAAATCCTATTAACTACGGGATTCTATTCGAAGAGAAATATTAGTATGCTATAGTATTGTAACTTTTTATATGATAGAATATTCAATTCATGAACATGTCTGCGCTTTCTTTATCTGATTACACATTCTGCTCATTGTTTAATAATAAATAGAGTGAAGCCATTCCGTATGAGCGATTGACACTAATGGTATTTATCTGTTTAGAAAGGGCCGAAAAAAATGACCGCAATATAAAAGAATACGTATTTGATCACGATTGAAAGTTTTACGTTGATCGCTGTTAAATTACTATAGTCGCGTGACCAAGAATAAAAAAGCATCTACTTGCGTCAGCAGCTTTCAATCATTCAAGATGTAACTTTCTATCGCCCATCTGCCGGGCACCATGGGTCCTTGTAAAATTTGGCAGCTAATCAAATTAGCAGTTACCCTCCCCGGCCCAATCGGTCGCTAATTTCACCTCATTGAGTAACAAAAGCTGTTTTCATCCCCGTCGGCATTTTTTTTTATTTATTTGATGTTCATCGATTAGAAATCTAGAGATTAAAACACCCAGGTGTGTGACGCGTGTGTGAGTTACCATGTGGGTCGACATCTAAATTCAGCTATGTGTTTTTGATCCGATAATACCAACTTAACGGTAAAAGAATACTTCTCTACCCTTGTGTCGTAACAATGCCCTTTGGGATTCAATTAATCCTGAAGATTGGTGCGTTGTCTCTAATTATCAGGCATTTGCGACAGACAGCACCAGTCCTATTCAGTTAATTATTTTTGATAAGGCGTTAAGAATGCTCTTTAATCGATTTTGACAACTGTTCATACGACCATTAAACTGCTTTCAATATCATTTATAAAAAGATCGACGTAGTCATTTTATCATCAATAGCCTGTGACCGGCTTTTTAGCGTGTTTTTTTTCAAACCTTGTTTTATTACACCTAAAAATCTAGCAATAAATCACATTGAAACGTTAAGAACAGACGATTAAATAAATTATCACTTATATAGGATCTAATGCGTCGTGAAAGAAAACCAGAACTTTTTAGATGTGATGCCATCCATCGATAAATTATGTCCCCAAGCGATTTTAATACTTGTTTATTTTCACAGGGAAACGATCTCTTATCAAGAAACTGTTCAGCTGGCGGCGAAAGGTTGTTGAGAGAAAGCAGGACGATTATGTTTTCGAAGAGACGTCTGACAAAGATGTTGAATATGCCACGTTTTCAGCTCAATTTCCCCCTCCTGAATGGGAACTTGAACATTTGCAACGCTTCATTCGACAAAACGGAAATAGCTGCCCTATTCACCTTAGAAAGTCAAAAACTCTCCCAATGCCGGTTAGAGAGGAGAATGTCTACGAAGATGTTATAGTAGAAGAAAATCAAAATCAAGGAGTATTTGCTACGGATATTTCAATTAAGTATAATGGAAAATTCTTGAAAAAAAATAACCCCCTTTCACGATCGAAAGAAAATGGGGTCAACTGTGTGGAATTCGATAAGGATGCAGAACGGAGAGCTTCTATACGTCGGCAGAAGAGAAAAGAAGAGAAACTAAGAAGAGAGGAAAGCGTGGATCCTGACCCTCTCTATTACCAATGCTCCAATTCGAGTGGTTATCATAGTCAACAAACGAGCTTTAGCGTTCAATCGCCCGACGCAAAAAAAGAAAAAGTCAAAGAAGCAGAAGAAACGGTGATGAAAAGAGAAGAGAACGGCAATAGAATGACCAGTTCGAGCTCTTGGTCTAGTTATTCTAGTATTAGTAAACAGACTGTGAAAGAAAATCCCGATTACCTAGAAAAACAACACCGCCTAGCTAACGAGCGATTGAAGAGAGACGCTAGAAATAGGTTTTCTAACGATTTTCAAGTTGTTGGTGTTGTTTAGCATCAGTATATTTAACAAGTCTAGTGGAGGGGAGTTTCTTATAAATGTGTTTCTTCCCCATCGATTAAATTAATTTCCTCATATCACTTATTAGAAATGTTCTTTTCTGTACAAAAAGTCGATAGAACATTATTGTATTGACTGAATATAGAAATTGTAAATTTTCTTTTTTTGGACTAGATTCGTATGAATTTAAATTTAACTGGCTATTATACAGTTTTATAACCGTTCTTTAGAAACGTTAAATAAAGGACTGTAAAGCAGCCATAAAAAACCTACTCTTGAAAAAACTTGTCATAATAACGCTAATAATACAAGTCTTAAAGCTGGGTCTTTAATAACTTGGTATCTAATTAATTGCCCTTGACGGAGTAAAGCCACCGTGAATAGAGTAAATTATAGTAATAAAAATAACAGTGCTTAACAATATCCCCTAATCCATCCTCTCCTTAGTCCTATTTGAGTGCTCTTAAAAAGTACTTAAAAAAATATATATAGGCTAAACTTTTCGTAAAAAGAGTTTTCTTAAACTATTTTAAGAGGATTTTCAGGAATTTTACTGATTTTATCGATGAAAAACCTGCTTCCTTCTCTTCTCCAATAATCTTATTTAACAAAGCTAACTTTTAACGTAAACAAAAGTAATTAAACATAAAAAATCTATAGGCTGACACTAGTAAGAAGTAATTAGGATCTGTATACCTAAGGTTTCACATACTACTTCAATATTTTCAATAGTTAATTTATCGTAGAGAGAGTGGTTTTGATTAGCTCCCGCCTATCCCAATTATCGTTACTATAAACCTACAATAAATCATCGTACGTTTTCTTAGTGGATATAGAAGAGAAAGGCTACGAACTTTTATTTAATTTCTAATCAAAACTGTAGTAGACATAGTTATTAGCCAATTATTACTGTCTATTTTTCTCTTTTCCATCAAGTTGCCCGTACTCTCCCATCTGTTGTTCACGGGTAACAGTTTGTTATAAATAAAGAGCTCTCATTAAGAATACTCTATTGTTTTAAAATATTTATATATTTTGATTTTGAATTTAATAGCTGAGATAAAACATCATTCAACTTTGCCTTTAACTCTGTTAAAGAGGATGTATTCAAACACGATAAGAAGCGTAACATTTTTATTTTCCTTTCAATCATCTTTTCTTTTTTCTCTTTTCTTTGTCTCTCTCTCTCTCTCTCTCTCTCTCTCTCTCTGTGTCACTGTTCCTGTCTCATTTTTCTATCAGTAATCTGAGCACGCTGTAAACATTGTTGAATGTTATCTTGTTAATAAAATCTATCACGAAAATGTGATTTTACAACTCTTAGACAAAATAAGTTTCTCGTGGGAAAATTTTTCAACTATCATCAAAATATAGTATTTATCAACAATACATTTATATATAGTACAAACTATTCAATAGCTTCAATCTACGAATTCAATAGTACATTTTATACATATAAATAATATTTAGGAAAGAATAATCATTCTATTTTTAAAAATTAGCGAAACGTTCAATATTTTATTCTAAACCAGTTTTCACTATACAAATAAAAGTAAAATAATTGTTTTCTTCGATGCAAATAACTAATAAAATATTCAGAATAATAATCAATTTTATTGTTATTAATCAATAATTATGTTATATTGAATGATTTATAAAAATATTCTCTTTTAAAACATTTAAGCACCATTGTGAATCTCTTATATATATGATAATAATAATAATATAAATATACATATACTGTATATACATATATAAAGAATAAGTTCATATACAAGATAGAATAGGTGTAATACAAATATATCTGTTTGAATATTGAGTTCAATCTTCCACAGGTATTCGAAATGCGTGTTCGTTGTCAATTTGTTCAACTGTTTTTGAAACTATTGTACCGAGTATCCTTTTTGGGGCAGTCTTCTTACCAGATTGAATTATTGGTTTCTTTCTAACCGAAGCATCCCTTTCTTCGCAAGCGTTAAGAATTTCACTTATTTTACTTTCTCTAGATTTTCCCTGATTATTTTCGTCTTCATTTGAACCGTTATGTTGATGTATATTAGATTCTGATTGCTTCTCTTTAGCCAGTTGTTTCGGTATCAGATAACTAGAGTGTTTACCGATAATTTCACTAACGTATTCAGCTGATTTAAGCTCTTTATTATTGTCAGACATATTGTCAGACATATTGTCAAATGTTAAATTGCTTTGTACATTTGGAATTTCTCCCCTATTTATTCGAATTTTCAATTTTGCGGCTATTTCATAAAATGATGGTCTCTCATTAGATTGTTGATTCCAGCATCTTTTCATTAATAGGAATCTATGGAAAAATAAAAGAAAATATACAATGAATATATATAAATATTCTATTAATAGAATACGGTTAGTTAAAACTATTAGTTTTCGCATAATTAAAACTTTTTCCAACCCTAAATTCATTCATGCGATTTTAAACGATTTTATTACCAATTTGAATTTTAAGCTAATAAAACCTTTGAAAAGAGTAATTAAGGTGTAATTATAGTAAAAAAAAAAGACTTAATAACTAACACGTCGTCTGGGCAGTATTTAGGTTTCTCCAAAGTTTGACCCTCTCTTATTAGTGCAGCTGCTTGAACATTTCCCATACTATAATAGGGAGTCTTGCCCCTTGAAAAGAGTTCCCATAATAATACTCCGAAAGTATACTGTTTGCCAATGCATGTAAAATATGTTAAACAATGAATTGAATTGTATTGAACAGATACTTACAATGTCACTTTTTGTACTAAATTTTGATTGAATAAGCGATTCGGGAGCCAACCATCTGATTGGTAAAGGTAGCGATCTATTCTCTAATACGTAGTACTCTTCCCCATAAACATCCCTGCTGAGTCCGAAATCCGCTACTTTAACTATTTTATGCTTATCTACCCTGCACGTGTATTGTGGTTTTAATTATAAACAGACTCTTAAAAATCTTAGTTTTTCATTTATCTTTACTCACATGCAATTGCGTGTTGCTAAATCTCTATGAACGAATTTATTTGCTGCTAAATAGGCCATTCCTTCAGCAATATTTAGAGCAAACTGTAAGAGATCTTTTAAAGTTATGACCTGGGTAAAATAACAATGAAGATTTGTACTTTTATATATTGTACTGTAGATATTTAAAAGAAGTCATGAATGGCAGGAAACGTTTAAACTTACAACTGATTTATCCGAAATATAGCATTTGAGATCACCAAATTTCATATAAGGCATAATAGCTAAAGGCATATTGGATCTTAGAACTATTCCGAAAGTTGATAATACATTTGGATGATTAAATTTCTTCATTCTTAAAATTTCTTTTAAAAATGCTCTTACATCCTGTTCTTTTGAATTTCCTTGCATAGTTTTTATAGCTATAACTAGAGATTTTCTATTTTTAACATATCTACCAAGATAAACTATACCAAATTGTCCTTTTCCTAACATTTCACCAACGAATAAGTTCTTTTCTTTCAGCACTACACTTTTAAAATTATCATTACTCTCGGTGATTAGTTCCTCAAGGATTTTTTTAGTATCAAACGACAGATTCTGGTATCCGTCAAACGTCTCTGGTGAATTTAACTCTGTTATAGGAATAGTCCTCTCTAAATCCATTAGTACACCTGTTTTGTTAATATAATTTATACTCTATTGCAGTTTATACCTTGGGAAAGATGAATAAGGATTTATTTCAAGATTACCTGAACTATTCCTCGAACACTTTCGTTTATATATAATTATTGAAATAATTAAAGCAACGAGAAGGATCATAAACACAATTCCACTTAGGACGAGTTTGTCATTGTAGTGGCAGAGATTGAAAACAATTCCGTATCCTTCGCCATTACAAGGTTTACTATTTTTTGCGGTGTTTAATTCATTAACTATAGTTGTTAACGAGATTCTTGAGGTCATATCTTCATTGATAATTCCCAATTAGCTATATTTTCTCCTGAAGTAATGTCTATGATCAATATAAAATAAATAACGCGACAGATATTATTATATAACAATTTTTATATAAATACTATCGAAGTATGGAATATTAAAAGAGGGATATTCTTCATATAGTATTGAAAAGGAAGGGTTAAAAATCATTCGGTCATATACCTTTTTCCTGACAATCTCCTTTCGGAATATACTCAATCCATTTCCCTCTTACAGGTGAATACATCTGATATATTACTAAGAATGAATCACGATATAGTTTGTTTGTCTCGCCCTTCATTAGCATATCACTTGTACCTTAATATTTAAACTTTAATTTTGAGTTCATGTAGGGCTATATAATTTAAATATATGCATTTCTTCAACTACAGATGGCGCAAGAGGAGCTTCCTTGCGCTATATTTTTTAGTTGCGACGAAAGCCCACCAAATACGATTATTAAACGTTTGAAACTTTATTAATATTATAATATAAAATATGTTAATCAATTTTCAAAAGAAATATATTTTCAATATATAGAAATAGATAATATTTCACAATTTTTTCACTTAATTCACCTATTATCACTCAGAAATTGTCTCAACTCCACAAGTGGATCCTGTTCAAGATGACATCGAGACTTACGAATGGGATATTGATACAAAATATTATACTTCGAAAATAAATCTATGCGCTTCGAAAACATCTATCCTGTCATCATCAGTATTGGAGCGAACGAATGCAATAGCTATAACGTTCAATACAAGCGAAGTATAAATAACCAAATTGTTAACCTATGTTAACTATTAGTTACTAATTATATAACATTCTATTAATTATTATAGGAAGATTGTTTGACAAAAGTAAGCAAACTATGGTCCCAAATAAAGGAATCCAGTCCGCAAGTTTTATTATTAATTTGCGAGAATTGTAAAGAGAGCGACCGTTTGTATAGATTGTTAAAATACTATAAATAGCTAGTTAAAACTAATATAAATCAAAAGAAAGAGTACGCATCACAAATTGTAATAAATCTCTAAAAATTTATGCAACAGCTATATCCCGAACTGAAATTATACACTGGACTTTGGATAATGGATTCGAATTTGTTGAATTAAATGAAGAATGCGAATCGGAAGGTAACGAATTATACAAATTTTATATTATTCAAACTATTACTTTATTATCACTCTTTTATCGTTCTTTTAGATGAATACGATGTTATTGGTATCAATAGAATTATTCAAGCTTTACACGCTCACACATGGCCAAATCTACAATTGAAAAGTGAGAATAATAGAAAATTGAAATCTCAGATAGAAAGTGAGAAGGAAAAACAAAAAGAGGAAAAGGAAGAAGAAGAAGGAGACTGCTCCTCAAAGTCATCTTCTAACGAACCAGAGTATAACGAATTGGAAGATAATTCTTATGAAGAACTGTTTTCGCAATTTGCCGATATGAAAGGTTTACCTTATTTTTATATAAATGTTTAATAGACAACGTATAAACAACAATTGTATTCTTTTTCAGTAAAGGCGGAAGGTCTACCACCGGAAGAACGAAAGAAGTTTGCCGAAGAGGTTGTAATAAAATTCTGGAAATCAATGGGTGGAGACGAATCAGAAATAGCTGGTTTATCAGATGACGATGACGACGATAAAGTACCGAAGTAAATGATGAAAGTTTGGAGAAAATTGATTAATTCCATAACTTATATTAATCATATAGATATTTTATTTTTAAAGAGGATATAAACTGTTTTTGTTAACATTAATAATTATAATAAAACAATCATGTTACTATCGATATCTCTATTTATATAGAAAAAATGTTTTTAGAGTAGTTTTTGACATTTTTATACAGTAGAAACAAAATTGGTAGGATATTAAAGAAGTTGTATTAAGCTAATGAATTTCTTATCTGTAGGTTTCAAAGGCTACTGCTAATAAGAAAAGTAAGTTAGAGGTAATATATAGAAATTTTCAAATATTAAAAGTTAATTACTATTATTACAGTTCTCAGAGTCTAATATCTTTTCCATAAGATAATTCAATAACGTTATTGATGTCATAAAGTATATGGATTTGTATATTTAAGGGATAGATACCTGACTAATGTCAACCAGATGATACATTATCTTGATTAGACATTTCGTTTCTTTCCTTTCTTGTTTACGCTCTGACTCAGAGTTTTGGTTCATATTCTTCCATTGTTCTTGAGAGAGAGAGTAGCGATGTATACATATTTTCTTTAGAGTTTAGTGTTTGTTGTAAATCTGTTGGACAAGTTTATGCGCAATTGTTGTTTTATGCTCTTTGAGAATAATTTTAAAAATTCTTGTCTAAATCTTTTACCACTGAGACAATAAATATAGAAATTCAAAGCGTGATTACTCTGAGATATAGCTGAGAGAGTTAGAGCTAGAACAAGTAGTTTTCTTGATTCCGATGGTGATGGCTCTTTAATAAAGTAATGTACATATAATTGAAGACTGGCTATTGGTAAACATGATGCCACAAAATACTGTAGAATGAAACGAAGATTAAGCAAATAACAAGCATGATATGACTTTTATTAGCATTATTATTGATTTTCAATTCATTAAGTGATAATTTCTTTCTTATTGATAAGGCTTTTAAAAGACTTTTCAACATCAGTATATTTACTAAGAAAAGCAGTAATGAGGGGAAAATTCCATAATCAAAAACTAGGATTACACTGTTGACGTTTCTTTCGTAAAATTCTATTGATTTAGTTTTATATTTACAAAGAAATACATCTTTCCATTTCGTTGTTGAAGATCTTATGATAAGTGTTTCCTGGTATATGAATAGTTCATGAATACCGAGAGGAAACTAAGATAAATCGAAGTTGTTGAATAGTTTAAAGGGGCTTTTGAAAATATAATGAAACACGAAATATTACCAAATATTCCAAGAAAAAACAGAATTATAGGAAAAACTTTACCAGTTATGATTATTGTTCTAACATCATCATTAAAATAGTCATCTAAACTGGAGTTGCTCATAATGATTCTTATAGAAAAGAGTAAAGTTTACTTCGGAGTATATCTAGTCAAATTTTGCTCAGTTCCTTGATGGAAAATGAGTTAGTTTTATGTTCAACGTTAATATATGTAAACAAGAATTTCTATTTTATATAATTAGACTTTATTATAATTAGCCTAAAACCTCTTACATCTTTACATCTTCTTAAAATGGATATATAAAGATATAAAGGCGGAAAAGAAACGTTAAAGGCGTTAAAAATTTCTAATTTTTAATATTAAATATATCTTGTCTATATTATTCTATCTCGTCTTTCTTTTTTATCAATATTACCATTCATAATTAAATATATAAGAATTTCCCTTTATTATCTTTCAATAGGAACAACGTAAAGGAGGAAAAACTACAGCAAAACAACGAATTGTCTTAATTTTAAATATATTTTCTTTTTCTTTGCTTTCATTTTTACATTATTTACCTCTTTTTTACCTTTGTATATTTTATATATATTTTGATTGTTTTCTTCTATTTTTACGCTAATATTAAACTATAAAAGATATTAAATAATAAAGTTTAATGCATATTCATAAGAGTAATTTGCGATATATATGTATGACTATTTAAAATTTTGAAGCCTTTTGTAGAACTATTGAATGTTCTGTTTGAGAGGAATTGCCCTTTCTTATATTCTTGAATAATTGAAGAAATTCACCTCTGAACTTTTTTCCACTTAGACAATAAATATAAAAATTTAGTGAGTTGTTACAGTGTGATAAAACTCCAAATACTAAAGCTAGAATTTTTATCTTTGCAGCTTGATTGGGCGATGGATTTGGATTAAAATTTTGAAAATAGACGTTAAGCCAAACTAACGGTAGAGTTGAAACTGTAAAAAATACAGATAAACTGACAAGTAAAATAGATAGTTGATAGTTTTTCATTTCATTCCTATCCAAGTTAAACGTTACCAAATATAATCGTTTTCTCTTGGCAATTATTAACTTTCTCACTATTAAGGAATTAATAAAAAACAGTATAACAGATGGCATAAAGGTGAAATCGAATGCCACTACTAAACTATGCACATTCCTTTCATACAATTCTACCGATTTTGTCCTATATACACATAGGAAAATATCATCTATTTTTGATATAGAAGACCTCATAATTAATGCTTCATCATATATGAAAAGTTTATGGGAATAGTATGCAAAATGTATAAGAATAAGACAAATAGATACAATCTTTGCTCTCTTCTTCGAGCAAATATTTTTAGCTTTGGTAGGGAAGATTATAAAGAGACTTCTATCCAAATTCATAGCAACAAGAATCCATGCACTCGAAGTTGAAAATATAACTGGTAAGAATCCATCCATTGCACAAAAGTAATATCTGTAAACTTGCTTATTATCCGTTATTGTAGTTTCCATAAATTTAAACATTCTACCAAAAGCTTCCAAAAGTAAAGAAATTGTATCGACAAACGCTAAATATCTAAGATAAATGGAAGTTGTTGTGTAGTTTAGAGACGCTTTACTAAATATTATAAAACTGCAAATATTTCCAAAAATACCAATAAAGCATAGTAACATTGTAACGCTCTTACAACTGATCATAACAATTTGATAATTTTCAATGAAATAGCTATGATAATGAGTATTATTCGTTAAATTCAACATGGTTTACGTATGTTTGTACAGTTTGTAGAGTATGTTTACTTTTTACCTTATATACAGAGAAAATGTATTTCGTTAATTGACAGCAGAAAATGGGAGATATAGTTAATCTCAATTTATAAATAGCCTTATAGACTATTTTCGGCTGAAATAAGCAGTTTCTTCTTATAGATTAATGATGTATGTTTCGTAACGAACTCGTAATAAACTTTAACAAGATTATTGTTATATGAATAAGCCTTTATTTAATTATTATTCTTATTAAATATTATATACAAATAAGTGTAATTTGTACAGTTTGATACAGTTTCAAATACAGTTTATACACTAATACTTTGAAAAGAATTTCCTTCTATTAAACAACATCTATAACTTAATAAATAATTAATATATTCATTTCACAACTAATTGAATATTTTCAACTTCAACGCAATTTTTCAATGAATGTTTCATGAATAAAGTTTTTAATTCGCCTTCCGCTTGAACTTTAAGACAGTTGTTCAAATACTTTAATATTTCATCTAACCTCTTTATTAAATCATTTAAATGATCGTTATTCGTTAATGAATTACGAATGTCATAACGATCCTCCTCTTTAACTTTTTCCTTTTTTAATTGTTTAATTAGTACTAAAGGTTCATCTTTAATAATATATTTGTTCTTAGAATTTTTAGTATCTTTTGGTTTTTTGAATAATCTGTTAAATAATTCACCAATGTATTTATATAATTCTTCATCGTATCCGGTTTTAGTCTTTTTCGATTTGACTTTTTTTAGTATATCGTTTAGAATTGTTATTAAAAAGTTTGTTGCTACATAATGAATTAGGAATGCATAGATAATTATAAAGATTTTCCCATACAGACCGGATTCTGCTTCTATTGAATCGAATGATAATTTTCCGAATAGAGTTCGAAATAGTGATATAGCACTTGCAATCAAAGTCTTATAGTTGTTCAATTTTGGTCCAAATACTATTAAGCCAAAAAATGATGAACCAATTAAAAATGCAATATAGCATATTAATAGATTTAAAAGAAGTTCTTTGGTTTTTGTCAATATCGTTGCTAATATAGATATATTTCTGGATATCTTTAGTATCTCTAATAAATGAATTTGGGCAAAAAAGGCGGATAGACCTATAAAAAGAATAAAATATTTATCAGATGCAAAGAACTTGGAGAAATCAATGATCTTATCTCTAGAGTTCATTACGGTTTCAACAGTTTTTAAACCAATAATAGTTCTCCAAATGTAAAGTGCAATAGCTGTCATAAATGTTAGTAACGATAGCACAAGGAAAATTGATGGTAATTTCCTTTGTTTTATTCCAAGTATAACGGTTTTACAAAGTTGTATTAAGCCTATGAGTAACGTAAAACCTTCGATTATTAACGTTATCAATCCTCCCACTCCTGTATATCTATATAATTTTAAAGAATCCACTTCAATTGATGGAAGAATCTGTCCAAATAAATCTCTTTCGAATATCCATCTGGCTTGTGACATCCATAGATTATTCATTATTATAACCTCCAAAATCACCTTAGATGTTGTTCTATCGAACCAAAACTGTTCATTAACATTTCTTAAAATTTTCTGGGCTGTTTCGTTATTATCGCCCAAAGATATAACCGACACATTCAGAAAGGAGTTAGTAATGAAATTAGTAAAATTAGTAATTGCAGATTTCTTATCATCGCCAATGCAAGGTCTGCCTTCATAAAGATTTCGCAATATATTTGATAATCTACATTTCTGATACATGAATCTCTCTTGAATGAGTTTAGGAGGAGAAAATCTCATCTGATATAAATCTTGAATAAATTTTTTATCGTATTCATCTCTCTCTTCCGTATTATAGTAATAATCTTGATAAATGGTAGGGATAGCTTCATTACTTAGCCATTTGTTTAAATTTTCCAGTGATTTTATAGATTGAACGTTATTTATTGATTTACTTAAAGCTTGATTTTGATAGAAATTCTCAACCTGCCTTGACGAAAAGCAAACGTATACTAATAAGGTAAAATATATTGAATGAATGAAGATGTCAAAGATCATTTTTCTCATACGATTTTCAAGATTCTTTTCTAATTTCTTTAATCTATTACGCTCCCTAATCTGAATATATTTCAAATGAACTTTTAATTCTTTTGGAACTGTATTAAGGTCCTGCTTTTGTAATTTTATCAATTTTTCCTTTCCAGTTTCGTATTGAAGAAGATCGCTCTCTTGTTTCAGAATGAACGTAAGGAAGATAACAATGAGAAATACTTTAATTGGTTGAAGAAGAATAAAACTTTCGAAGAAAGATAAAACAAACGAGACCAACCACTTGACCGATTTTTCTTTACCCCATTGAATAGAATAAAGTATGGTAAAGAATGCCGAAGAAAGAATAGCAACAATTGCCACTGTCCATCCAAAAATTACGCAAAATCTTCGTTTTCTCTTCGAATTGAAGCAGGAAGTAATTACGATCAAACCTGGTACAACCACAATGCTACTAGCAAAACTTACATATACTTCATTCACCGTGAATGAGTATGGTCCAATAGTAAAAGCGCTTTGTTTAGGACTCGTTTCCGAGTTCCTATAAAACATACAACTAGCAATCATAGACAAAAAGAGAGCAACGAAACAAGTTATTAATCTTTGTAGTCTTGTGAAAATTGATCTTATTCTCTTTGTTCCAATTGATAGCCAAAGATGATCATCAGCAAATCTTCTTTTGGTATTTCTTATCAATAGAGTTGAAAGATCGTATTCGAATTTTTCAAATTCTGCTAATAAAAGTTCTTCATTAATCAAACCAGCAAAGGATAACCAATCTTCATGGGTAAAAAGAGACCAATTATTTGTCGAACAGTGAATAATGATTATCTTGGACAGGTATAGTTTAGTATTCGAAGGGAATGGTTCAACTGTTCCGATTTTTAGACAAACCAATTGGCCAAGATAGTTCGGCGTTGTAAGCATAAAAGAACTACATGTATCCGACTCAACCCTCTTAAATGAAAAACGAAATTAAAAGAATGATAAATTATGTGATAATTAACTTTGTGCAGACTATAAACTGCATAATTAATATATGTAACTTACATAATCATCTTCTGATAGGATTCTTTGACCCGAATTACCTTCTGTACCGTATAACGTTATATAAATTCGTAGATTTGAAGATTTTATTATCGTTTTACCAGTAAATACATGAATTTCGTATCTATTAGAGTCTCTTTCCTGATTGCCAATTAGAGATATAGGTTTCCAAGAAATTTCATCTCTAATATCTAATCTTCGAGCCAAAATGACTAATGGTATTAATAATACAATTAAACAACAAATTGTTGAAAAAACCGCTGCGTTATCGGCTAGTTTTGAACCAAAATTTAAGAACACTGTATCAAAATCAATTAAATTAGGTTTAATATCTAAACCAGCCCCTAAGCTGCCAAATATATTACTCTTGAAGCGGGTTGTTGATGGTGTACTTCCTTTATCGATATTACATACAGTAGGGTCTGAATGCCAAGTGTTACCATTCCAGATATTGCAGGAGGCATTAAATATTGTTACGTTATAATTAATTATCTCTAAATCTGAATCAACAATAAAGTAAAACGTTGTGTTATCATTCTGATCAATAACTAATGTTCTTAGATATTCGTAACAATACTTTTCATTCATCTGTTTTGTACAAGATATATTTTGAGGTATTGAAAAATTCCGATAGGTGGCATTTGTTAAATTTCCTGCTGTAAATGATACAGTTAAATTTCCTTTCAGTGGTTCAAAGGTTAAAATTAAAGGTATCCCGGATTGTGTAACGTTTATAGAATGTATAACTTTCACTTTTGATTCTATAGATTCCGATTTAGGCTTCGTAATATCCATTGTTAAAGCATAGGGCTCATTTAATGTTTCTTTCAGTTTTTTATTATCCTCTTTTTTGGAACTTTTACACGATTCTAATCGAAATTCTGCAACGCTCGATTTAACGCGATCGGCACTAGCATCCCATATATAAGGGTTAATAGTAGACACAAGTAGCATTCTCTTAATACAATCATCATCATTAATATCCATCATTTTATTGATTGATGGAATTTCTATGAAACTATGGCGAGCGGAATACGTCTGGTTGCTCATATTTTTCCAGTTATTTCTTTCTAACTCTAGAGTTATATCCTCCAAAGATATTTTCGTTGCACCATCCCCAACTCTTTTATCGTCTAGTAACTCATCACTAACGTTGTGTATAACGGCGACTACCTCTCTCATAACGACACCAACTTGAGTTTGTGTATCATTTAGCATAACTTCCGGCTCTGGTGGAGTTTCAGTGGGACCTAGATTATTAATTGTTGAAAAACAACTATTCTTACTGCCCTTTAAATAACTTTTAACCTCTTGATTATGTGAATTCGCGGCCGAGGCAATACGAATTCCGCTTTGAATAAGGCTAACCGACAAGTCTTCCGTAACTTGTCTCCCAATTCTCCCTCTATTATTATTTAAAGCTGAATTTAAATTGGTTAGTTGAGTACTAAGATCATTTTGAGTTTGAATATCGACTTCATTTGGCTTGGATGCTAAAGAATCTATTAGACCATTATTTTGCTGCATCTCGTCAGCTGTATTAAAAGGGATTTTTTTTGTATGATTAACCATAATTCCTCTTAAATTCATCCTTCTCTGTCTTCCTTTGCATTCGTTATCCTTTCTTGTAGGTTGATCATCAGTTTTCGAAGAGTTAGACGTTAAATTTACGTTTAAAATCGAAGTTACCGAGAAAACGCTGGAAGCTACTTGACTAAAACTGCCGTTTTTTATTTTATCAGTAATATCATTACTAGTCATAATATTCATCGTTTCATTTAGCAACTCCTCTTCCGGAAGATTGGGAACAGTGACTTCAACATCATAAAGAAACTCCGTTTGATCCCCTACGGAATCCCTAACGGTTATTACAGCTTCAGTCAAAAAATTCTTATCCGGATTCCCAACCGGTAGCATCAAAGGTACAGATTCCTGGTTGTAGGAAAAAAATAAAAGAAAAGATTTATCTGTTCCTTTGGGTCTTGCTTTATATTCGTATTTCAAACCCAAACTTCCTTCCCTCTTGTCGTATTCCAACCAACCTTGACAACTTATCATAAAATTTGTGATGGAAGCAAAACCACTTCTAGGTTCGCAATTGCAACTTCCCCCAAAAGGCCTTTTATTTCGAAGGAATTTTTTCTCAAACTTTGTAGTTTTATTAAGAAATCGTCCTTCAACTTCTAAGTAATGCCATACTCCTTCCTTTAAAGAATTTTCCAATATTTCTATCCTCTTCGATGTAGTAGTCGTCGATATGTGCAATTTTGATTGAAGGTCAATTTCTATTTTTCCTCCTGAATATTCTTCAAATAATCGCCATTTATAGTAAACTTCATCAAACATAGTTGAACAATGTTGCAGGCAATCAACAGCAAATACCATTGGTAATCTTATAGCTGACTTTTTACCGCAATTTTCCATACATCTGTAATATCAATAGAATTATTTGTATCACAGTAATTATTTAATTATTAGTTTACTTACATTACATTGACAACTGGAATACCAGTTTCAATAATTAATTCCTGTACTGAATCCACGAACGCCGAAGGGGAGCTAACTCGAACTCTAATTAGAAATCTTTGTTTTGTATCTAAATATGCGGTATTTAACGTAAATTGATTAGCAGTGACTGGTAACTTTCCAGGCCCTGTCCCAAAACATCCTCCACTCTTTAAATAGTCGTTGGTTATGTTAGGTGGATAATTGATGTATGTCAATTTGTTAGTTATATTATCTTGTTCGTGGGAAAGCTTACAAAACCATTCAAAGCTTATTTCATCCATATTATCGGATTTTACTAGGGCTTTAAAGGTAACATTATCAGAATAATTAACATTGATAACACTTCCGCCTTCAACTGAAACATTTAAGGGTAGATGTACTATTTGAAAATATATTGAAGCATTTGCTGTTGTTTCTTCTACTTTATTCATACTAGCGCTGAAAAATGCTGCATAATGTCCGTAATTTAGAGAGAAAGCTTTGCACAATAAGGTTTCATTAAAGCCTTCTCTAATAGTTGTATTCGTATCTAAATATACAAGTTTCCAATAATAATCAATTTTACTAGTTTTTGAACAGAATACAGTTAAATTAACGAATAGTTCCAAATGATCAGTTTTGAATAGATCAGGCTGAGAGAGAAAGTATTTATTGACGTTTATTTTAGGAGGAAAGCAGTACCAGTTTTTAACCTCAAATTTCTTAAAAACCAAGTCACTACCTAAATGATTAAAAGCGCGAATAGCTATATAATAAACGCCTTCGTTTTCGTAACGATACTGAAATCTTATTAGTTTATCGTTTTTACTGATTTTAGTGAAATTAAGAAGTTTATCCTTCGAATAATCCTCGCATAATTCATCCAATCCGAACGTTCTTTCGTCTAATGTATTACCGAATTGTATATGTAAGCAACCCCTATCCCCAATATTATCCATCTCTAAAATAAATGTTGTTAAATTGAAAACCAAAATTGGTTCAACGATTATTATAGAACGTATAATAACCACATCCAATCTCACTAATACTTTAGCTTTAGAAATAACCTCCGAAACAGTATTAGAACAATTCGTTATCATGTTTAAAATGCCTAGAGAGGATTTAGGAAGAGTTTGTCCAAAGTTGAAATTTCTGTCCCTAGGCCAAATTTTGACGAAGATATATTTTGACATGCCGTTGCTAAATTGTATATTGCAAGAAATATCTTCCAATATTTCTTGTTCTTTATCCAATTCCAAAGAATAGTTAAGATTTCCTGGTGGCCAGTATATTGTATCCTTGCAAATAATATTTACAAGTTTTATTCTATTTTGAACGACTATCGCAACCCTTACTTGACCTTTGCTAATTGGATTTTTAGCCTCCACAACAACTGTATAATTTCCGGTTTCGTTATAAAACTTAGAGAGAGTTAGAGGCGTCTCTGAAGCGAATATTAGAGGATGCTCTACCTCTATTCGAGTAGTATCATTAAAGTCAATTACGAATGTGACATTCGAGCCTTTTTGCATAGTTATATTCAAGTGGAACTCTACCACTGGCATAATATTATAGGCGGTAGATAGTAGGGTCAAATTTGATATTTCTTCGAAAATTGAGAAGGTGTGATTAGTTGTCATAGAACTAACTAAGTTCCAGCAGGAAAGATGGAGATTAATGTTTTTACCAACATCTCTCCTAGTTAAATTATGTAATAATAATTCTGTACGTTTTTTTATAGAAAGCTCCGGAAGAAATCTAATTTCCGCCACTGCAAAATTCGTTGATAAATTCCAGGAACAAAACACATCGCTAGGTCCAATTGAATTAGTATTCGCCTCTAACCAAAATTTGTAGATATCTTTATTAAAAGTGAAACGTTCAGATTGAATTATTTCAATCTCTTCAATTGCATTCTGAACGATTACCTCATAAGTTAAATTTAATATTGCAGAAATGTTGTTAGAAGTCTTAAAAATGGCTTGAACTTTAAAATTACCGGCAAGGGAATACGAATGATTAAAAACATGTCCAGTTGAACACGACAAATGAAATGTTTCGGTAATATTATCGCCGTACATAAGAATTACCGTTGAATTATTACCAATCACAAAAAATTTAGCTGTCTCATTCGTTCTCAGGATATTTTTATCAGAATTTAATGAATAATTAAGCTCATTTACAGTACTTTTAAAATGGATTTTATTATCTGTAAACGAAAATAACATTAAAAGAAAAGTTTAATGACATTTTCTTTTATTGTTTTTAAGTGGTAGAAATAAAAAAGAATAGCTATAAATATTCTATTAAGCTATTTATTATTGTTGTTGTTAAGTATAAATGTATGTAATTTAAGGAAATATTATCTAGCATTAACTTGGATAGTATCGATAGATACTATAATACATACTTTTCCATAATCAAGTACGATTATGTGTCTGTCATATATATGTTATATATCATTCATACATATACTGTATATATATACATTATATACTAATATATGTATACAATACATTATTCTTCTATTTAACACTTACCAACTATACAAATCAATTGCAAAATTTCAAACGAAAGGATACAAAGGATCAATTTTGGAATCATGTCTCCTCTGCTACTGATTATGAGCGATTGAGAATATTCGTGCATTATTTTATTGACCTGAAAGAATGTTTTATTATTCATATATAGGAAAAAATAGACTGAAATTTATTAACCTTCAAGCTATATATATAATCATTTTGAATTAAAAATTTACAGTTAAAGAAATTATATAATAGAAAGAATATTCAAGTTTTAATATGGTTTTTAATACTTACAATAAAATTAAAGCTTGGAAAACAGGCTTTCTGTTAAATCTCCAACATTATTTCATTTCAAGTCATAGGTTAGTAAGGCCTCCCCGTAAACCTTCTAAGGTCAATTCTCTTGCGTCCACCACTCTGGAAAATTCCATTATCTACGATAGTCAGTCTTTCCCATAGAGCGTTCATTCATCTATCTAAACCACAGCGAATAGGTTTCATTCTGACAAATAATTAACAAGGAACGACGTTACCAATCCTAAGCGTTTAAAAAGTACAGTAATCTTTTTAAAAAGGTTATATTAAGAATTTAAACAAAACAAATCATTTTATTTATTGTTCTTCTTTATTTTTTAATAATAAACAGGAAAAGAAAACAGATGGACTGTGGAAATTTCTCTTCATCCAAACAAACAAAAAAAAAACTATAATCTAATAAAATCCAATAAAAGCAAATTTTCTAAACATGGAAAACAAGGTTTCTTTAGTCAATTGTTTTAGGTTTATTCAATTTAACAGTTCTTGCGCCTAGTACCGAGGATTTTTTAAGCATATCCAACTGCCTTTCACCTTTTCGTATTAAATATTCAATTTTCATTATATCACTTCGATTTATCAAGGAATTTTTACGAAATTCTGTTTTTATTTGTTCTTTTAACCCAATTTTATCATCTGTCGCCCTAAGTAGCCTTCTATATAGACCTAATACAACAATTTGGACTCGCGAATGCCTTGCCATAATATACACCAAAGTCGTGTTTTTCGTTTAGCAGACGACGGATTTTGTTCTAAACACTGGCGCCATCTATTCCTCATCAATTTAAAACTTAATTCCAAAAGGACCGATTGCGATCCTCTCCTCAAGGAAAAATAAAATCTTACTTTCAATTCAACTAACTAAATTATTAATTGTTTATATTTCAATCAAAGTAAAAAACAAAGTAGCCTAAAAGGTTTAAAAAAAGAACTTTTACTTAACTTTTCAATTAAAACTAGAGTATATAGCTGTAGTTGATTTTTTTTAAATTCCATTTTCGTATCATATGAAATAATTAGTATTATTAAAAGACAAGACGAAAAAGAAAGAGTGAAAATTCTCTCAATTCTTATATTTTCCTTCTTTAGCCTACTTTTCACAACCTTGTTTACAAAAGCTAATAATATTTATCTAAACAGTAATAATATCAATATATACATTCTATCCTTTATTAGTGTCATTTTTACATATATATATATATATATTGCACATGGTTTAGACGACGAATACGCTACTTATACACAAAAATTGAATTAGAGCTAACTGTAGAGCAGAATTTACAGTATCTATTCTATATGCACCATTTAATTAAATACCCTTATTAAGATATGATTTCCGACTTGAGATTCCAAGAAAAGTGGTTTATCTTTCCTTTTAAAGGTTATATAATGTTAATTGCGTCTACCACTCGAATAAAAAATAATTATCTTCTTCTCACTTTTTACATGCGTAACAAGTTAAATAACGGTAGGATCCTCAGTATTTGTTATCAATGACTGTCAAGAGAATTCGTCATTTATTCTTTTTTCTTTAATCTTACAAAATATTCATTCAGTCTCTTATACATCAAAGATTCTAGTTTTGTATGGATAGAAAATTTGTAGTCACGTGATATGTTTTTATTAATACTTAAAAACTGAAACTAGGAAAGAGAAAAGGAAAAGATTGGTAAGGTACATGCAAATGAACATAAATACAACAATTTTGATGTAAGGTATATTATAAAAAATTGGGGATAATAACTATAATCCTGTCAATATTTGCCCTTATTGTATATTTATCATTTATTCACTTTTATTAGACCCTTTTAATTTTCTCCTGAATACGTATTGTTAAAGTACTTATTACATTAATAATCTATATGAAAAAAAGCTATTTGTAAACGTTTAGATCAACCGAATATCTTTTTAATGGTATTCCCCTTCCCTCTCCTTAATGGATAAATGATACAACATAGAAAAAGAGAAATAGAATCAGTTAAAATAAAGAAAATTAAGTATAAAGACTTAGAAGACACATCAGCGCTCTAATCAATCAAATACTTGGTTTTAAACTTAAAATTTTATAAGCGTCTTAAAAGTGCTAGACGTCCAGGAACCAGTCATTAATTGACAAGCACTAAATACTAAATAAAGCTTGAAAGAGGGTAGAGTTTTTCTTCTTTTGTAAAAGTAAAATTAATAGATGTCTTGTAGAAAAGTCTATAGAAGTGAAAAGAAACGGAATTAATCTTGTTTTACACCAATAAAAACACTGAATAGATAAAATATATGTAAATTTACATTGTTATGCAGATGCTAATTTTTAAGAATATCCTTAAAAAGTCTACTCTTGTTCGCTATTCTTTCTTTATATAAAAATGACCAGCTGGTGTATTAGGGTCATTTATAGGTTTTTTTTTATTGTAATTTCTTTATTTATTTTTTCTTTCATCCTTTCTTTCTTTATCTTCTCCCTCCACCTCTACTTCTATCTTTGTTTTATCTACTACTCCTTTATTCTTAGATCTATTCAGTCTTTATTTGTATTTCAAAGTGTTGAAATCAATGAATTCCTAGTATCTTTCTATCTTCCATAGCTCAAGCGCTTAGAGAACAAGTCTTACGTCAATATCCATCTAGTTCTGACAATTTTCCATTAATCTTCAAAGTATAAGTACTTCTATTATTCTTATAAGTTCGGAATCGTGCCGATTTATTGTACTTTTAATGAAAAAAAATGAGCTAATAGCAAATTAGAATTATAATATTAAAACTATTACTCTCAACAATATCTAGGTGGAGCCACATTTGTGTTTTTTTTTCGGATCGAATGTTATTAAACAGCCCACCTAAGTCTCATTAGTTACAGATTTGGTCATCCGTAAAACGGCTTAAACGCATAGAAAAGACGATAGAAAGAGAAATGGGACTTTTTTCCATTTTAGTTTCAATACTCGACAATATAAAGAGGAAACTGCTCGTACAATCTGCACAATCGTCCCCATCCGTTGTAAATTGCTTTCCAAAAGTAAATTACTATTACATGTTGAGTCGTCAAAAAATCGTTCCATTTACCGATGGGAGAAAAAGGGGAAAGGAAGAGAGATAGGAAAATTGGCCAATATTTTATCCTTTTTCTTTATAACAGGCTAATTCTCAAAGAAAAGTAAAAGAATACAACTTGCTTCAATTTTTTATTATTTAGTTGTTTGCATTTTTGTCATTTTTCCTTAACAAAATCTTTTAGTCCTAACGAATAACGGAAATATTTGTCAAAAGAGAAAAAAATGGCTTAATTAACACTCTTTAGGCGCAAGATTTATTTAAAGAAGGCAATTAAGACGAAATAACGATAAAAAGGTTTCTTTTTTTTTTTAAAAAAACAAAACCATATTCATATAATTACAATTACATTTAAAGTTGTTGTATTAGGGTTTCTGTCTTTATTTCTCAATCTTTATTCCTCTCTTTCTCTCTTTCTCTCTCTCTATCCCCTTTTCCCTTTCTTATAATTGCTAATTTACCAAAAAAAACAGCAATCTTTTTTCTTACTTTAGCGTTCCTGTTTTACGTTTAGTGAATAATAAAAGTCAAGGTCAAAACTATCGGGAACAATCAGATATTGTAATATTTATTTCTTAAGGTTTTTGTAGGACAAAAAAAGAAGTCAGAATAGCACAAGTAATGATGGAGAAGAATAAAATCGTAAATCCACCTACTTCCCGCACGAATAACATCCATAGGCCTATCAAAGCTGGCGCAAAAAAACGATCGCCTGTCGTCTAAAAAACGAGGGGGGTGGGGGGGAGAGAGGGGAGAGAAGAGAGAGAGGGAAGGGGGGAGAGGGGCAGGGGCGAGCCTCTAGCGTTCACAGAACGACGCTCACTGCGCCATTCGGAGAGTGGACTCGAAGTGGAAAGCGTCTTTTATTTTTTGTGCAAAGTTTCTTTCCACAACTTTTTGTACTTATCATTGTGGTGGCTTGTTAATCCCGCCTCAGAATTAAGCTTAAAAAATTATTCCGTGACGCCTTTTAAAGCGTCCTGTTTCTCATAAAACGGTTTGTCTTCATAATTCGGGATATGCACATCTTGTTCGTTTTTGGTTTTTTTCTGCATATTGGTCAGGTAATAAGTGGTAAGTTGATCGCTTCTAGACTATTTGCATATTTAAAGGCCTACAGGGCAAAAATAGCGGCTTAAAAATATACCCAAACGTCGAGCTGTCAAATCTGGGAAGCGTCTCCCGCAGGCGTCTCCAAGTTGTTTACGTACAACTCGTTCGTCTTCATTAACATACTTCTCGTGGAGTTCTGCCCCTTTCCTTCTTCCAGCCCCTCTTTCCTTCCCCGTGAGACAGCTAGAAAACTGCATTGCAGTAAAAGGGAGGGCTCCAGCCACAATGGCAGTCTGTCACTGATTGGGTCATTAGCAGAGTAGCGCATCGAACGGCATCTCTTCATTAGGATGTTCTTATTGTGTATACTCTCTTAAAAATGGGATCGTGTTTCGCTTCAATTAATTGAGGCGGAAGACAAATTGAACAATATAATATTATCCGTCCTGAAATAAAACTATAAAATATAAAAGAGAAAGGGGGAAATTGCACTTAATCCGATTCATGACACGATGATCATCGATCTGTCTCTCTTTGCGTCATTTTATGTACAGTATCGTAAAACTTGTTTATTCTTTCACTTTTGCCTTTTCTAATCGTTCTCCATGTTGCGTAAATGGCCAACATTAGCCTCTCTTCTTTTTTTGTCATAGATGTCGGAAATTCGACAAACGAGACAGATAGGCCTACGCGACCTTCTTATCAATTCCGCTATATTCGATTCTCACTACCGATTGCCAATGATACAAAAGAAAGTCAAGAAGAAGCGAAGATATCAACAACAAACAAGATATCTGAAAGTATTAATACTACGAATTCGGAAGTTGAAATCAGGACAGAAACAACATTAGAAACAGAATCAAAAGTATCAGCAACATCAACTGTATCAGCAATAAATGAAAAGCCAACAGAAAGTGCTACAACAGAACCAACAGTTTCAACGCCGAATACTCTAAGTGAGAGTGCAACAGAAAAACAAGATATCAACGACAATAGGTTTCTATTTGATAAAGATAAGGGATATTATAATCGATTAAAAGGTAAGCTTTGCAGTCGGATTTTTTTTATATTCTATACATTAGATCAATGGGTATTAAAAATTATCACATTTCCTTTACTCTACTACATTTTATACGGAGGGAGAAAAAACAATAAATTCTTTATCGAAACAGTAACATATAGCAGATAAAAGTTGAAGCCGCATGTCATTAGTAAACTTTGACGGTTGTCCGATTAACTAGGCCTATACTTGCAGATAAAAGTATTTAACTAAATACCATTTAAGCGACAGTCTTTTCATATTTATAAATAAGTTAAGTAGTTATTTTATTATAAATAAAATAAACTGCAGAATTTAGGAAACGTATAGAATACTGTTGTTACAAAAAGCATCTTGTCCTGTCAGTGACAGTCGCATGCTTGAGATTTTTCATATAGGAAATTCTAATTCCGGTTCTCTAGTAAATCTTCATCTAGAATAGGAAGAGACGCCCTAGATTTATTTATTCTATATTAAACGTCCCGAAAAAAAATTTCATTGCAAATAGCTGTCTTCGTTACTCCTGCCATCTTTCCTCTCTCCTTCTCTCTCGACTGCCAATTTCAAGTTTTTTTTTTCTATAAAGATTGAAATAAATCGCCTTGTGACCTTAACAAGGACGAGAAGCTTTAAACAGTAATTCATTATAACATCTAATAAGACCACGATCTACTGAAGAGAATAACGAAAGGTCGCCCTGGTCGAACTCAAGCTAATTTTATATTATATCACGTGGTTGTATTTCTAAAGATATTCCCAAGATCTTTTTTATTAGACGCTTCAGTACCTTATTACTTACTTTTATATGGTGATCATATACAGTATATTATAAGTGTATAGCTTGGAACTGTGACAATCTTTCTCACTCAGAAACTAATAAAGGAGGCCGGTGTTGTAATGTGATTTCGGCATGTAATTCGACTCTTTGCCTGTAGGCCTACACATCACGTGATATTAGTAAATACCTCAATGCACCAGAGGATTTGATCCACGAATATGGAATATAATATTCCTTAAACATACATATTTTTGCCTTATCCCCGTTTGGGAGAAGTAGGAAAAAAATGTTTGTCCAGTAGTTGTCAAATTATTTCAATATGTCTTTTATTTATTGTATATATCTATAATTTATTAGAATCATTTTTCTCCAATATAAGAGAGGTTCAATGGTGACGATAGGAGGAGCGATTCGTACGACTCGCTGAATGAAGATACTGGCGGTTACTATAGCGATGACGGTAAGGGTTATAGGTTGAGAAATGAATGAATATTAACAAACCGAAAAATATCTTTGATTAACAAATGCATGGAAAGATTTCAAAAAATGATAAAAAAGTTGGGTTTTTCAACAGATTATACGTTGGGTGATGATGATCTCTACCCGAGAGATAAGATAATGGACGGTAGGTTAAAGATAAAAAAGAATCTATAAAAAAAAACTCATTTTAACATGTCAATGTGAATTTTACGGACCAATAGGCAAAAGTGCATTCGAAGAGGAAAACTTCCCGTTAAGGATGCGAGGTTCGTATGTCCTTATATAAATAAACATTCTAGATAACCTGTTAGAAGGTTTTGTAAGAGAAGCGTATAATTGTATGCCCCTATTAAAAAAAACGGAACTTATCTTCTTTCACTAAAAAAAGGCTTAACCGGGAATAAAGAAGAGGCGTCCAGCCAGCTGCCGTCCTTTGGAATTATTGCTTTATCCTGCTGGCTTGCTGTTATATTACTAACAACAATAGGACTCGTCATTTTTGCCGTTCGAAAGAATAAATTGAGTGTAAGTTAATTCCGTTATATTGACAGTTCTAATGTGCCTTATAAAAATGTCCTAAATCTTACTTTATTTTTTCTCTATCTCTCTCTCTCTATATATACATAAATAGGTTTTCCAAGGAACTCGAAGAGTAGAAGAAAGACAAGAAAGAGAAGAAGAGCATGAAGTTCACAATCTGTTGAGAATATAAAAAGAAAGCCTCAGACTAGTCTACAATTAAAACGACAAATGTTATTAACTTTACAAATTTTAGTACTTTTATTGACTCTTAAACATTTTTATTTACATATGTCTTCCTTTATCCTCTCCCTTTCCTTTCCCCATTCCCTATCCCTGCTCCATGTTCTCTTTCCATCTTTCTTACACATCAAAAAGCTAGCTAAAAATATACTTTAGAAACCGAAGTGTCAACTAGATGGCGTTATGTTTAATAGTACCGGTTTTTCCTAAAATCAAATACTGCCAATTGTTTGAATGTTTTACTTAAAAACACCTGTAGTGAAATTGATGATGCCCGCCAAGTTTTAATTCTTAATACAAATAAATGTCATTTTAGAGAAAATGACCTAATTTTCTTATGGTTTAGTAGGATATATTTGGAAGTTATGACAAGAAATATTTGGAAACAATTACTAATATCCTGTATATTGGGGATAATTTTAACAATCTTCCTATATATATACCATGGGAGTAGCGTTGTCAGATTAGGTAAAAGCTATAAAGATTATAAAACAATTTAGATTGAGATTTTGCTTTGTAACTCATATATTAAAGTTTTAGTATAAATATAAACTGTTCTAGTTACGATCCATAGCTAATTATATATTTAAATAATTAACATCCTATTGGAAATCAACCATCCGTAGAGGCTAGGGAAGAGAAAATATTTAATTATTTACATGAAAATATAGTTTTATATAAAATATATATTCTAGATTTTGTAGTGATATCTTTCATTTCGCTTTAGTGACTAATCTTTTATTAATAAATTTTAGTTAAAAGTTTTCGTACAACCAAGAGCCATACCATTTCCAGTGAAGAGCAAGATGTATATAATAAGATAAAGATTTTCTGTTTTATTCCCATTCAACAACGGAATTTATTAACGAAAGGAAGTGCTGTTAAAAGAACATGGCTAACTAAATGCGATGGCTATATGTTTTTTGGTGAAAGAGATGATCCTATATGGCCAATGGTTAAACTTCCAATTAGGGAAAGTTTTCAAAAACTACCTGCAAAAACTATGGCAGCTTTTAAGTATGTTCACAAGCATTTCTACGACTCTTATGATTATTTCCTGAAGGCTGACGATGACACTTACATTATCATTGAGAATCTACGCTACCTGTTAATGTCTTATAATGACTACAAAGATCAACCTATTTATATAGGACATAAAATGAAGAGACATGTACAACAAGGCTATTTAAGTGGAGGTGCCAGCTACGTTTTGAATAAAGTAGCATTAAACAAGCTAATAAAAGATGGTCTAGCAAATTCAGGTAATGTTTTAGAGTGTACGAAGGAAGTAGGGGCTGAAGATGCTACTTTAGGGCGTTGTCTTGAAAAACTTGGCATTAAGATAGCAAATTCTTTGGATTGTGATGAGAAAGATTCGTTTCATCCTTTTAACTTACAAACATATATCACGGGAAATTATCCAACTTGGTATAAAACCTTTGCTCCAAAGGATTTGAATGTCAGTAAATCAGTTGCTAAAACGATTATATATCATTTTCTCTTTTGTTTATTTCCATATAGGTGAATAACTGCTGTAGTCCTTATACTGTTAGCTTCCATTTCGTAGACCCTAGTCAAATGGAAATATACCACTACCTAATCTATCATATGGAAGTCTACGGCAAACCTTCTGGAATTCCCCAACGACCAATGTTTAAGGCGTCTTTTACCTGAAAACTTGGCAACCTGCTTTTATTGCTATATACACTAGAAATATACATTAAATGTTTTTTTAGAAGAAAAATATATTAAATTTTTTTACTGTACGACTTTGGTGGTATTGAGAAAGAGCGAAAAGTTACGTGTGAAATAGTATATACAGATGTACCGTCTATACAGTACACATATACGTTCAAAGGAGTGAGTAGCCTGGAACTAGCATAGAAATAATCTATGTTCATGATAAGAGACACTTCATTCCTTATAGTAAATTTCTTACAACGAGCTGCTACAATTACTTAGAATGAATTACTAAATCGATTTTTACCTTTTAAAGTGTTTGTCTTTATAGTGCCTTCAACCAATTACTCGAGTTATAATGTGAAATCTTAGATTTAAAGTGTCTGTCTATATATTTCAACGTTAGCTTATTTTGAGTTGTTTACCACGTGTATTCTTTTGTCTTTAAAATTTAATTAATGAGAGAAATTATTAAATTTCTACTATTCTCTCAAGATAAATTTCTTATAAGTACATGAATAGCTTTTAAAAGTCCTGATACATTATTTACAATATTCTAATGGTGTTTGGAGATTACAACTTTTACAAAAGAACTATCAAAACTTAAATATTTACTGTGCAAGTTCAATAAAAGTAGGAATTAAGCCTTCCAATATCAGTGCAAAAAGTAGGGCGTTTTATTATATCAGATAAAAAAATTGAACTCATTGAATACTTTTACGTACATGCTCGCACCATAATTCTTGTAATCCTGTATCATTAAAGAAACTTTTCATATCTTCGATTTGGGTAAACTCTTCTACAAACACATTTTCCATGCTGTTTATCGAATATCGATATTATATACAACAGTGAGTATAAAATTAATAATGCTTATAAGAAATTAAAGTGCATAAAATATAGCTATTACCGTTTATCTTTGATAGCTGTATGACTTAGGGTTTTCGTCATTCTTTCCTTACAAGGTTGGCCTTTAGAATCAACATCGACATTATTCGTTTTATATTCTCTTAGAAACTTCTACAAAATTTTTTAAATGATAAATTGAATGATCTCTTAAATTCTCATGTGATATTCTGCTTGCTGTAATACTATTAATAATCTTACCTTTGTATTCTCATCTTTCCCTTGAAGAACTATATATATAAACTTTTTATAGAATAGTATACGACCTGTTAAATCAAAGTTTCTCATCCAAGTTCGTATATTTTTTATATACTTTTCCTTTGCTCTCATATGATGTACCTGTAATAAGGTATTATAGTACATTTGTTCAGTGCAAATTTCTTTTAATTGATAAGTTTGCAGTTTTTTGTATTCCATAAGTTTATCAGGAAACCAAGAAACAATATCTATTATCATGCAACTTCCGCTTAATGACTGTCCATATTCTTCTGTCATTTTATTCAACTCAACTAAGTCTTTTCGGCTGAATTCTGTATTGTAGACATTAATTCTGGGAGGTTGATCTGGATAAGCTTCCGATAGCAGGAATTTTAAGTTCCATATTTTCCCATTTATATCTAAATTTAGAGAGATTTGACGTCCTTCACTAATTTGTTCTTCGAAGAATTCTCCATCCTGACAATACATCCAGCGTATGGCTTCAATTTCATCTTCTACAGCTGAATTTCAATCAAATGTATTTCTTGTTAGCTAAATAATTAAAATATTACCCTTTCTGACTTTATCATCTTTCACAGAGGTCATTCGACACGCAACTTTTCCTATTTTCCTATGTTCTTTGTAAACCGAAACAAGTAGTCGGGTTAATATTCCGCTTTGTGAAATTTCTTCAATAACCACTTAAAAAGAAATTATGTCAGGTACCAGCCAATATAAATAATTCGTTTTAAAATGGCGCGCCGGTATGAAATAAATTTAAATGAACACTTTATAGCGATATAAAACTTAATTTAAATGTTTTTGAATCATAAACTAATACATAATCATCAGAATTTGACTTAATAAGAGTTTTTTAAATAGATTATAGTCTAATTAATTTACTAGTGTATTATAGTAACGAATATATGTTTTACCTGTCCGCCAGATGACTCTTTTTTTCACAACATTAATGATGACGCACAGTGTACGGTAGAAGAGGGATGTCTTCAACAGCATGACATCGGACGTTGGATTTGCTCTTTGATGAATATAACGGGCTTAAATGGATCAGTAGGTTGGTCTTGAAAGTTGTGTTTTTGTAAGTTGCATTAATTTTGTCACGACACATGATTGTCGATAAGCAGTCGATGTTTAACTTAGCAACGGTAAAAACCGTCTAATATTTAAACGTTGCTTAGGCAGAAGTCTTTGAACTTAATCACTGCCCGTTCAACTATCTTCCTATTACGTCTTGGATTCCTCAGAAGCAGTAAATTTAATAGTTACTTTAATTTCATAATATTAGCCTGATACTTTAAACAGACTGTTTATTAGTAATTGAGCCTCATACTAAGGTTAATGAGTATAATTCAAGGAGGAGAATCAATACCATAAATAACAATGGAAGGCTAGCAAATCCCAAATTGTTCTATTTTCATTGATGATAGGCCTAAATGATGTAAAGCGCAGGCTTTAGTACTCTATAAATAAACCGTATCCGTTTCACTATTTTTTGTGTATATTTTTCAGATGTTACACGATCAATAACCTACAATGACGAGCGGTGAACGAGGTGAAAGCGTTACGTCCGTCGAAAAATCCCAACCGGAAGTGGGGCGAAAGCTAACTCCCTACGAAAAGGTTACAAAGGATTTATCGAATGATCCTAATGCTATGAAAGAAATTACTTTGGGTAAACGTATAGGATTTTACAAAATAAGGAGTGAATTAGGTAGTGGAAATTTCTCTCAGGTGAAAATGGGCGTTCATACCTTAACTAAAGGTAATTCTCATTTAAACAATTCACAATCATAGTTTTCTTGAAAATGTATATATTTTTACTATAAGAATTATATGAAAATTTGTAAAAAATAGCGAACAGAAAATCATTGCTGTCCGTATCTATATAACAGAGAAATTGCTTAGCGACTCGGAGATTTGAAACAATAGCTTTATATCTAATTTATTACGGCAACTTGAAAGCATATTCGTATGAAAAGTAGTTAAAAATTTACAATCTTTATTATTTAAAAATATGTGATAACAAATATATAGAATAAGTACGTATAAGGCTTTTATTAGGTCCTTTTAGTTATTAACTCAATTATGAATAATATACAACTGGCTGCTAATAATCTTTTTAAATATCAATCTAATGTATTTGTACATGTATACGTATATACATATTCGCTACATTGTATACAATTCATAAATTATACTAGAACATCTCGTTAAATGTTAATATATTCCTTATGTAATGGTTTTTCTTATGTAATCAAACTTTTTAACAGATAGAATGTTGTAGAAAATGACAAAGAAACTAAAAAAGATTACTAGATTATAGTCCCGGTTTTAATATATGAATATGTTTTTTTTCTTATTAAGATCTTTAACTTTTTGCCTACCTGTACTTTATTTATTAGCAGTTATTAACCTTATTGATTAGTTTTTCTTTTTATCAATTTTGACGCTGCGTATAAGTTCATTTACATGTATGTTAGTGTAAAAGGAAGAAGGAAGAAATCATATTTTTCATATATATTATTTTAGAGAACACTTTCTTGTAAAGAATATTTTAATTGAGTGTAATTTTATGAAAAGTTCTTTTCCATAGAGTAATTATGATTGATAATTAGTTCAGGTATTGCCTTGTCTATTTTACAAATCTGTAAAGAAATCTTTTCATATCTTGCTGTATTATTAGAATCTTACGTTTTTTACAATAAGTTTCGAGTACTTTTATTATTTGTTTACTTCAAGTTACCGCGATTATGAATTCTTTTGATTTTGTAAGCTTTACTATTATTGTAAAATTACTCAAGTCTTCATAATAATATGAATGGCAGTTGGACAGGAGAAGGGCGGGAGAAATAACTCTTTACAAGATATATATATACGCTAAGATATATATATATATATATATATATATATATATGCTTAATGAAGGCCTGGTAAAAAGATATGTTCAATTGTTGGTCGATATTTCGAAAATTTTCTATACCTCTTTATGCAAGTGGAGAGAAAGAAAGTTCGATCATAAAGTTTTAATTCGCTTCTTACTTTCTCTTCTAAACTTTAATGGACTAGATAATGTACAGTACCCTCTCCAACCATATACTTTATTTATTAAGTATTTAGTAAAAATTTTTACATTTAAAATGACAAAAGTACATTACACGTGGCTACTCAAACACAAAACAGCTATTATGCACTCATTTTTCGTGAATTCGTGTTACGTATATTTATATTAATTAGAAAGTGCCTATGGCATTCTAATTATTAGATTTGAACTAAAAATATTTTCTTTTAAGTAAAAATAAAAAAGAAAAAATTTTGTACTTGATTTCTTTTCTTTAAGGCTCATCCATCCAATTATAGTGGAAAACGAATATAAAAAACGGAAATTTATAAAGGGTAGCGGGTGGGAAGGTGGAGTAGATATACCTTTTCGTGGAAATATATTATTCAACCTTGATATTTGTACATCCGCTAAATATAATTTATTGTTTACGTACATACCTATTCAAAAAAAATTTTCTTTATGAATACTACAGAAAAGGTTGCCATTAAAATCCTGGATAAAACAAAGCTTGATCAAAAAACTCAACGCCTTCTCTCACGTGAAATATCGTCAATGGAACGCCTGCATCATCCAAATGTCATAAGATTATACGAGGTTATAGAAACTTTGGCGAAAATGTATATAGTTATGGAATACGCTGGTGGTGGTGAACTATTTACTAAGATAACCAACGAAGGAAAGTTATTAGAAAAGGATGCCAGACATCTATATGCCCAAGTAGTCTCTGCTGTTCAGCATATGGTAAATAAGCTTTTATATGACTTCAAATTCATCTTCAAATTAAATCAATTCGTCTAATGTATTTAAAATTAAATATCGTTCTTTTTTCCCTTTACTTTGTCTTTTTTCTACTCTCCTAACTCCCTTTCTACTTGTACTACTCTTACCTAAACTTGCAGCATCGAAATAACGTGATACACCGTGACTTAAAAGCAGAAAATGTCTTTTTCGCTGCTCCGAAAACTGTAAAGGTTGGAGATTTTGGATTTAGTACATTCTCAACAACAGATCAAACCTTGAATACATTTTGTGGTTCTCCCCCGTAAGTGCACTTTAACTATTTCATCGAATTTCATTCATGTGTTTATAGTATACGTATATGCTATACTGACACATTAGCATGTATGTATATTAATAGGCTTAAAAGTGTCTGTCATAGACGTTCAGACATATTTTTTGTTATTTACCAAATAAATTGCGTTTTAGGCTAAAAAAGATTCAGGTAAAGAGTTTATATATATATATATATCTGAGGGTTGTTTATAAGAGATCAATAAACTAAAATATCGATATTAAAAAGGATTAACGTAAGGTATAATTGTGAAGATATCGATTAGAAGCTTGTTCTCTTTCATACTTATATAATACGACAATGTATCAATAATATTAATCTGAAAAATTCATGTTTAAATTAGAAAAACAACTTCATTTTTATGGTCTTTTTGGTAGACCGCTTATTAGGTCAAAAGGGAAAAAGAACTTATCGATTATTGTTAATTTTGCGGTTGGGGAATATAGGTAAAGAAAGGTAATGATTTTTTCTAATATAAAAGTTAATTAAAAGTCTCACGTCACTATGAAACAACCGAGCAAATATCAGCTAGTGAAATATAACAGTGTATAGTATATATTCTAATATATATATATATATATATACTGTATATCCTGTATATATATACCTTAAATGTATATTATAAAAATTTTGAATTACCTAATTGTTAGTCATTAGCTAATTATTTCTTATTTTAAAGCGTTGTCAATGACTAAAAGGAAAGATAAAATATGTCTTTTTGAAATTTTCCATAAATAGTAGATGTAAAATATTACATATTAAAGGAAAAACAAGGAATTATATAATAACAAAACCTTCGTTGCTATTTAAATAAAAAGCCTAGTACCCAATTTCATTATAAACAATTAAGAGATAAAAATATTGATTTACTTAATTTAATAACAGAAATATATCTATAAATTTACTTTATTTCCTTATTTGAATACTTTGTGGTTAGTTTAAAAAAACGAGTAGGAAGAAAGAAGAGAAGAGAAGAGAGGATAGAAGAGATATAAATTGTATTGAGAAGTAATCAATTATTATATTTAGAAGCAGTATTGCTTATGTACAATACCCGTTTATAGAATATATATATATTCAATAAGAACTGCTAGAAAAAATAAGATTTTTTTTCCCTATTTATAAATTCCAAAGATGTCCTCCAAAGTGCATGTTTACCACATTGTGGAAGACTATAAACTCAATTAAAGTATATATATACTGTATATATAGACTATTCTATACTATATAATGTATACTATATAGAAGTTTTATTATAAATACAAATAGAAAAAAACTTCAACAAATGAGAATAAACCAACAATTTCCCATTGATCGGGGTGTTTTAACGCAGTATACAGCGAAATATTGCCAATTATAATTAAAAACTGGATATATACGTACGTGTAATACCCATTAAGTCGAATATAGAAGGAAATGATAAAGGAATTTATAGTGTAATACTCTTACAAAAGCGAATATAAGCTTGCTTATACTATCATGCTTGGTAAAGTAAACCATTTATCTTATAAATAAAATGATTTTGACCCAAAAGAGAGGAGAGAAATCAATAGACTAAGAGATATTCTTCTTTAAGGATGGGACCAGTCTTCATCTTTTATGACTCATTAATTGCAAGGCTAAACTAATTTATTCATATAAATGATTGGTTCTAGTTAATGTGAAGGTTAAATGGGAAAACGTAGCGGTCATGGAGAACATGTTTTTCTCTAATGTTGTTGCGTCTCTTAGTTGCAGTCTCTCGCTTTATGATGCTTTTATGGCATCCTAGTAGTCAGATGATTGAAATATACAGCGACCTATACTGCTTCTTATGTTGAAAAATGTGTAGAATTTGTTGATAAAAGGCATTGTGAGGGGGAGGAAGGAGAGAAAAAGCAGGGAAAGGGAAACTACAGCATGTAGAAAACGAGACAATAATTAAGTAAAATAAAGAAATGGTCAGGATAAAATCTTATTTCATTATGTAAATTAAAAAGCAGAATAACAAATTTGAATAGTTTAATTATATTAAAAATTAATCATTTTTCATTTTGAACAGATATGCAGCACCTGAACTGTTTCGCGATGAAAGCTATTATGGCGTCTTCGTAGACGTTTGGGCTCTAGGAATAATGTTATATTTTATGGTAACAGGAGTTATGCCTTTTAGAGCAGAGACGGTTGGAAAATTGAAAAAATGTATTCTAGAAGGCACATTTACAATACCTTCTTACGTGTCAGACAGTTGCCAATTTTTAATACGTTCCATTTTACGTCCATTACCTACGGATCGTTTTACCCTTGATCAAGTTGAACGAGCTGATTGGCTTAGGGATGAAATTTTTCCTGAAGCCTTGGAAAAATACGAAATAACCCCTGCCGTTCATCCCTCGAACGGTGTTTCAGAAGAGGAGCGAGAGGCTTATAAAGCCATGTCGAATCTCGGTATACAAGTTGAACATATTGAACAATCATTTGGGAAGCATGCCAGAAGTAGTATTACTGGGACTTATAGGATTTTGCTCCATTCTATTCAAAAGAAAAAATCTGGAGGTAGTGAAATATATAATCAACAAGCCGAAAGCGTTAAAAAGACGTCCATGAACAATAAATACCATGAAAATAAGAAGAGCGCTTTCTGCAATATTTTATAGTATTTGAACGTTTTTCCTGCAGTAGGACTATTCTTTTTTAAAAAAAAAAGAAAATATCTTCCACGTGAAATTGAAAGAAACAATGTAGAAAATATATTTTAAATAGTAATCATATATATCTTTTTAATATCATCTATAATTTATTTGCTGTTCTATATCCTAATTTTCTCTCTTAAAGCGGTCATTCTGATAAAAAAGGAGGGAAAAATAAAAGAACGTTCCAAAAAAAGACGTAACGTCTAAAAAGAAAAACGAGACGTATCGAACGTTCTTTTTTTTTTATTCCACAAAAGGAAAAAAAAAACAATATCCATTTTAAAAACTATTAGTGCTTTTTTCTCTTTATTCTTAAGAGCAGACTGAAAAACTTTTTAACTTTTTAATTCTGCTCTATCTTTCTTTATATTCTAAATATACAGTATATATATATATATATATATTTATGTACATACTGTATATTCTTTTTATTTAAAAACAAAGAACAATTTTTATTCTTTTAACTTTACGTTATAAAATTCTTTTGTTTGTTTTTGTTCTATTTTTTTTATTTATTAAAAATGAAAATATGATCTCATCTATTTTGCATTCTAACATAAAAACAAAGAATAACAATCGTTCAGTTCTGTATTTTTCAAAAAAAAAACATCATTACATAAAAAATAATAAGAATGAATGAAAAAGGAAATGTTTGTTTGATAAAAAAAAAGAATTTTCTCTTATGGCGCCCCCTGACGATTCGCTCAATAGAAAATATTCTTTTCTTCCTAAGAATTGATAATAATTGCATCTGCATATTACCACAGTATTAATGAATAAATCATAATGAAATAACAATAAAAGAAAAGGAAATATTTTTAAAGTACTTATTATAATTTACATTGAGAATGTATTAATTAATATAAAGAGTCGATTTTAGTAAGTATAGGTAAAAAGTGATAAAAATATATATATGTAAAGAAAGAAATTACACTATTACTCTCTCTCTCTCTCTCTCTCTGTCTTTCTTTATAATAGAATATTCTTTATACTGTTTTATTTAGCATTTCGTAATAGGTATTAGATAAAGCTAATTTTCGATATTGAATTTGTTTGTTCCTCTTTTGAAATATATGAGAAAAAGTACTATTCTTTCAATAAGCGAATATAATTATACGCCTACGACATTGTAGTTAACTGATAAGAACGATCGATAACGAAATTCTAGAATATTATTTGAATTTGTTAAAAATTGGGGATGGAAGCCTGGAAAATCGGTGTTATTACATCAGCTTGTATTCTTTGTATTATTCTAATATCAGTGACTATTTTCCTAGTTTTGAGAGCCAAGAAAACGCTTAAATTGTAAGTATTTAACCATTATTAATTATTGATATTAGATGATGAAATATTGATTGATAATATTTAAATCGTTTTTAAGTTCCAAGTTCAAAAGATAAAGGGAATAATTTAAAAAAATTTCATTTTTTATTATTCTGCTTACCTTTTCATTGTTTTTATCTATTTTTACTTTTTATTAATTAGTAAAAAAGCTCAAGAACGACTGGAAGAACACGAAAAACGCCTCTCAGCCTACAATAGTCTAAAATTAAAAGATGATGATAAAAAAGAAACTGATCAGGATAATAACTTTGATGTATTAAGAAACGAACATGTGGAAATAAACACTGCAGTACAACCATACCCCCAAAGACCAACATCACTCAACGTAGCGTCTTTACAGAACGGTGTAGAAAATCCAGTATATAGATCTGATAATGATATGACAATATTATAATTATATTAGTATATTCTTTGTTATTTTTATACAATTAATCTTCTCAATATCTCCTTTTTCTCTCCATCTATCTCTCTGTCTATCTGTCGCTCTTGATACTTATCTCTGCTTAAAATACACATTTTGAAATTTATAAACAAAAAAATGTTAATGGTAGTTAACTTTACGAGAAAAATGATAACGTCTTTCCATCTATGTCAATTCACATCGTAAGAATAAGTATTACACTGTTAACGTATATTCTTCTGCTGTAGTGGTAGACTGCAATTACATTTTGCAGTTTTTAGCAACACTATACTATTATAGTGTAACTAATGTCAAGTTTTTCTATTTAGTGAAATACTATAATCTATACTTAAATAATACTTTTAGAATAAGCATTGTTTCATTTATATTTAGATGGAAAAGGACAGAGAAATAGCACATCAGAATCCTGAGCTACGTGTCTCCTTGCAACAGCAAATAGAGAAAAAAAGCAACATCAATATCTTTTTATGAAGATATCTTTTCCGACTCCATAAATATAATTATTTGGTGACTTTAATATCTTCGTTTCTTGTTAATATTCCATACTATAGGATTGTAGAAGCGTCGATAAATTCTATTAGAGGATAAAAGCGTTGAGTTAATGCGATTAACATTCGATTGCAGAGGTTACTGTCCACTTCTTTTTCTTTTCTCTCATCCTTCTTTTATTGATTGATTATCTATCGTAAAAGAGAAGAGATAAACCATAGATCATAAAGAATTTGGGTGTACACTCACAACTCTTAGGCATTTTTTTGGAATACTATCAAAGATTTTGCACACCTGAACGAATTATCTTTATAGTATCATAATAAATATGACGCATAAGCTATCCACTCGTCATTCGGACGTTTAGAATGAAAATGGCAAAGTTCGTTTTCTGTCTTCTATTTCTAACCACTGCTGTTTCTAGTTAGTACTTTTCTTTGATATCTTGTACAGTTTTATTCTCTTTACTTCTTTTGTTTTTTTTCTTTTTTAGCTTTTTTTTTACTTCTCATTGATTTTTTCTTTCTTCTTCCACATGGAAAAAAATAGTTGTAGTGTGAAAAACATTATAACTAGTTTCCTTTACTTGTTACCTTCTAATGTATATAATTTTGATAATTCTATACTTTTCTGGTTTTTAAAACTAACAACTCCTATTTTGTTTATAATAAAACCTATTAACCGACTAATTGAATATGTATTGTTGCTTAAAAAGGTAAAGGAAATAAGGATAATTTTGAAAAAATTATCCAACTGCTCATTTCGGAAAATGGAAATAGTGATTTAAATGAATTAATAGGAAGTGAAGAGTCTGGTTCTGGTTCTACTTCTATACCTTCTACACCTTCTACTGTCCCTACTCCCATTCCTACTATTAATCCAAATCAATTTTGTCGAGACAATTTTATTTCTTTAAAATTTCAGAATCTTACCTATAATGAAGTAAATATTTAGTTGCCTATTGAATACTAATCAACCTTTCTTTTACTACCCTTTTCAACTAGTTTACAAGTGACGCAAGTTCGGCATCTAATTCCCGACGGTTGAAATTATCGATGTCATTGGCTTTAAGTCAAAGATGTGACAATATATCCCAATGCAGAGAGACAAATAGAACAGTCTTCAAGTATGTTTCCTCTTAATCTGTATCAGTTTTTCTCTTTAGTCTATGTAAACACTTATTATTTATCAGTTGGGGAAAACGAAAATAAAAAAATGAAATGATTTCCTTTCAGTGAAAACGATATAGCTTTAAATAATTCTGAACAAATAAGTGGTGTCGAAACTAGCTTAACCGTTGACATATGTATCCTGCAAATTCCTCTTTCAAGATTTGGTGAAAAATTATCACTTTTCAAGAGAGCAAGTCTACAAATAGTTGTCGAAAATACAAAAGTTAGAGAAATAATTGAAGAAAACTTTGGTAAAAAAGTAAGTAACTATTGGATAGAGAAATATTTAACATATCTATTTTCTTTGTATAAATAACCCTCTAAAAGAATATACATCAAAAATATTTATCTATTTATAGTAGTTTTTATGAATTTATCAGCATGTTTCACAAAATATGTGTTCCAAATTTTTTGAATAGTCTTCAAACCACTGACCAACTTTATCTTTATGTAGTTCTTACTGTGTTGAAGACGAACTTAGACTATAAATAATTTTATCTTTTTATAATACGACGTCACGTGAACATTTATATTCTTCAACTTGTGGTAATTATCATCATTATTGATAAAAAGACACACAAAGGGAAGATTTTCATTTAAATAGTTTAATTATTAATTTATTCACAACTTATTGAGTTTTGTAGAATGAAAAGTACTAATTCTATAATTCCTTTTTACCCCATTAGTATATTGTCATAAAAGAAGAGACAACTAGCAGTAGCGGATTGAAGGGTTGGCAAATCGCTTTGATCGTGATAGGAAGTGTTCTAGGTGTGGGATTAATAGCTGGTTTTATAATTATAATGATAAAAAAGAAAAATAGGTAAGTATGGTGTGCTGATGAAGTTTTATTGATATAAACGCCTTCTTCTCTTAATATTTTGCATAAATAGTCTCTTTTTTTTTAGGTAAAAATCATTTTCCTAAAAAAAAACTAAAGCTTAATTAGGCTGATTAATTGAAAAGATGAGAAAGAGATAAAAATATTCTCTGTTTTTTTTTTATTAATAATCTAAAATGTAACAATTACTGCTTTAAACTATCGGTAACTTATTAGAGATCAAAAGGCGTTCACTGTACAAAGAAACAAGCTTATAATAGTACCCGCTCAGAGAACAACAAGCGTTCAGGACATTGTAACATCTCCACAAGAAGCTGAAGAGAATCGATATGAAAACGTAATGAAGGATTGAAAGAATATTTAAAACTTTAAAAAATAGTATATATTAAACGTAATGTTTTTTATTAATTAAATGACAAAATCAATAATTAAATAACTAATTTTTCTTTATTCTAATTTGTTTCTTAACCATTTAATTAAATTATTCTTCAAATGTGTTGTATCAAAAAAGGGAAATGTAAAACGATTTATTTTGTATCACTATCAATTAGATAGTCACTTTTATAAAGAAAGATTTCTTTATACGCAATCTAATCATTATGATTAACTTTTCAACTAACTTAAATCTTTGCATTATAAGTATAATTCAAGATTAACTGGCTAAAAAACTCCAAACAGCCTAATTCTATTTCTACGTAATAATACAAAGTATCTTTAGTGTCACTTGACTCATTAATTTTCTGTTAGAATCGTAACGTCACAAAGAAAGATATTCAAAGCGAAAATTTCAATTAAAAGTATAGTGTAAAGAAAACTAAGTCGATGAAAAAAATACTGTCGGTAGAGCTCATTACAAGCAAAATGGTTAAACCATGCTGAGAAAAAGAGGAAATATGAATATATTTTATAAATTTACCTCTAATAAACATATCACCTATATATACTTCATCACTTTGCAAGCTCTTTTAACTTCCTTATACAGATGTACGGCTCTATATATGAGTAATAAGGGATATTGACAATATTTTCTCTGACTTTGTTTTTAGTTTTTGTTTATTATCTAATTTAATTTTAAGATATTAAAAATTCTTTATTGAAAATAACTAGTTGTCAAGGAACTTTAAAGATTAAAAGAAGATTTTTAAAGTCTAGTGTCCTTTCTTTTTCTTTTTTAATGATTTTTAACATCGTTTAAGTGGGTTGAACTGACTCACTTGTTCAAATAGTAAAAATTCAATTGTGAATTATGTAAACTACTCACTGAATGTCATTATTTCTTAATAGAGATTCGATGACTAGTCTGAGTGTTTATTACTATTGCAAATACTTCATTGATAATCCTTCAATTTTCCAAGGTTAAATCGTATTCGTCATGATATTATCAACAAGAACAATCTGAGACTAATGTTGTATGGTACTATATGATATACTATATATATGCAGTATAAAAAATATACAGTATATGTATAAAATAGATATTGATAAAAGTTAACCGAGAGATTATTAGATATTTTAACTTCCTTATTATAGATATTCAAGCAAGTGATATTCAAGGGTCATATTTGTGCCTTGAATGAAAGATATAGAAGAAGTGCACTCTTTTAATTCGAAAAATATTTGACCGTGACTTTTAAACTAAATAAATAAATAAACAAAGTTAATTTAGTAAGGAATGGATTAGTTAATCAACTATTTAAGTAATTAAGTAATTTATCATGGCCGATATAATTATTTTAAGAACTATTTCTTACAGATGAAAGAACATATTATATTTCAATTGAAATGATCAGATAAGCATAATTTATTGACTTATCATGAAGAGTGTCTTGTTTAATTCGAGAAAAAATAATTTACTTGTGTACTCATTATCTTCTAGATACAATTAATATTGAAAATAAAAGATTCTTCTATACATAATCTAATCATCTGTGCAATTGAATTTTTAATATCAAAAGAGATATTAATAAACATAAGTTTCGAAATTAATGAATTGCAATAATCATCGGAATCATTTTTAGGACTAAATAAATAGGAAATTTATAAAGAGGTTGTATACTTTTTTATACTTTGTTTTATTAATTTCTATAAATTTTATCCCTTCTCCCTTTTCCTTCTTTATATTCCTCTGAACCAATCCTTTTAAACATAGACAGAGATTAAAGTTTGATAAATTATCCGAACTTTGCTTACATATTACTTATATGTCAATTTGTTATATTCAAATTTTGTAACAATAAACAGTATCAGACATCACAGAATAATGTTTTTTCTATTTTCGTTCTTGCCTCGTTTTATTTATTAATATTAAGATATTTTAACAAAATATCGGTCTATATACTTTCGTTTACGTAGTATAGGTTGTTTGAAATGTATAACAAACATAATATATAGAGGAATACATTGTAAATTAGTTGAACTTTAATATCAGTATTTTAGGTTTATATGCTGTAACTAAGATCATTAGCTATAAAAAATTAGATTCTTTCAGAGTAAGATACTGTCTATAGATAAGAGCTAATCGATATTAAGATATTATATCAAAGTATATAAGAAAGTTTATATCAAGAATGTTTTCATTAGCAACTGCTTTAAGTTGGAGCATTTGAAGAAATTATGAAATTTTCTACGTGTATTATTTTTATTTGTTTCCAATGCCTTTTCGTTCTGTTAAATGGCTTAACAGGTTTCTTTCATATTTTATTATTTTATATGGGTTCTTAATTGACAAAGGATTATAAAAATTTTATCATCTTTCTTGGATTAAATTAAACTAAAGTTTCTTAAACTTCTTAAATTCTCTATCTCCATCTACATATCTATCTCTTTCTCTTTAGAAAATGAAATGAAAAACCTGGTGGATCTCCAGTTAAAAGATATAAAGTACGATGAAATCTTTGCTGGCTCGGGTTTTCCACCTGCAAGATCTTGTGCAGAGGACAGCGTAGGAATTCAGATTTTTGACCTAAAAAAATCCGAAGTCTGTTGAAAATAAACTTTTATTTTCATTCTAATTTCAAATTCAACTTTTATTCAATTAAAGTTTGACGATACGAACAATAATAACGGCGCACATAAGGGTAAACTTACCGAGGGTCTACGACTAGGAATTAATAGATATTGCACTTTAAACAGCTGTCCATCCGGTGGAGAATCGATCAAGTAAGTTAAAACACCTAAGATTTCTTATAAACTTTCAAAATATTTTTATTAAATTTATAGAGATTCAGATGTCACTTATGGACCTGACGTTGTCGAGCGCAGTAATAACCTATATTTGAGCGTATGTATTGTTCGTTCAAGTCTTAGATTTGGAAATGCGGCTTCTTTGTTTTCAAGACAACAACTGCGAGAAATATTAGCAGACTCCGTCACTATATCTGAAATCCGAACTGTTTTTCCTAAAAGGCTAATAGTTGCAGATCCGCCAAAGTCAAAGGGTTTGAAAGGATGGCAAATAGCTCTAATAGCTGTTGGATGTGTAGCTTTTGTAGCTCTTATTGCTGGAGCAATAATATTTGCGAAGAAGAAGAAGAACTCAGCAGTTCAAGATAATTCTTAAGAAGAAAGTGTTGAAAATTATCTTAATCTACTTTCATTTTTATAAAATACATTATATTCAGTATATATATATATACAGTATAAATATATATTTTCTGTATATATAATATATATACAGTATATATACACCCACTCTTAGGTTTCAGGGAATTTCGTTCCGGTTCATTGAACAAATCAACGGAAAATGAGTTTCTCATTCCCGTACTGTTTGTGATACAGAGTGCCTAATATATATATATATATATACTGTATTTGAAAATTCAAATTCTTTATATATACATTTATAAAAGCCAAAATATAAAAAGAAAATCTGTAGCAAAGCTGAAGTATTATTCTCCTTCCTCCAAAATACGAGATAACACAAGTAACCATGGAAACTTGGCTTTCTATTGTATACTGATATGATATTATTCAGTGTAAACAAACAAGGACTAAATTTTTCATTTAGAAACATACTTATAATAACAATAATGAGATAAAGTAAATAAAATGTACATAATATTCAATGTATTAAATGTTTATTTGCCCTTTAAAAACCTTTGGTAGCATGCTACTATAAATATCATGTATTTCCTATATTAGCATATCTAATCTATAAAAATGCTATATACTTTGCATCGAACTTTCGGGCTTTTTTTGCATGTTAAATAGAAACAAAGTTTCTATTATCTGCTATTATTATTAATTTTTTCTTTTTTTTCCTTCTTTCTTTCTTTCTCTCTTTCTTCTTCTCCTTTTACATTCATATTTTTGTAGATTTTTATTAATAATTATCCTTCTTTCGTTGAAAGATAACTAAGGTAAACGCCGCCTTATTTTAGTATAGATTGATAAGAAGTAAAACGTATAAAACATACTGTATATATACATATATGAAATTCCATTGAAAGCAGATTGTATATAGATCCTTAAACGTTCTAATAGCAATATTATTCAATTTTATAGATGCTATATTATACTCTATATTTCAATTACTATTACGAACAAAGATAGATTAAGAATCTTTATATAGTAGTAGATAGTTTCTCGTTAACGATAATAAGGGTAGTAGTAATAGAGAATATTCAAAAATAGTAATGTTTCTTCAAAGAGTAAACAAGCAACAGTTGAAATTTGCCAAAAATATATTTTTCTCTTTCTTCTTAAATAATTATATCAGTAGAATAGATAAAGTAAGATGAGGAAAAATGAAAGGAATCACTAATGAAATGTTTCGGAAAAATCAAAAGAGTAGATTCTGCTAGGGGATCTACTCAACTTACTACAAACAATTTTAAAGATGTATAACAAACTTAAATAACTAGGAAAATATTTTGATATAATTGGCTATCGTATGAGTTTTAAAAATTATTGAAGTCAGAACAAGAATAAGAAGAAAGAGAGTATCTTTCTTTTCCTACTTTCATTCTTATAATTTTCTCCATAAAATCATATAGATTACCTTTCATCATAAGTAACTATTGTTGAAATGTTCTAATAAAACATTCACATCTCTTAAATTGGAAAAGAGACGCCTAATTTTTGTTCTATACAGTATATACTTTAAAGATTGTATAGTTTAGATCATTTTTAAAAAACTATCATAATCTTAATATAATCACTGCTATAAATCAGACAGTACCGGTTTTACTGCTTTATAAACATATTTGTCTATTTTTTTCAGTTTTTTTCCCCTAAAATTGCTTATCTTACCTACTTCAGAATTATAAATAGTAATTTCTTTTTTATCAATCTCTAACTTTTAACTTTATGCTGAAATTTTACTTTTTTTTAATAGTTTTTCTGATAAAAATAATACTAATACAACAAAAAGAAATTAGGAATTAGGAATTTATGAATTCAGCTGAAAAAATAAAACTTGATGAATCATATTTGATTAATATAGACATAATAACGATATGTTGGTAAATCAACAGAAATTACTTTAGTGCTATTATTTATGTAATTACTCTGTAAAAATCTCTCTCTCTCTTTCTTTCTCTAAAGAAACCATACTATTCCAAAAATTGCCCTATAAACTACTGATATACTACAAAAATTATATCATTAGTTTGGTAATAAATACTTCCAAGAAATGGGAAGAAATGTTTCTATTTCTAACTTTAAAAGAAAAACAAATTTGCCAATTTCAATTATATCGCTCAAGAAGACAAGCTGAACTAGCCATCAACCTATGTAAAAACGCAAGAGGAAAATACTATCTGTATTAAATATATATATATATATACAGTATTATAAGATTATATGCAAAAACGTCTAATTAAATTGCTCTGCTAATGAACACCAGATGTTCAAACATTTTAAAATATCTCTAAAGAAAATTAACTGTTTTCCATCTATTTTTTTTTCTCCATAATTTTTGTCCTTCTTATCAAACCTATCAGACCTTAATATCTGCGCGTCTATATTGTTGTTATAGATGTAGATTATCAACTATGATTGTAGGATACAAAGTTCTTATGGCGTGTGCTAATATATCTTTTATTAAATTAAATTCTTCTGGGAAGAGTAGTAAGAAAACTTTATAGCATGAAGATTTGAGATTTTAAATTTGAAGGAAAAAAAGCGAATTTAGATATCCTTTCTCTCTTAGAAGTAACAGACAGGAAAATGATCTCCTAAAGAGAGAGAGAAAGAGTCAGGGTAAAAAAGAAAGACTTGGTTTATTATATTGTTGTACAATGAAGGGAATATTGATTTTTCTTTTAGGATCTTTTTCATTTCTTAGTACATTTTAAGGTGAGTTTTCTTTGAAGAATTTACTCTGAAGTGAATTTATGAAAATCGTAATTCACAAAGAAAATTGACTTTAAAGTTCTTCCTGAATATAATTAAATTAAATAAAATCTTATAAAATAAACTCTTGTGTGTGTTATATACTGAAGAACTGATATACTCTGATTTATCGCTTGCATGTAAAAGTCTACAACGAATCATACGTATTGATAACAAAGGCTAAATGCTCAAAGACATATAACCACTAAACTTGTTCTTTCTTGCTTTCTTTTTCTTATCCAAAAAATTAAGCTAGTAATTGATAAGAATACTCTTTCTAATTTCAGCAATAAAGTATGTAATCTGGTTTCCATAGTTACTTTGAAAATGTTTTCAACGTTTCCTTCAACTTTTTTGTGATATATATATTATGTTTCCTTACTTGTGTATCTTCTTTTCAAGTTGTATCTTCTAGATCTTCTCTTTTCCGGATAATTTCTATAAAATTATGATTCCGTTAGTCGATCCATTACAAAGTGTAAGATAGGCCAACACTATTTTCCCGAAAAGTTAAAACTTTCGCCATTATCAATAGAAATTTGACTTAAGCAATATCATTATCATTTTATATCTTTCTTAACATTTTTGAATACTTCTTAAGATTTCACCTTAAAAAAATAAGGACTGAATTAATGTTTTTTCACATAACCTAGAATTGCTTAAATGATATTCCATACTGTCTTTTAAAAGCAAGCAAATGTTTAAGTAAACTATTTCTAGACGAATAATATATATATATATATATATATATATATATATAAATTACAATAACGATGAATTATACATATAATAGTCTCTTCTTATTCCTGTAAAAGTGCATAGTTATGCAAACCAATTAATTAATATATACATATAAACAATATATACACTGTATATACTTATGTAAATATACAGTACACACTGTACTATACAAATAGTATATGATATTTTTATCTAACTTATAATAATTCATAACGTAAGTTGTTTCTTTAAATTTTCAGAATAGAAAATAAGAGAAAATTTGAAAGATGACAAAATCTTCAAAGTCATAAAGCTCTCCTTTCACTATTCCTGACAATTCAACTTGTAAAGTATTAATCATATAATTATAACACGCATTTAACAATAAAGAAAACTACTGAAAGGTTTACTATTTCTTTTCTACAGGTACTAGCTAAATATACCTGATAAGGAAATTAGATCAATTGATCATTATAATATGTTTAAACAAAAATCAAGTGGATACAATAGGTAATATTTACAAGTATAGATTCTTTATTTATATTTACAGATGTATACAAATGTATACAGATATATTACACATTCAAACACTTTGGACTTTGTTGGGGGAAAATTGCTCATTTTTTTATTATGACCTAACTTTATTAAATATAGCATCTTAATCCTAATTGTTAAACCGAATAATTTTTATATATTCTATAATTATCTTACTTCACATTAAAATAATCCCTAAACCTTTCTATGTTTTCTTTGATATATAACTAATAAGGTAGAATAATCATTATAATAGTGACTAATATGCTAGTACAATGAGAAAAAGAAACGGTGTCATAAGTTTCAAGTGACCGGCCATGAGTTAGAGATAAGAAAAAAAAAATTCTTTATAAAGACATCAGTAGTTTATTTAAGTGCTTAGATCCGAGAAAGTATAAGGCTCTTCTTCAAAATTCAACAGCAATGAAGGGAAAACTTTTGTTAGTTGTTTTACTAATTGCCTTTCAATTGGAAAATGGTCTGTTTAAAACAAATAGAAACACTTTTTTCACATAACCATTCCATATTCCCTTTATAAAGGTTCTACCGAGGATATTCATGATTTCGAGAGTGCTTTAGAAACATTTTTCAATGAGAATGAAGGTAAAACTATTAAGGATAACCGCGTGCTCATCATTAGGAATTTTAACTTTCATGGTACTACCTAATTAAAAATAGGTTCGGGATCAGGAGCAACTACAGACTCACCCACTTCACAGCCTCCGCAACTTCCAAAATCATGTAAAGAAGAAAATGTCGGAATCAAAATTCAAGGAATTAAAACAAAAGAGGTAATATTTTATTTGGATATTTCTAATTATTCTGGAAATGTATTAATATCTTACAGTTTAATGACGTGAACAATGATCAAGCTCATCATAGAGTAAAGCTGCAAGGAGCTTTGGCTAAAGGTATTACAAGGTATTGTAATTCTTTGGGAAAAGAATGTCCTAATGGTGCAGGCAGCATTGAGTTAGTAACTCTTTCAATGAATTAATAATGAATTTGATTTATTTCAAATAAGTAAAATTGTTAAATTTCAGGGCCAATGATATCAAATACTCTACAAATGTAACCGAAAGTAATAATAACCTCTTTGTTGATTTTTGTGTTGCTCGCAAATCTAGATTTGGGAATTCAAATTCCTTATTTAAAAGAAGTAAGTTAATAGAAGTTATTAAAAGTGCTGAAGCTCAGGAAGTGATTAGGCAAGAGTATAAGCCAAGCATAAGCGTTGAAACAGCACCAAAAAAGTCAACAGGCTTGAAAGGATGGCAGATAGCTTTAATAGTAGTTGGAAGTATAATTTTTATAACTCTAGTAGCTGGTGCAATTATATATTCAAGAGGGAAGAGCAGGAAAAGGAAAGAATTGTAAGAATTGTTCAGAATATTTCTTATTTGCGTAAAAACAATGAAGTAAAACACTTGTTTTTATTTTCAGGGGACATGAGTTGAATGATTATAATTACTAAAGGATTTGTTTAACTCGATTTATATATTTTTGTTGACCAGTTTAAACTATTTGGCTGCTATGCTATTATTAAATTATATTTCTTTCGTTTATGACAAATTTGTTTCCTGGTACTTTATTACTTGAGATGTAAAGCAGAAAGGTATGGAAGCGACGGCCAACTTGATTAGAATGAATGATTAAACATGGATTAAAGTCCACAAAAAGAGAAAGACTATAATTTTGTATTTAATCATGATTATGATACTTGTAAATCAAGATAATCATACGTTGTCTGATTATAAGAGTAACTCATTAGTTATTCGTTACATAGTTTTCCATATTCTGAAATTATTACTTGATTTTAATAAATGTTGTTTATTTTTTATAAAAATAATGTAGATAGAAGTAATAACATGGATAATTTATATGTATATATAAAGATAGACTCAATGAAATGTTCAAAAAGCCACTATCTTAATTTTAATAATCAAACAAAAGACAATTTGTTATCTTTTGGGTGTGTCTTTTTTAATTTGTAAAGAAACATTATTCTATATATCATATCGTTTTTCTTATATATTCTGATGACATAGTTATTGATAAAAAATAAAAAAAAAGAGAAGCGTTTAACAGATAAAATATTAGTATTTAAAAGAAATGTTAGAAATCCATTCGAATTTTTTACTTTATGATTATCTAGTACTTATAATATAGAAAATATCACGAAACTAGAAACTAATGGAAAAAAGCTTCTAAATCTCGTTTATGTTGATTTTATATTTACTTTTTACTCTTTTTATTTAGTTTAAAATACTTATTTAACACTTATGGAGAATTTCTCAGAGAACACTTTTAGGTGTTAAACAATCAATAATAATAATAATGATACAGACGTTTCTATAACACTTACTATTTTGTATTTAAAAAAAATAGAAATCATTCATAAAACATTCACAATTTCCTTGCTTCTCAAGTACCCGTGAAACTATATTATTAAAGTATAATATAATGGCACGATAGAGACGCCATCTATTGGTTTGTTAGTGTAAATTATTTCGTAAAGGTTATTAATTGGTAAAAGCTTATAGCATGTATAATAAGTTTGTAGTATTTCCTCCTAAATTTAAGTATAAATTGTAATATGCCATAGTCTTTAGATATCAGACATTTTGTAATAAAATAAATAATAGCACTAGAGAGCGGTCAGAGGGAGTTTTTTTTATATTGATAAATAATATACTATTGTACCGTATTTGTTTCAGAATAAGTGCAAAAATTAACATTTCAAAAGGAGATTTTCGTATTGTATCATATATATATTCCTTTAAAAAATACGAAGTATGAAGGAATGCTCTAAAAAATTGTTCACCTTCAAACCTTTTAAATATAACATACACATATATACAGTATATATATTTAGGAAGGAGAGAGAGAGAGAGACACACACACACACACAAAGAGACAGAGAGTGAGAGAGAGAAAGAAAAAAAAGAGGTTATTAAATTAAATTATTTAAATTGGATGAAAAAAAATAAATAGCTTCTATTTATTGTTTTTATTCCAATACTTACAATCTTATTTAGAATATTTGTTTTAAATATAATCCACTACAATTAAAGCCAATATAAATAAGATATTTATCAAATATTAGTATATTGTAATTATTAGACCTTATTCTATTGTTTATAAATTTCAACTATTTTTAGAACGTTCTTCCCTGTCTTCTATTAGTTATAGCTAATTTTTCTTCATCACCTATAGCTTGCATTTTGTTCAGTCATCAGTAGCCTCCGTTTCTTCAAGATTTTCATTGTTTTCCCTAGTTTCTCTACCGCTTGTCTCAACGGTATTGTAAGAACCGCATTCGGCACATTTTAATCCGACAATATGAAATTTAGTTTTTGATTTCTGTAATAATTAAGTAATGATTTAATAAGATAGAAATAATAAATATGTTTATATAATAGTCCTACTTTATGACAATCCCCGCAATTTATCCATACTTCTAAATTGACATATTCCTCAGGCATTTCTGTCTGTTCAATTTCGTTATCTAATTGTTTCCAGAACGAAGTCATATCGGCCATTGATTCATTGCACAGTGGACATCTAAATAATCCCTTTTCAGCCATTTGTCTTTCGCAATGTTCGTGTATTAAATGACTGCATCGCAGTGTGATAAATGGTTTAATTGAATTGTGTAACGATTCCAAGCAAACAGTGCAATTATCCAAAGAAACATTACTTATACACTAAAAATTAAATAGAAGTACATAATCAAACATCAAATAATAATAATAATAATACGGATTGTATACTTTGTGCTCCTTAAAGGATTTATTGCTTAAGCAATAACCACAGTTGTCGCAATGAGTGTAATTCTCTTTTCCACCTTTTCTGTTTTAATTGAAAATTATGAATTATTTCAAAAATAGTAGGTATTATAAATAATATAGGATAACCAACCTGCAAATACCACATCCTATACAATGAAATTTTCCATCATCTTTACTATCAAACATTCGACAAATTTTGCAAAAGTAGGTAGCAAAATCAGTGCCACAATCTTCGCAAGAGGACTGAACCTAGACAATGTAAAAACATCTGTATAGAAAATGAAAATGAAATATCACAGCTAAATAGAGAGCTAGCAAGATAGAAAAAAAGACCAGATGATCTACGATGAACCTAAGGTTGACATGAATATCCCTAGGTCCTTCATTTCAGTAAATTTGTGAAAATTTATGGGACAAGATAAATACACGGTTTGCTAAGTAATTATTAGATTAAGACAAAAAGTAGAAGTTTCATGTATCGATATTTTTGACCGGGACTGTATAATGTAGCGCTCAAGCTAACAAAAGAATTAGTATTATTTAATAAGCAATTAGCTTAATTTAGCCTATCCCATATCTATCGATAATCTACATTAATAAATCAAAGATATAAGAATTCGGTCATTACATTAAAAAGTTAAAAATCTACTTTCTATGAAATTATGAGAAGAAGAATTCCCGTTAAATAAAAGTAATATTTTATTAAATATATTTATTTTTATATTTACATAACCCAATTCCCTATATTTTTACATCAGGAATATATATATATATATATATATATATATATATATGTATATATAGTCCAGTACGTCATAAAGGTATTCACCTATATTTCCTGACAAACTTTTTACATTTCTATAAACGCCCTATTCTGCATAAATTAAATAAATCTATACATAGATTTTGAATAAGATATTTATGTTTTCTTCAAACATTTTGTTAAATAATCCCTTACTTCCTGATAAACGCTGCATTTAAGGCATTTAATAGTCACAACTTCCTTTCTATTTAGTTCGTGATTTTCATTTTCATCGTGGCATAAACGACATACATAAGGTTTCTTGCAGCAGGGTGACTAAATTGAATTTGAAAAAATAAGAGAGAAAAGTTTCATGTAAATATAATAAAAACAATTGAATAGTGCTTACGTACAATAAGTGCACATTTTCTTTCATAATGAGCGCAACCGTCACGTTCCGCTCTATCGTCGTTATTACCTTTTGACATGTTTTAAATATATTTAAACAAAAGGAGTGAACGATAAAAGATGAATTGAGCGCCTTGCTTTTACTTAATGTATATCGAATAAGTTCGAAAATACGATATACGATATATATATATATATATACAGTATATACTAGTTTATAAAGAGTATATATATAGTTTTCTATATGAAAATATATATATACAATATATATCGAAATCGATTTCAATTCTTGTCAAAATTTACATAAAGAAAGTGAATAGCATTTTTTTATTTTTGATTGCAATTTATCGAATTTTTCACATTTGATAAAGCAATTAAACTAACAAGTACGAAATTCTATTGCAAGTATCGGAGACGATAATATGTTATTTTAATTAATCTCGTCAACGTCACGCGAGATTCTCACATAGAACGAGACCTTCCGTTTTGCAATCGGTTCCTAAAGTCCGTCACAACCCGAATTATCATACAGGAGTGAAATTCAACGGTGTTTTCTTGACTCCTGTAAATAAATTTCCTTCGAGATGGCTCAGCAAGTATTGCCGATACGTTTCCAGGAGCATTTGCAGGTTATTTTTTCCTAACTAATATTTGCCGACTGTCCACGTAAACGCCCACTCATAATTTGTCATATTTTGGCAGAAATTGGGCGTATTTTGTATTGTTATGTATTTCTAATTATTTTTCAACAATTTATTAGTCGTCTTAAGCGTTTTCCAACAGAAAATAGGGGGTTTTACAAACGTGATGAATAATCGGCCTTTGATAATTGAACGTGCTTATGAATAATAATTTATACGTAATTTGGGAGAAATTGAGTAGTACTATTGAAATCTGTTTGAATATAGCGTCTATTGTAGCTATTAAGGATAGCAGTTGTCGTTTCTTTTTTATGCTGATCGATTGACGCCTCCTAACCCTACCGCCATCTATCGCCCATATATTATACTTGTCCTGAATCTAATCGAATGATTTTTTTTTCACCCTACAGCTGCAAAATGTTGGAATTAACGTTACCAACATTGGGTTTAGCACGCTTACAATGGAATCGGACAAGTATATTTGTGTTCGGGAGAAAGTTGGGGAAACAGCCCATGTTGTTATTATTGACCTAGCCGATACAGCAAACCCTATCAGACGTCCCATTTCAGCTGATTCAGCTATTATGAACCCTAAGAGCAAAGTTATCGCATTAAAATCAAGCAATACTTTACAAATTTTCAACATTGAAATGAAAAGCAAGATGAAAGCGCATAACATGACAGACGAAGTACAATTCTGGAAATGGATTAACGTTAACACAGTAGCTCTTGTCACTGAAACATCAGTATATCACTGGAGCATGGAGGGAGATTCCCAACCTCAAAAGATGTTTGATCGTAATGCCAGCATGAACGGCTGTCAAATCATAAATTATAGGACGGACCACGAACAGAAATGGCTACTCTTGGTTGGTATTTCGGCACAACAAAATCGTGTCGTTGGAGCCATGCAATTGTATTCAGTCGATCGTAAAGTAAGTCAGCCGATAGAAGGACATGCGGCTGCTTTTTCAAAATTTAAATTACCTGGTAACCCACATGCATCGACCATCTTCTGTTTTGCCGTTAGAAGTGCACAAGGAAATAAATTGCACGTTATCGAAGTTGGCTCTCCTCCATCTGGCAATCAACCATTCCCCAAGAAGACAGTTGAATTATTCTTTCCACCAGAAGCAAGCAACGACTTCCCAGTAGCTATGCAGGTTGGGGAAAAGTATGATGTTATTTATTTAATAACGAAATACGGTTATATTCATTTGTACGATATTGAATCGGCTACGTGTATCTATATGAATCGCATTTCTGGAGATACCATTTTTGTTACCGCTGGCCACGATGCTACCTCTGGTATAATTGGAGTTAACCGAAAAGGACAAGTTTTGAGCGTTTCTGTTGATGAAGAAAACATTGTCCCTTACATTACCAATAAGTTATCCAATGCCGACCTAGCTCTGAGAATGGCATCTAGAAACAATCTACCTGGAGCTGAGGATCTGTTTGTTAGACAATTCAATCAATTATTCTCAAGTGCACAATATTCTGAAGCAGCAAAAGTTGCAGCATCAGCTCCAAAGGGTATCCTACGTACCCCAGCAACCATTCAGAGATTCCAGCAAGTACCTGTTCCAGCTGGTCAAACATCTCCGATTCTCCAATATTTCGGAATACTTCTCGACCAAGGGCAATTGAATAAGTATGAAACTCTCGAACTTTGCGGTCCCGTCATACAGCAAGGAAGAAAGCAATTAATTGAAAAATGGCTTAAAGAAGACAAATTGGAGAGTTCAGAAGAATTAGGTGATTTGGTGAAAGGAAGTGATCAGACTCTTGCTCTCTCTATATATCTGAGAGCAAAAGTTCCAAATAAGGTTATACAATGTTTCGCAGAAACTGGCCAATTCCAAAAAATCATTCTCTACGCAAAGAAAGTCGGTCATACTCCAGATTATATCTTTTTGCTTCGCAACGTTATGCGTTTAAACCCTGATCAAGGAGCGCAATTCGCTCAAATGTTGGTTGCTGATGATGAACCTTTAGCCGATATCAATCAGGTATATAAAGCGTTAGAAAAAAATTTAAGTAGAATTTTCAGGCAGTTAAAATTTAATCTCTCCCAATTAGATTGTTGACGTCTTTATGGAAGCCAACATGATACAGCAATGTACGTCATTCCTTTTGGATGCTTTGAAAAATAATAGACCATCAGAAGGTCACTTACAAACTCGCTTATTAGAAATGAACCTGATGTCAGCACCCCAAGTTGCTGATGCCATTTTGGGAAATCAAATGTTCACCCATTATGATCGTCCTCACATTGCTCAACTGTGTGAAAATGCCGGTCTACAACAGAGAGCTTTGGAACATTATACCGATTTATACGATATTAAGCGTGCTGTTGTCCATACACATTTACTCAACTCTGAGTGGCTCGTCAACTATTTTGGCTCGCTATCTGTCGAAGATTCTCTTGAGTGTATCAGAGCTATGCTCAATGCTAATATTCGTCAAAATTTGCAGGTTTGCGTCCAGATTGCAACAAAATATCATGAACAATTAACAACGCAAGCATTAATAGAGATTTTCGAGTCATTCAAATCTTTCGAAGGTCTTTTCTATTTCCTAGGATCGATTGTTAACTTTAGTCAAGAGGCTGATGTTCACTTCAAATACATACAAGCAGCTTGCAAAACAGGTCAGATCAAAGAAGTTGAGAGAATCTGCAGAGAAAGCAACTGCTATGATCCAGAAAGAGTTAAGAATTTCTTAAAGGAAGCAAAACTCACCGATCAGCTTCCTTTGATCATCGTCTGCGACAGATTCGATTACGTTCATGATCTTGTACTCTATTTGTACAGAAACACTCTTCAAAAATACATCGAAATTTACGTACAAAAGGTTAATCCATCTCGATTGCCAGTTGTGGTTGGTGCCCTGTTGGATGTTGACTGTCCAGAAGATGCAATCAAATCTCTAATGATGGTCGTAAGAGGTCAATTCTCGATGGATGAACTTGTCGATGAGGTGGAGAAGCGTAACAGGCTAAAATTACTTTTACCATGGCTCGAGAATTGTATTAGAGAAGGAAGCACTGATGCCGCCATTCATAGTGCTTTGGCGAAAATATATATCGACAGTAATAATAACCCTGATAGATTCCTGAGGGAAAACCAATTTTATGATTCAAAGATTGTTGGAAAATACTGCGAAAAGAGAGATCCTCATTTAGCTTGCGTAGCTTACGAAAGAGGCCATTGTGACATGGAACTTATTGATGTTTGCAATGAGAATTCATTGTTCAAGAGCGAAGCACGTTATTTAGTTAAGAGAAGAGACCCAGAACTATGGGCTCATGTTCTACGAGAAGAAAATCAATTCAGAAGACCGCTTATTGATCAAGTAGTCCAGACAGCACTTACTGAGAGCCAAGATCCTGATGATGTTTCAATAACCGTCAAAGCCTTTATGACGGCAGACTTACCGAATGAATTAATTGAACTATTAGAAAAATTGGTTTTGGAGAGTTCAGTGTTTAGTGAACATAGGAATCTACAAAATCTTCTTATCCTTACTGCCATCAAAGCTGACAAAACTAAAGTCATGGAATATATTACCAGATTGGACAACTATGATGCTCCCGATATTGCGAACATAGCCATCAGTTCTGAGTTGTATGAGGAGGCATTTGCCATTTTCAAAAAATTTGATGTTAATACTTCAGCTATTGATGTCCTTATTGATCAAGTGAACAATCTTGATAGAGCTTACGAATTTGCTGAAAAATGCAACGAACCAGCCGTTTGGAGCCGCTTGGGAGGAGCTCAGCTTAGTCACGGTTTAGTTAAGGAGGCGATTGATTCCTACATCAAAGCTGATGATCCAGCCAATTATATGGACGTTGTAAAAGCCGCTAACAAGAGCCAAAATTGGGAAGAATTGGTTAAATATCTCCAAATGGCTAGGAAGAAGTCGAGAGAAACACTTATTGAAACGGAGCTGGTCTATGCCTATGCGAAAACCAACAGGCTTGCTGATTTGGAGGAGTTCATTTCAGGTCCAAATCATGCTAACATTACCCAGGTAGCTGACAGATGCTTCACTGAAAAGATGTATGAAGCCGCAAAACTTTTATATAACAATGTTTCAAATTTTGCCCGTTTGGCAATCACTCTCGTCCACCTCGGTGAATATCAAGGAGCTGTTGATAGCGCTAGAAAAGCAAACAGCACTCAGACCTGGAAAGAAGTATGCTTCGCTTGTGTTGAACAAGAAGAGTTTAGACTAGCTCAAATGTGTGGTTTGAACATTGTCGTGCACGCTGATGAGCTAGAAGAGTTAATTAATTTCTATCAGGATAGAGGATATTTTGAAAAACTTATCAGCTTACTGGAGGCTTCCTTAGGTCTTGAAAGAGCGCATATGGGAATGTTTACAGAATTAGCTATTCTCTACGCTAAGTACAAGCCACAGAAAATGAGAGAGCATTTGGAATTGTTCTGGTCTAGAGTTAATATACCGAAAGTCTTGAGAGCGGCTGAACAAGCCCATCTATGGTCCGAATTGGTATTCTTATATGATAAATACGAAGAATACGATAATGCTGTTATAACCATGATGAATCATCCGTCTGATGCCTGGAAAGAAAATCACTTTAAAGATGTTATTACTAAAGTAGCAAATGTAGAATTATACTACAAAGCTCTCCAATTTTACATCGATTATAAGCCATTGCTGTTGAATGATTTGCTGATTGTCCTAACGCCCAGGATGGATCATACTAGGGCCGTAAACTTCTTCCAGAAGAAAAATCAATTGCCTTTGGTTAAGCCCTACCTTCGCTCCGTACAAAATTTGAACAAAAAGGCAATTAATGAAGCACTTAATCAGTTACTAATCGACGAAGAGGATTATCAAGGATTACGCACGTCAATTGAAGGATTTGACAATTTCGATACTATCAGTTTGGCTCAGAGCTTAGAAAAGCATGAATTAATTGAATTCCGTAGAATTGCAGCATACCTCTACAAGGGCAACAACAGGTGGAAGCAATCTATTGAATTGTGTAAGAAAGATCATTTGTTTAAAGACGCTATGACATATGCTGGCGAATCAAGAGATGTTGATCTGGCTGAGGATCTCATGGGATGGTTCCTCGAACAGAGTAAATTTGAATGCTTTGCATCATGCCTGTATCAATGTTACGAACTTGTCCGACCTGATGTCATACTCGAACTGGCCTGGCGTCACCGAATTATGGATTACGCTTTCCCTTACTTTATCCAGGTGGTTAGGGAACTGTCTTCAAAGGTATTCAGATTTACTATAAGCTTGTAAAATATCTAAGTCCTATTTGACTCTAAACAGGTTGAGAAACTAGAACAATCTGAGGCATTACGAAGCGAAGCGGAAGAAAAAGCTGAAGAACGTCCAATTGCCTTGAGTGAGTATTTCCTCTACCCTCTCAAAAAATGCTAACAAAATTTGACACGTATCTTATTCCTTTAGCTGAACCGCAATTAATGATAACGGCCGGACCGGCAATGGGTATACCACAGCAAACGGGTGCCATGTATAACGCCCCAGCCCAAGGAATACCAGCAGGAGTACCAGCAGGAGTACCAGCAGGAGCTTACATGGGTAACATGCCTAATTCTACCGGTTATGGAATGGGGATGATGCCACCTCAAGGGGGCTACGGAGGCATGTAGAAAAATAAATTAGAACTGTTGTATGCCATGGTATGTTACTTATGTTTCTCATGATTATGTATGCCTGTGTGCGTGGTAGGGTGTCGCGTATATGATTTTTCCGATTGCCTACATATTCTATATCTCGCTAATATTATTCTGTTTTTTTTGGTTGAAATTGTGCATTCCAGAATTGTTAACCGTAATACTTTATGTGTGTAGCACCGTAATATTTAAAAAACGTTGTAGTTGAATAACGGTAACATATTAGCTAAAGCATGTTCTCTAGGAGGCACATCGTAGGCAAATCTTCTTTATATAATTCCATATATATGTATAAATACTAAATACATATATATGTATTATATAGATATATATGAAAAAAAGTTTAAGTACTTCACTATCTTTGATCATGTGTAATAAAACTTCATATTTGTGCCACCGTATATCAATCGTTTTCCATATGAAAAATAAGGAAACTATTAACTTCTTTCAAGTCGGTTTGAAAAAAATGCGGTCGAAAATTTGATGTGAATATCTTTATATTATTAAATAAATTATACTGAGATATTCTATTCAACTTTTATAAATCTTTCGGTACACTTACGGATAAACAGATGGCGTTGTTTCAATAAAACAAGAATCTTTTTTTATAAAAATAAGTATTGGTATATTAAATAAGACTCGTATAAAATGTAAGAAAGTCTTAAAACACTAACAAATATAAAATAGAATAAAATATTAAATATTTAAATTAATTCTTTAAGATTAATATTTTCAAAGTCTAATAATTAGCGCCATAACCGCCGTAATAATCATATTGTCCATCTCCATATTGGCCATTTCCGTAATTGCCCATGTCTCCGGTATTATATCCCTGCGAATAGTCATTATAATCGTCTTCCTTCTCTTCGTAAAACATAAATTGTGAGCCAGTTTGGCTGTTAACAACACTTCCAGCAATTTGTCTTTGAATTCCTAAGGTTCCACTTGCCTGCAGTTGACCAATTCCGTATGGAGAATAACCTTGATATTGTTCATTAGGATCTCCATTGTACATATTGCTTCCTGTGATAGCAGCAGCGCCTGCGCCATTTCTTCTTGGTGACTTGCTTGGGGCTCGTTTTTTGCCTTTTTGTTTTTTATTTCTTGGAGGCCTCTCTGGACTCTTTGATTTTGGTGCCGGCTGAATTACTGGCTGAGCTGGAGTCTGGCCCGGATTAACCATCTGAGGAGACAGATTTTGATCAATTTGACCAATTTCTCCATCTTTTCCCTTTTTGTTTAATTTCTTGGGATGTTTTCGCAAATAATGCCATCTCGCCAACACTACTATTAAACCAATAAGAATAGCACCACCACCGGCGCCTAAACATGCATAAACTATAGTATCTTTGTTATTAGAGTTCAATTTTCGATTTTCGCATCTTTTACCCTCAAATTGTGTATGACAGGTACATTTTTGTTCTCCGTTAGCTTCATCTTCGCAAATACCCCCATTCAAACAGTAAGGTACCATATCTTCTCCTTTCAGTGCCTGAGTTGCATTAGGATTTATTTTCTCCAATTTGCAAAGGGGTATGCATACTTCATTAATTTTGTCTTCAGCTGACGCATCAGTGGACGCTGTGTTTGGGAAATATGTTTTCGTGCCATCTATTCCCCTATTTCCCGGACATGTTTGACATTGACTGTTTTTATCATTGAATTGAAATTCGTCATAACCACATTCTGTACAATCTACTTTATTTGATGTTGTATTGAAGAACAACTTCTCACCATTATCACAAACTTTGCTTGGTGAGAATGAAAAGACAATTGGTTGACTTTTCGGATCTGCAGCATCTAAGTCACCAAGCTTTCCTGTGGCCAAAGCCACCTGCAGTCTATCATTAATTTCTTTTAGTAAATCCTCCTTCTTATTGCCTATGGAAGAAGCTCCAAGGTCATACTCCGCGATGGCACTTCCCTTTCTAAAACCTAAGAATAATAGTTGATATGTAAATGAAATATCAGCTAAACCACTTCTGAGAGCTGATAAAATGTTATCTTTATTTGTTTCATATGTTGTTGTACCGGGGATAATAAGTTCAGGAGTGTAAACTATGGATGTAAATCTAATAGTAATTCTGAAGATATGTAAATTAGCCGCTTCTGTACAATCTTTGACGCTTGTGCTTGCCGTGCGTTTAGTTGTATAGAAACCAGGACATTTTTTGCATTTTCGAGCTGGCGAACCAAGATAGTAACCTTGATCGCATGGTATACACCTATCATCTGTATTTGACCAATGGCCCTTAGTACATATTCGTAGATCGCAGTCTTCTCGCCTTTTCGTTCCTTCTGTGTCAGTTGTTCTTCCAATCGGACACGCTTGACATTCGTAGGCAAATCTTGTTACTTCCTTAGCAAAATCATTAAAATCGTTATCTTTGTAAAAGCCAACTGGGCATTTCGAGCAGGTGGTAGTTTTATTGTCCTTAAGATACTCTCCTGATCTACAATAGCTAACACATTCGTCTGTGGAATTAGAGCCTTTTCTCTTTGTGCCTCTTAATGCTCCGCATGAAATGCACACCGTATTATTAAGCACTTCATTTGATGTTTGATATTTATCGTAATCGCAATCGACACATTTGCCTGTATCCCCATCCCACTCTTGTCCTGAATGACAATCAGTTTCTCTGCAATCGTCTATGCTAGTACTACCTTCAAAAAGAGTTTGACCTCGGAGAAAGTTTGTCTTCTCACTACAAGAATAGCACTCAGTCATGAAGGGTGAAAGGAATTCTTTATCGTCTTTATATGTGCCTTTAGGGCAATTTTCACAATCTGAACCTTTCAAATATTTTCCAGCTGGACAAGAGGCATTACAGAAACTAATGTCTGTGGCGGCTGGCTTTGTTGTGTTGAATCCGGGATCACAAGCGGTACAATTGACATCTTGTGTCAAACTAAAACTTCTATAAGTTCCTTGAGGACAATCAACACATTGATCTTGTTCATTTTTACAACCATCACCAATTCTCTTTTGACCGGCTTTACATTTTATTCGACAACAATCACTAGATGCCTGTGCTCCAGTCTTTGCTGTTGTTTTACCCTCCGGACAGCTCAAACATCTATTATCAATTTTATCACGACTGTAAAAGCCGTATGAGCAGTCAACACATTTTCCCCCTGCCCCTAATTGCTGACCACCTGGACAAGCAGTAGAGCATTCCGTAATGGAAACAGATCCATTTTTTCGGTTGTCCGTTCCAAAAGGACATGGTTTACAATAAGTTTTACCTTTTTCTTCTTGATAGAATCCTGGTTTACACATAGTACACTTACTACCATCCCACATTGATCCTTTTTCGCAGTTATCTGTAATAATAAAAATAAAGAACAGGATAATTGTTTTCTCCTTTTTTTTTTAATATAAGAATTTACCATAGCATTCATCTTCAGCTCGAGCTCCTATGTTATCGGTTGTTTTTTCGTTGGGGCATTTCTTACAGGCACTCTCTGTTGAATCGGTAGAATAAAAACCAACTTCACAGAAATCACATTTTTTTGTTTCTTTGTTGAAAACTGTTCCAGATGTGCACTTCACACATTTATCACCGGAAACTTGATAGTTTTCATCACAAGAATATTCCAAGGAAAAGGAAAATCTAGAAGTGTCAACGTTTTCAGCGCCAGCAATATCCGGCTCATTAAAGACCTCAGTCTGCAGTACCATTTGAGAAATCATATCTTCTTCTCCCTTTGGGTCTGCTAGATTAGTTATAGTGGTAGTAACTAACGGTCTTTCTTGATCAGCGCAGTTTACGTCAATATCAAAATTACAAGTACCAGATATACAATGATAAGTATTTTCAGCATTGTCATCCGATTGCTGCTTCGTATTAAATCCCGTAGTAACTCTATTCTTTAAGATATTCTTGACATTATCCTTACATAATTTACCCAGAAGATGATATCCAAATTTCACAACAGATTTATAGCTAGGAGCTTTGAATGAACTACACTGTGGGAATCTAAATTTCTCATAAGGTCTTGTACTATCCCAAGTTCCAGTTGGACCACAAGTATAATAATTTGGAGTGTCAACAAGAGGATGGAATGTATCTTGGCACACTAATTTAGCATAGGCATATAAAGAGTCACGAGCGTAAACAACAGCTCCGTTCTTAGGTGCTTCCGGCATTTCACAAGATGAGCCTCTTACCCAAATAGTAAATTCACATTTCGCCCTATTTAAATCATCATCTGTGGCAACGTAGATAATTTCTGTGGCACCAAATCCGAAAGCAAGACCAGGTTCATAATTTTTAGCAACGTCCTTAGATGTGCCTTTAACTATTGGTACTGTCCAGTTAACAACTCCAAAACGTTCAGCATTGTTTGAAACTATTGTAGACGGACAATTTTCAAAAGTTGGTGGCTCTTTGTCAATTGTTTCATTAACGCAAACTCCATTTTTGAGAAGAAGACCCTCAGGACAATCATTTCGGCCTCTAGTAGATATCAACTGTTTAGAAGCGCCACTTTGAATATTATACAAATCCCAGTCTTTCGCAATATTTTCTATATCTAGAATGTTTTCAGGTTGAGTGTAGAGTTTGATATAATCATCAGAAAGGAGTTTATCATATAATAGAACCAAGCTCATATATCCAAGGAAACCACCATTTGGGACCGATTGCTTAGTGTCTTTATTAAATTTATCACCCAACCTAACCATTAAGTAATCGGATAAGATAAAATCTTTAGCAAAGTCTTGCTTGTTTACAACACGAATTGCGTCAATACGAACAACTAATTCTGCGCTATCACCAGACCATTTAACAATTAGATTGTGCCATTTTCCGTCATTAAGAAGAACCAAATCAGTGAAATTGGCATTTAATGAAGTGACTACTGAATTTGACTCATTTTTCATTGTAAGCGATATAGATCTCTCATCGATAGTCATAAAAAATCCATCAAGTATATCAAGAGAAGTTTCTGATCTAACTTGATAGGCTGTAAAAAAGTTTCCTGTATCATCCTTCTCTGCATATCGAAGCCAGACGGAAAATGTAAAACCATCACTACCCATTGCCACTGGAAAGTAAGTGACAGCTGCACTATCTTTTGATCCTCTACCAAAATATATATCAAAATTTCTATCTATATCCCTTGCGCAAAGTGGTCCCATTTTACCCGGAGGACAGTTGCAAAATCCTTCATTGATACTGTCGATACATCTTCCTGGTAGAGGTCCACATTTGATATTAGCACAATCATCGATGTTCGTTTCGCATTTAGTGCCAGTAAATCCTGGAGAACATGTGCATTTGTATTTTTCATTAGTTGAGAGTCTAGTGCAGGTAGCTCCGTTTTGACAGATAACAGCTCCCTCTTTACAAAAATCCCTCTCAATATGACAAAAATCTCCAACATAGTTTTCATCACATTCGCACTTTACTATTCCCAGTTCAACATAGCATCTACCAGAATTTTTACAAGGATTTGCTACCTCGCATATATCTTTACCTTGACTGCAAAAATCACCAAACGTTCCTTGAACGCATGCGCAGTAAAAATTATTTTTTCCAGGTAATGAAAAGCAAGTGGAGCCTTTCAAACATTGATTATGATTGCAATTATCAAGAAGATTCTCACAATTTGTACCAGTGAATGAAGATCCACACGTACATTCGTATTCTCCCCTAGTCTTTGGTGTACATGTTCCGCCGTTTAGACAAGGATGTGAATCACAGCCATTGATTTCCTTAGAACAGTTCAAACCTTCGTAGCCGTTACGACAATCGCATGTAAAACCACCAAATTTATTTATACATTTTCCATTGACACATGGATCAGGTGAACAATTATCTTTCGTCTCATCACAATTTTTACCTGACCATCCAAAAGTACAATTGCATTTATAGCTGTTTTCACCGTCTATACATATTCCACCATTCTTGCATGGGTTGTCCTTACAGTCATCTCTGTTGTGTTGGCAATTAAAACCTTCGAAACCAGTTTTACACGATCTACAATCGTACAGCAAAGGATATCTTTCATTCCTGCAGGAAATGGAATTGAAAGGATTCTCACAAGGTTCATCTTCAACACATTCGTCGATATCGTGGCACAAGTACCTGTCCAATGTTCTATAACTACATTTATAACGAACCTCATAATCCTCACAAGTTTTGTTGTTCGTTTGATTACTATTTAAGCACAGTAGACCGAGAGTTATATTTTTGCAGTCGTGGATCAGATAATCTACATTTTTAGGATCATCATGAGATAATTTGTTTTTAGCGATTCTACATTCCATATCTAAAATAGCTTCCTTCTTACGACTGCAAACTAGGCTACCGTATCTTTTAAGGTGATTATCAACATGTTCCACGTCATCCCCATCTTTCTGGTTGGTATCTCCGTTTAACCATACTGACCAAAAGTATTCATCTCTATATCCATCGGGACAGAGACACTTTCTTTGAGCATTTGGATAATCAAAGCGGCATTCGCTGCGTGCTACAGCACAAGGATTATTTTTACACACATCCGTTTTAAGGGTTTCGCATCGTTTCTTATTTCCTTCAGCAAAACTAGGACATTTACATTCAAAGCCATTAACTTTATCGATGCATGTACCACCATTAAAACACGGATTTGGATCGCAATCATTAATATTCTCAGAGCAATCGTCTCCTGTAAAACCAGCGGCACATGTGCATAATCGTCTTATGTCTGCACCTTCTAATTCAATTGCTTTACAAGTCCCGCCGTTCATACAAGGTTTCGTTGTACAGATTTCTGTAACTGGTATATTGCACTTGTCACCCTTATAACCTCGGTCGCAAACACATTTAGTAATTTCGTTATTGTTGTATGCCGGATCGAGATCGAGACAACCGCCATTGATTCCACAATTATCATTAGTTACACAATCGTCTGTTTCATTTCCACAATGTGTGTCCAAGGTATACGAATTTTCTTCAACTTCATTTCTTTGTAGGACGTATGAATCGTCGTTATTTGCTAATTCACTTTTTTCATCATAGAGAAAGCACAGATTAGTCGCATCATGAACAATAGCCCATTTACACCTATTGTCGGCTTTGCAGAGCTTTGCACAATCGTCTTCCCGTGAATTCCTCGAGATTTCTTTAATCTCGAAGGCTTCTCCATTAACAACAATCTTCTTCTCTAATTTCTCAATTGTTATTTTTATTCTCTTTTTACACGTACATTCGAAATCATTTACTAAATCTTTACAAGTTGAATCGTGCTTGCAAGGTGAACTTGCACAGTCATCTATATCCGTTTCACAGAAACGGCCAGTATATCCTTTATTGCAAATACAAACTCTAGCTTTGCCGACAGTTTTACATGAACCGTGGCCGTTGCAGAAATTGCTATCAGTTTCACAATCTGTTATTTCAGTACAATTCTCTTTAAATTTTGCACCTTCAAACTCTGTAGTGTTAGTTCCATAACAATCTTGACAAATTGTAGATTTGCTATTCTCTGCGAATGTTCCAAAAGGACATTTGATACAGGGTTCAAAGCCGTTTGATGAAAAAGTTCCCGGTTTGCATTCATCTTTACAGCCGCTTACATCAGTTACACCTGTTAATCCATTTGTTGACGTGCCTGCAGGACAAGGTGAACATAGGGTTGTCGAATTAAAATATTCATTCTGCGGGCATGGGTTACAGGGAGGTAATCCATTTTGCGATGTGTATCCAACAGGACATTCATCAAAACACTGCGACTGAGAGAATGCGCCCAAAAAATACGTTGACTTTCCGGCAGGGCAAGGTTTACACTCAGCCGTTCCAGCTTCAGTTTGATAAGTTCCCACGGGACATTTTTCACATATCCTTTTTTCGTCATTAAACTTGAAACCATTAGGACAGATTAAACATCTATCAACTTCATTACCGTCTTTTGTTATTTTGACGGTTTGAAAGCCACTTGGACAATATACTCCACTCTTTTCGTCTCTGATAAAATTAAGTCCATTTTTAACTTTTTCCAACTTTGAACAACCCGAGAATTCTGGAGTATCTGATATTCCAGCAAAATTCTTAAATTCACTTTGAACCTCGCTAACACAGTTTTCAAGGTTTTCTATATTTTCTGTTCTCGGTCCAACAGCCACTGTAACTATTACCTTCATTTCATTAAAAGTAGTTTCGAAGGAAATAACTTCAATTGATATTGTTCTACCAAAGCATCTTGAATGATCTACTAGCTGGTTTTTAAATGATTCGCTCTTTACGGTATCTTCAAAATATTTATTGAACGTATCCCGGCAGGCGTTTGATATTTGCTTAACTGTGCTAGTAAGCTTTAGTCTATACAGAAAGTATCCAGACAAAAAGTATTGAATACCGCTAACAGGCTGACAATTATGAATAACGGGAATCAATGTGTTAGGAGGAGAAAATACATTTGGTTTTGAACCATCAGGTCTCAACTCTTTGTAGCCTTCGTCGTCCTTACATTGATATTTGAACTGTGTTACTGTCTCAAATTGTTCATTTTGGGAGGAGACTTCTCTATAAAAATACCTGCCATCAGAGCATCTGAAGAGTATTTCAAAGCCATTGTCCACTTTTGTAATACTATTAGCCCTCGCGTTATCAGGCTGATTTATAAATTCAGGCCGGCATCGTTCCGCTTTTACTGGTAACAATAGCTTGCAAGAGAGTTTAGTACCGTCGTTGGCAGTTGCAGTATAAGTTGAAACAAGGGTTTTACCAATGGATGAATATCTTATCTCAAGCTTTTTAGGATCGTATTTTTCACTTATTTTGTTATCTAAGCCTCCTCCTGTAACTTCAAAAGTCTCAAGATGATTTTTCTTTGAAATTGTGAAAGTTTCGCTAGTACATGTTATTTTTTTTTCATCATTTATCTTCAATCGAATAGTAACTGAACAGTTCGCCGAATTATTATTGTGATCGTAAGCATACCACATAAGTACAGTTTCCTCACTCGAATCATAAGGCTTACTTAAATCATAACCCTCTACTTCAATTCTAGCAACTGCACCAGAGTTATCCGTTACATTAGGAAACGGAAGGTCTAAAAGAGTTTGTTTCCTGGCTACAGGTGGTGGTTGCTCCTGTTCACAATTGGTGAACTTAGGAGGCTCTACATCGACACAGACGGGAACGGTTCCATTCCATTTACCTTCTATACACACTAAAGGTTCAGGAGGATTAGGTGCATATCCCTTTCTATTACAAGTAAAAGTGGCTAAGGCTCCGTCTTCAAATGAGGTTACATGAGTTTTCCCTTCGTCAGGATGCAATACATCCTTTCCATCGCATTTTGTACCCTGGCATATCATATTGCCGAAATCCCATTTTCCTGTCTTAGTACAAACGGCTATGGTTGGTCTGTCAGTTAATGGGCCTTTACCTTTTGGCGCGAAATTTGTTTTGCATTTCACTTCAAATTCAGCTGTGTATGTTGTATTAGTTGGTACTCCATCCACACCTGACAAGAGATCCCTTGATGGAGTTCCACAATCAATGACACCACATTCTAAAGAATCTCCAACTAGCCTATAACTTTGCGTACTTTGATCGTAAGCACATTTCACTTTTCGATCTTCCTGTTTGCCAAGTGGAGTGACACACTTAAATGTTAACTCTGTGTTAGGATCATAATTGAATTCTGTTGTTGAATCTTTATAGGTTGGAGGACTTTTATATGATGACTTGTCAAACTTGCAAGTGACTGCTGCACAATTAGGCTTTGTTGGTTGTGCGGGAGACCAAAGTCCATTTTTATCACAAGTTATCTCGAAATCTCCACCAACTTTCTCATAACCAAGATCACATAGGTATGTAATGCTGTCACCAACTTCGTAAGTCTTGGCAGCAATACCAAACAGTTTAAACTTGTCGGCAGCTTCAGGTTTATATATTTCAGTAAAGTTACACCTCTTCTTTATACATGTATGATTAAATGAAACAACATGCCATGACTGACGGCCATCTTCACCGTCCTTTGTTTCGACTCCCATTTGATCATCCTCTTTATAAAGATCATATCCGTCAGGACAATGACAAATGTATCTACCTTCTGTAGGATTTTTATCAGTACAGCAATGACCATTTGTACAACTAGAGTCACGGTGACAAAGATTAGGATATCTCTCACACTCATTGATTTGAACGCAGGAATTTCCGTCTAACTCATAACCATCTTTGCAACCGCAATAATAGGAACCAAGAGTGTTTATACAGACACCTCTGTCTCCATCACAAGTATTTGGGTTAGTGCATTCGTCGTAGTCTACACAAAACAAGTCTTTGTCAAACTTCCTATCTGATCCACACATCGCTATTTGATCTGTAACGTCTGTTCCGTTGAAAACATGTCCTTCAATACAAGAAACTGTAATTTCTTGCTCATATCGAATAGCTCCCTTGGCCGACGTGGTTGCATTTGGAAAGACAGGAATTGGGCAATAAAGGTAGTCACAATCAGCCTTAGAAGGATCTGATGACCATTCAACCTCAGCAGAGTTAGATTTGAATCTACAAGCGAAAATAGCTGGTGATTCGGCCGAATATTCAAAACCATCTTCGCATACGTATTTAACTACTGTGCCAAATTCAAGTTCGCCTGGTAGTCCGGCAGACGTATTAACATACTTTCCGTTTCTAATTTGTGTTCCTAAATTTGGACAAACTGCAGTCCTACATTCAGGTTCTCCGTCCCAACCATCGTCTCTGCAAATTGTTTTGCCATTCTTTAGATCAAAACCGCTAAAACATTCAAATTCCACTTGAGCGTTCAATGAAAAGTTTGTAACTGTGGCAAAATCTTTTACGTGTCCTCTTTTTACATTCTTTATTCTACCACAGTAATAAGGTTCACATTTAGGAATGGATTTCTTATCCCATTGACCACCAAATTCACATGTAAGATCTATTCTTCTATCAATGTTGTCACTATTTCCGTCTCCAATATATTCTTCTTGAAAAAAGTAATTACCTGCAGCACATTCTAAACTGAACTTTTCTCTATATTTTCGATTATCAGCGGCAATATTAGCATTTCCGGCACTAGGTTTCGGACAATCTATAAATAAAATTAAAATATTGTGAATTGTTTCTTTTTTAAAAAACAAACTTACCAATAGACCAGGTAGCTTTAAAACCAGGTTTATCTTTATCAGTCTCTTCACCGAATTCTGTTTTGAACTGAACGAATAATTTCTTCTCTGAAGAGTAATAACTGAAATCTTTATTTGCTCCAACTCCTTTTGCTCTTTTGAATTTCTCAGGCTTATCTTCTTTCTTATCAAAATTATTAAAAACGGTTAGCTCATCTTCTCCATATAACGATAGCGCATCCGTAATATCAAATAAGACTGCTTCGGTTGCAGTGATCCTATACTCGCATAAGACCAAACTTGGTATAAGATCTACAACAATGTCTGAAGAATCAGGGTTGTAAATGACTCCAGGAGATAATATTATTCCAGCAGCTCCATCAATATCGAATTTACAACCTGTTATAAACTCTATTTCAAAACCTTTTCCTGTTTCGAGGGAAACAGTATCAAAATGAATAAAGGCAGAATTTGTTGTAGTTGTTATAAATTCGGGCATTCCCTCAGCAGTTCCAGTGTATGAAATGAGAAGAGTAGCTGCTGCCGATTGACCGTTGTAAATGTTCAATCTATCTTTTGGTCCTAAATCAAAATCGCTTCCTTTTTTTAGCTGTTGAAAATTGTTATTGATAATTTTATTAAACAAAATAAACAAATAAACGATCTAGAGTAAGAGAGATAGATAATGAATGAAAAATCACTCACTCTAATTGTAATTACTGTACGCTTTGATGATCTGATAATCCAAGTATTTTGAGTACCACTGTAATAGTTTTTAGGATAGTTAGGAGATTTTATGACCTTCCAATTTCCTTCGGCCGTTTCTTGCTGATTATCTGAAGAACTTCCGTCTTCTGACAACCAATTGGCGACGAATCCTTCTTTTGTAGTATCGGCGTCGGTGTTGAATGTGACAATAGCGAAATTATTAGGACTTATATACTGATAAGAGTCGAGGTCACTGCCAGTGACTTCACCAGAAAATGATGCCACGAGTCGACTAGTGCTAAGTGTTTTTCCTCCCACCCAAACTTCAATGATATCCAAGTTAGCCTCCGTATTAATTTTTGTGAAACTTAGTCTTAACTTTGATGTTGGATCCGGTAATTCAATAATCCAAATGCAACTCATTTTATTACGGTAACTATTATCATTTGTAGAATCGCGAGTGCTAACTGAACCTGTAGTTGACTTTTTCTTGAAAATGCAATTCGCTCTACAAGCGGGACTATCGATGAGTTCGTCACTTCTATCTCCGCAGTCATCTTCTCCGTCGCATAACCATTTCTTTTGAATACATTTTCCACTTAGACATGTAAAATGATCGGAGAAACAGGCATCCAATTGACAAACAAATGCCTGCTTTGTTCCGCACCAAATATAACTCCAAGGAAACAATTTTTCTAATAGAACTTCAACGCAATCCTCATTCTTTTTAATAGTTGGTTGGCCATTTACCCATTGACCTTCCCAAATATTAGTCTTTTCGTCCAACCACTTAACTTGCGTCTCATTTAATTCACCCTTATCGTCTAGTCTATTAAGACCAGTCCAAAAAGCTTTAGGCTTGTCACCGGACTTTTGAAGGACTAGCTCGGAAACTTTGATATTTTCCGTAAGACTTTCAAGTCGAACTAATTCAGCTCCTTCACTGTTTATTTAGAGAAGGCTTTACATCTTAATATTTTATCTTTTAACTACGTTTAAGTAAGTATAGATTAGGTGGAAAATTTGAGCTTTACCTCTTGCACACTGCTCTCGCTTGGCTCCAAGTTGAGCCTTGATAATAAGCCTTATAACACTTCGAAGATATTTCTGTGTAGCCTATTAGATTGAATAATCACGTGATAAGTAGATTGTATGCGCTTAATAATTGCTTTGTATATATTTATACATAGCATAGAACAATGTAAATATTAAGCTATTTATAGATATCAACCTGGAGGGCAATCAAGTGAAACTGATGACGGCGGGCTCCATTCTTGGGGTGAAACTCTCAAGCGAATCTGTAGTTGATTAAGTAAAAGTTTTTTTACAAAATAGCCTAAAGAACAATGAACAAACCTCTTCACGTAATTTATTATAATCCTGCCCATTTGACCACTTAGATAGCAGAAAAACGGTTAATATCAACCGTATCATGCTGTTCCACTCGTCAGGGTGTGGACAACTGCGATGTTGAATTCTTAGTCAGTTTTGGCCAAACCCTTTAGCCAAGACCAACCATGCGAGAAATATTCACGATCACTACCTCGCCCTACAACGCCCTTATTAGGCCATTCGATAGGCTTACTAACAGAGAATTGAACGAATGAATGGATATTTTTCTATTGGAAAGTATTGGCCTATAAAACCATATGCATTTATTATTTATATATCTTTAAATCAAAAGAACTGGAATAGAATCGATATAATTTAAAATTTATTAGCGTTTGTTTGTTATTTTTTTAATCAAACTTCGGCATCTTGAGTTGAAGATTGCCTCCTAGGTGCCGCTACTTGTTTTTCTCCTATTTGAATTGTCCATAAGGCGCATAGTAACTCCGATGCAACCAAAAATCCTGCATTATCCGATATTAGCTGTAGAACAAATTCACCGTCCCGTTTTAAATAGTTTCGTTTAAATTGCCTTAGTAATGTTGTTGTATGACGCCTTCTAACTTGTAACATTCTCGCAAGATGCCGCTGTAAAAAGACGTCGGACGGTATAGTAAATTCAGCGAACCAGTGTAGTGTAGCTAGAACAGTTACTAGGGCAACAAACACAAGCCAAAACCACAAAAATATGAATATTTTTTCGTTAAATAAATTAATTGGTAATGCGCATTGAACGATATAATCGTGAAAGCGTCCATGGTGACGCATCTCAAAAGTACATATGGAAACTTTTGGGAAACGTTCGTTTAAACTCCATTCATTACCATGTAAATATCTTCTCCAAGCATGATAGCCAAACTTATAAAAGTCTGTGCCCAATAGCCGATTGAGAAAGAATATCTGACATACGGCGTTAATAGCGTAGAATAGGCGTATAAAACCATAAAGTAACGGAAGGAAGTAGCCTGAGAAGCGTTTGTCAAAGGTACAGCAATTTTTTAATTTATTAAAAACTCCAGTGCTACTATGTGCTGCTCTTGCGTAATAATCTGGCCTGAGTTGTTGATCTAAATGAGCAATCAAGAATTTCATACTCTTCTCTCGGCAAGCTGAATTCCTAACGTCGTTACACACCTGGGCGGCGTCTACAATTTGCCTAAGGTTTACGCCCGACCGCCGATGTAGAAAACGCCAGACAATACTTGGCATATAAAAGCAAACAGCCTGTGCAGCAAGGATTAGAGGTACCCATTGATAATAATTAATCCTTCGGTGTTCCGGCAGGATTGTAGGAACGTGATTAACAGTGTTCGGTAAATAAAAAGTATCCGACACCCAACATACTGTGTCCGTATATCTGGTTTGACTAGATGTAAATTGAGCTGGACACCAGCAGTCTATTGGATCTCCCATATATTGTTTTGATGAGACGAGTATAGCAAGAAGAAGAAGAACAGAACTTGTATACTTCCTAGATAGCCTCTCCACACTTCCGTCGTCATTACGCAATCGTATGGCACGTATATGTAGCCAACCTCCTAGAAGAGTTTCAATGCCTACCATATTCTTTTCTCAACTTGGCCGTGACTGTTCTAGGCGTGTATAAACGATTAAACCCATCGCGCCTCAACTGCAAAACGCGATTTGCGGTCGGAGGATGTCGCCACTTGCCAAAAAATTTATTAGTTTTTGCTTTTCTTCCTTTTTCGCTCGGAAAAAAAATTGAGGCTGCAGACATTTGGGCTAAATTGATAATAAGAGAGAAAAAAGTTGATTTAAGCCTAAGATATTAAACTAGAAACATTAATTTCTTTCATAGCTTTTCCTTAATAAAATTTTTTTCCTTTTTCCTTTCTTTCATTATTCCTTTTTCGCATGGATAACTCATAGGCTTATATTTTTAATAACAAACCTTATGTACGCATATAGGGTTAACTGGAAAAATTATAAGCAACACAAGCATATGCATCCGAAAGAGGGGGAAAGGCTAGTCTCTAGAGATTGTCGTGCGTGCTGGGGCCGTCACCCGGTCTTTACGAACGGCGTTCGGGGAGGCGTTTAATTGTTTTAACGAAGACGAGCGCCTAGAAGAGTGTCAGATGCGGAGAAGGGCAAGTAGGGGGGAAGGGGAGGGGGAAGGAGGCATGAATATAAAGAAAGACTCGGTAAGAATAAAGAAAATACAAAACGCGAGGAAAATACAAGCCTACACAACTGAAAATAGTTGAACAAGACGATGCAAAAAAAGAAAACATAGAAAGAATAAGACTACGGGGGGGCTAGAGGCGGGACTGGAAGGTGGAATATGGAACTCTTGTTTAGCCTATTAACCATTCCGTAGTTAAATATTTTTATATTGCTGATATCAGTATTATGATAGGCCTAGAAGAATTGGGCGAACTGCGCGATTGATCAATTCCGATTCTATACAAAACATAGTCATTGAACAAACGATTAGTATGAAAAAATATTAAAGAAAAAACAGACCTCCTTATAGAAGATATGTGTTAGTAAGATTACGAGATCGCGCCCCGTTTTTTCTATTCTTATAGTCGGAACACGACTATATACTACGGTAAATTGAAAAAATTGACAAACACTTACTAAACAAAAGGAAATTAATATACTTAAACTGGATATATTTATAAAAGGAGGATAACGAAAAAGTTTTATAAAGAGGATATCAATAGTATTAGAAGACGAAGAAGACGGGAAATACAGAATATCAGAAGGAGTTAATATTATAAAAATCTTTTTTTTTTTAAAAAAAAAGGAGAAAAAGAGAGATTTTAATAGATATTATATAGTTTAAAAAGTAAAATAAAAAAGACTACAAAAGAAGGAAAGAAGGAGGAGACGCTTAAATAATTAATTATGAAGTATTTGGTTGTCTATTTAGTTTGCAGTTTAAACATACTGCAGTTTGTTTACGCTGATTTATTACAAGTGAGTAATCGTTTACGGAATTCTTTTTTTTTTTAAAAAAAAAAAGAAAACTTTTACCTTTTCATTTTATATTTTCTGTATTTTTAACGTTTATTTCCAGTTGGACAAAACTTTTCCTTACGTTTCTAAACCAATCGATTCTTATTCATTTAACTGCCCAAACGGTGAGTCAGCTTCATTATTTACACTATAATTTAGGCCTATAAGGGTAACGGATCAGGCGCTGACATTTTCGAAAACGATTAAAGTTGGTTTTTTATTACTTTTAACCTCATTTAGTTATCGGTAACGCCGCTATGTAGGTTTAGCTAATCTAGTTGAAACATATTAATACAGTACATATTTATATCTATATATATATAGTATATAAATGTTTGCGAGAAAAACATTACAAGTTGTGCCTTGACAGTGTAATTTTATTCGGTACCAATTTCATAAAATAGATTGGACATCGAGGGGGCCGAATTGCTACAAATCCTTCCAAATTCCTTTGTCACATGCCGAAGCTCAAAGTGAATGCCAAAGGTAATTAATATGCGAATATATCACTCTCTTTCCTCTCTTCATAGGCACTATTGTACAAATATATATTCACTTGTGGTCTCGCCCTATAAAGAATAAAATTTTTGCAGATTCGGTGCCGGATTAGTAACTGTTGTAGGCGTTCATGAGAATACATTCGTGACGTCTTCCTATCTGGATAGTACAGAAATCTGGATAGAAAGTCCTCAATCGTCATCCATTGGCTTTTGGGACGTTAATCAGCCAGATAAAAAATCTGGTAACTGTATATTTCTAGTCCGTATTAATTCGGCTGGAGAATTTAGTTGGCGTTACGGAGATTGTGACCAGCGTCGAGTGTTTGTCTGTTCCAAGCCAGCATGCCTTTCCAGTGAGTATGCTTAAATATTGAAAAAAGAAAGAAGGAGAGAATACCAATTTCCTATAGAATTTACAAATATACTTAGTTTAAATATATAAGAGGTTTTCCATTTCTAGATATCCTCATCATTCTTTCTACACTCACTCTATACTCTTTTATTTCTCTTGTATATATATAAGCTTTTAAAGTGCCGTTGTTGACTGACTCATTCTGATTTGTAAATATAATTTTCGTCTCATCCTCTTTAGACCAATTCGCCTGTGGAAATGGAAGGTGTATAAATAATAAGTTAGTATGTGATGGAACGGATGATTGTAATGATTCAACTGACGAATTTGTCGCTAAACAAGAATGTTGTAAGTATAAATAAATTATATAAAGACTCTAAATCATAAGAGATTAGTAAATGTTCTTTGAAAAGAACAAAACTATATAGTATATATCCAGATTTATCAAAACTTACCTTCATCAATTTATCATTTTAAACGAAAGAGAACGTTTAGAATGTTTCGTAATCGAACGTAAATTCTTTAAAAACTAGGTAAGAGTTAAATGCCCTCATATGACCTACGTTCTTTCTCCCTTTTTTTATGTATTAGAATTCATAGTTAGTATATTTTAACTACATTTTTCTCTTAACGTAAAAATTTGACATATACAATACAGAGGTTTTCGCCAGAACATAAATCATCTGGAATAAGATTCTTGCCGCCAAAAACTAACCAATCACCATTTACAAAAATGTTCTTTTTCTTTCTTACCAGAACGCTTCCGTGTTGTTTTTAATAGCGCATAGCTGTTTACCATATGTCTATTATCCGTTACAAGAAATAAGCGGATTCTTACATGTTCTCTACACTCTTCCTTTTCATTTTCTTTTATTATTTTACCATTTTGAAAGTAATGAATAAAATTGTTAAATTATATATAAAATAGTAATTAGGTTATATATCTATATAACAATAGGAAGAGGAATGAAAAGATGGTAAAAACTGGTAATAAAAGAACCCAGTACGAAGTAGATTTGTTGTTGATAAAAGCATATAACCCTTATACGTTATTTAAATGTTCAATCAAAGTTTTATTGCTTAATTCTTCAAGCACATACTTATTTATCTATATATCAATATATAGTATATATATATAGATATATAGATATACAGATATATAGGGCTATATCAATAACTAAATAAAGTTTATTTAATAGAATATGGATTAGATTCTTGGTATTTTATATTGTTACTACTATTAGAGTCTTTATACACTTTTCCTATTCTAACGACTTTTCTATTGGTGTCAGGATCGTGACATTTTTTCTTCGTCATACTTATTCATCGCATTTTTATATTGCAGATAATAGATGTCACTACTTCCGTACGTCAACTTCGGGTGTAATAAGTGGGCTTGGTTATAAGGAGAAATCATTTTGCCAATGGCTAATCGAAGTCAAATACGGATCAAAAGTTCTGTTAAATGTAAGCTTAGACTATAGCCATTAATGCAACCGAAGTATTTATAAATAATATGCCGCACTTTGCAGTTCACCTCAATCCAAACAGAAGCGGGTGCCGATTACATAGAAATATGGTCTGGAGGTTATTCTACGGACACTGCTGAATTCGTTTATAGCACGCAAGGAGAGCCTAAAATTGCAGACATCCCACAGATTTTATCTGATAATCACCTTATACTTATACGCTTTTTCTCCGATCGTTCAAGAAACGAACCGGGCTTTAAACTGACTTATTCTAGCGTTTTACCCTATGCTACCGGTCAAATTACACCTCTGGTCGCTGATTTTAACACAAAATCCTTAAAATCGCCTTATTTCGATGATCCGCTAGGCTATCCAATGAATTTAAAATACTGGTGGGTTATTGAATCTTTACCAGCAACGGTTATAACTGTTCAAAGGGTTACGGTCGATTTGGGTGACGGCGATACCCTAAAAATATACGATGGACCTTCTCCCATAAATTCAGATCTAATAGCAACATGGCCACAAGATGATAGTATTGAATTTATTGTATCCACATCGAATAAAGTGTACATTAAACTTGAGACAGTGTCGTTTAGAAGAGGGAAAGGTTTTGAACTTGAATATAAATTAGGTATGAGTACGCTAATAGTTATCTTAAATAGCAATAATAACCTAATGGAAAAATCTATATTTGTTCGCTTGAACAGGTTGTCGAAATATCAGAACTAAAAATTCATATGGTATTATAAACAGTCCTGGTTTTGGGAGGAAAAATTATCCAATCCTTCAAAACTGCGATTACCAAATTACCCATCCACTTGGTCAAGGATTATCTATAGTATTTCTATCAACGGCTAATTTTTCTTTATACCAAATTGCTCCATATAGTGAAACGTTAAATGTATGGCGAGAGTCTACTGATGATTCTAATCAAAATTTAGAAACTCAGTTCAAAACAAAAAATGATTTAAAGACTCTGTTTGCGTCAAATGGCAAATTCTTTATTAGATTTAAGTCTGATGGTTTTGGTACTTCTTCTGGATTTTCACTTGCATATACAGTTAATTGTCCATCTTTGTCAATTGTTGGAGGGCTTCGAGTTTTAGGCACTTATAATACAAGATTCGGTTCCAAATTCTCTCTAAAATGTGCCAGTAGCTATAGTTGGGCAAATGAAGAATTCGATGGTTTAGATGAAGTTAATATGGAGTGTTTAGTTGGTGGTAAATGGAATGTTAGGAGTTTTCCCATATGTCAAAGTGAGTACATTTTTAAAGATTATCACTTTAATAACTAATTAATAATCTTTAAAAACCTTCAATAGACATATACTGCGGTCGTCCTCCCATTATACAAAATGGTTTTATAACTAGTATATCAACCGTTCTATATCAATCAATTGTTTATTATGGGTGTAATAGTGGTTATAGTATTCGCAATTCTCCAGTTACTTGCCAAAGTACTGGAAAATGGAATAGAATACCATACTGTTATTCGAATCCGTGCAGTTCACTCAGCGTTTCTGGTGGTAGTTGGATAACAATCAGAGGGGAATCTTATCAAGAGAACAATATTGCTAAATTATTTTGCAATCCTGGTTATGAATATTCAGCATCGGGCTCTCCGATAGTACTATGTAAAGGAGGAAATTGGGACAAATCTCGAGCTACTTGTACAAGTACTAAAACCGAACTCTTTTCTCCTTTTTCTTAATGAAATTACTAACTGCTATCTATATTTTCTCACTATAGAACGAAAATGTAAAGTACCTGAGCCAATTGTAAATGGAAATTTCAACAGACAGCAAGATAGTCTAATTAGTTATGAAGATAGAGTTACGATCACGTGTAAAACTGGTTTTGTTATAAATGGAACAAACTACATTGCTTGTCAAGAGAATAATAATTTTACAGCATCCCCAGAGTGTATAGGTTTGTGTTATATTAATTAATTAATAATATTAATAAAGAGACTGAGTACTTTATCTAATTAAAGTAATTAATGAATACACTTATACTAAATATTCTTACCTATTTTTTATTAGATAAAGATGAGTGTCTTGTGACAAATCATGGATGCCAAGATAAATGTATCAATACGATTGGAAGTTACAAATGCGAATGTAATCCTGGTTATAGATTAAAGAATGATAAGAAAACTTGCGAAGATATCGATGAATGTGCCGAAACACCTAATATCTGTCATCATAATTGCACTAATAAAGTTGGATATTATCAATGTTCATGCATAGACGGATATGAGATTTTTACTAAAACCAGTCAAAATGGCTTCTACGTTCCTATCGATGAGACTGGCAATGACCCATGGAATCTTTATCACTTTAATCATACTTGCATTCGTTAGTTTATACTTGTTTACATGCGTTATATAATCGTACATGTTAGTTATTTTTATTATTAATTACTATAGCTCTTGAATGTCCAAAAAGCCATATTGCTTCTATCATTAGCGGAGGCTACGGTTATCTACTTAATCCTAAAGAAAGGTATCATTACGGTGACTCAGTTGAATATTACTGCAGAATTGGATATGAGCCAAAAGAAAATAAGACACTAGTATGTACTTCCGACGGAACTTGGAGCGGAAGTGTTCCAACTTGTAAAGGTAGGCAGTATGAGTTTAAACTTTACTTGGTGCTTTTAACAGAATTTTTCAATTTCCTAGTTGCATCGTGTCCTATAACAATCCCTGATAATTTGACAAATCCCGCCGAACCGGTTGATCCAAATATCAAAACAATTGATTATTACAGCGGCTCATCGCCACCCGAAGCTTTATTCATATGCAAAGTTCCAGGTAACCCTATAGAAGAAAAAAGAAGGAGACGCTGCCTCTATGACTATACGAGTAAAGAGTACAAACTACAGGGAGATGATTTAGAATGCAATTGTAAATAATAAAATAAAATGCTCCTTCTTAATTTATAAATTATATTATATATAATAACTTCCATATTTCAGTTATTGATTGTGGTAATCCAGCTGAGTTAATAAACGGACTTGACGATTCAATTAAATTACCTAATTTTACTTATGGAATGCAATTTCAGTTCAAGTGTAAAAAAGGTTTCAACGTATTAGGCGGAGAGGAAAATACTGAAATCAAATGCGAAGCAAATGGTCTATGGAATTTCACTAACATTCGTTGTATTCGTAAGTATCGATTCCTTTATAAATAATATGAGAAAACAAAAAACATTTATAATTGTATTATTTCTTCTCTTAGCACAATCATGCTCAGATCCTGGTACCCCTATCCACGGCGAACAATTTGCTAACTCCTACGACGTTGGTGAATTAGTCACCTATAATTGTACGAAGAGAGGATTTCAATTATCTAATCCTTATCCACTGGAATGTATTTCGCAAAATGATAAATCTGTTGCTTTTAATCAGAGTAAACCGTCTTGTATTGGTGAGATTTTTGATAAACGAACCCACGACAAATTGAATATTAATTTATATAATTTTTTATTATCGATTAGATGTCGAACCACCTCGATTTATTAACTGTAATACAAAGGTTAAAGAACAATGGAGAATACTATTATACGATATACCTTACTATAAACCACCTATAGTCACGGATAACGATGGAGTTCAATCGATAAGATTAGTAGGTGGAGGAATAAATGATAAACTTCCTTTAAGACAGGGCTACTCAAATATTAAATGGGTTGCTAAAGATTATAGCAATAATCAAGCTGAATGTCTAGTTGATGTTGTTTTAGGAGGTAGGTCTGAGTGGAGAGAACTAAGAACAAATAAAAAGTTTTAAACTAGGCTTTCATAAATATAACTCTTTGTTTATTAACTAGATCGAAAACCACCAACTATTCCAACCTGTCCAGATGATTTTTACTTATATGTAGAAGATCCTGATATTGATTATATTAATAATACAATCTTTGGAACCTATTCATCTTCTGACAACATTGTTAAAGAATGGACAGAACCCTCTGCCATTACCTATAACTCAAGTATGCTTCAAGATAATATAGTAGTTAAATATACTATAGAAAATAGCGATGGCGTTAGATCTTCTTGCCAATATAATGTTGAAATAAAAGGTATTAAATTGTCATCATCAATTAAATCATTTAATTAATTTCTATTTTTGATAACAGAAACGCACTGTAATACTAAGTTTATGACACATCCAAAAAATTCAAACACGGTCTGTCGTCTTATCGGAAGCATAACACAGTGCATATCAACGTGTTCAGACGGTTATTCAATACTCGGTAGACCATATTTTGAGAGAGCTTGTCATAAAAGAAATGGTTTATGGATTCCAAGTCGTCTAGATGACAAGGAATTATTTCCAAGAGATTGTACAAGTATAAAAAAACAAATACTTTGTTGTTTACTTTAATCTAATAATTCTTTAAATTTAATATTCATTTAGAATCTCAGAGTGCTACATACTTTCAAGAATTTGTTCTTGAATATGGAGAAGAAGAAGCTAGTCTTCCACAAGCAAAGTGTATATCAACTTATCAAGAATCGGTTAATGGAAGATTACAAGCGGTTGCTAATGAGATGTTACAAAGTTGTAAAGATCAAGTATCAGGAAATGTTGATTTAAGTGGAAAGAATATATCCTTTACAAAAGCTGAAGTACAAGAAGGCACTAATTTCTATGTATGACATCTTTTTTATATTTTATTTTTTATTCTTTGTAATTTTAACTGTTTTCTATTACTTTGTAGCTTGAAATCGTCTATTCTATCAATACTCCTCAAGAATGCGCTGGATTAAATAAAGCATATTTCAATAAGATTAAGACATATAAAATAGCCCAGAATTTGGCTGTTATACCTCCTCATGTATTGGGCATCAATGGATGTCACAAGAATATAGAAGCTAGAAAAACATCATCTAGCCTCCCTGAAACATATATAAAAAGAATAAATTATGACCAATATACTTGTCCTGCCTATCTTTTTCTTCAAATTGATAAATGTGAACATTGTGGAACTGGAAGTTATATTAAGGATAACAAATGCGTTAGCTGTCCTAGGGGAAGTTTTTCTTTTGAAGAAGATTCCAGCAAGTGTAGAGACTGTCCACAAGGAACTTCCACATATCAAGAAGGATCTTCGAAACTGTCGCATTGTATCGATCTATGTCCTCCAGGTTTCTATTCTTCTACTGGCCTTGCACCTTGCCTCCCTTGTCCCGTTAACACATTCTGGAATAGTTCCACTAGTTGCCAGCCTTGCCCTTCTGGTCAGTTTGCTGCTGAAGTAGCATCCACTCGATGCTATGGATCTTGCGACAAGGGTACATTTTCTTGGAATGGAAATGGTCCATGTACAGATTGTCCTATTGGATACTACCAAGACAAAAAAAGTGGGCGGGATTGTTATAAGTGTACCTCAAAGTCGACAAGAGAAGAGGGATCAATTTCTCAAAACGATTGTTCTTCAAATATCGTCCACCTGTGCACACCGAATCCCTGCAAGAATGGTGGAACTTGTCAGGCACAAGATGATAAATGCAAATGCGCAAAAGGTTGGACAGGATTCTATTGCGAGATACAACTTAAGCCATGTGATTCAAACCCTTGCGTTAACGGAGCGAAGTGTACTAATCTTGTAGGAGATTACAACTGTTCTTGTCCTACAGGTAAGAGTAAAGTTGATTAATATTTTACATATAATTCATAAAATATTTTCACTAAATTCCAGAGGATATCTTTACTATGAAATTCGATAGAATAGGAGTTTTAGATCAAAGCGTTGGTTCAGATTTTACAGCATTCTTGGAAAAAGATTGCATTGGTTTCTGTCAAAATGATACAGAATGTATTGCTGTTAGCTACAATCAAAAGCTTCAAAAGTGTATAAGCTTTAAGAAATTTTCTGGTGTGTACATCGACGGCTTTCCATTTTCAGAGTATAATACTTTCCGAAAGCATAAGGAAATAAGAGACGGTAAGTTCAATAGAGAATAAATTTTCTCATATTTTCTATTCTAAAAATAAATCAAACACAAAAACATACTATATATCTATAGTTAAAAAAGAAATTTAGTTGAATAATCATTTACCAAAGGCACGTGTGGCAGGCGGTACCAGCCACACCTTAAAAAGAATGTTTAACTACTATTGATAGAATCAAATAATATATAGTTTTTTAATATATATTCAGTATTTACAATATATACAGTATACAATCATACAATCTATATAGATATATATATAGATTGATAATGAATAATGATTAATGTTTTTCATAACAGTTGGCTTTTCGGGTAAACGTTGCGAAATACTTCCTGATAAGTGTAAAGAGTTAAATTGCTTGAATGGAGGCAACTGCAAAAGAAATTCTTATGGTAGCGAATGTTTATGTAGGAAGACTGATATATTTAGCGGAAAGAGGTAGAAATAATTACTTTACCGTGCATTTCCCACGCATTAGATGCTTATTTATTATCAGGTGTGAAATAGCTCAAGATATATGCAAATCAACGCCCTGCCTTAATGGCACGTGTGAACTTGTAGATTCGTTAGGTATTCACAGACGCTGCGTTTGTCTATCGGGTTACTCAGGCAAAGACTGTGAAATTAAAGAAGGTTAATTTAATTTCAAAAAGGGGAAAAACACAAAATAACTTTAATATCTTTTTAGACAAATGCAAAAACAACCCTTGTTTATACGGTGGAACTTGTCAACCTGATAAAGACTTTTATAAATGCCTCTGTCCAACAAATTTTCAAGGTCTTCATTGCGAACAAAGACCACCAAATGTTTGCAACAATATAGATTGCGGTGGTAAAGGCACATGCGTTGAAGATTTCGAAAACAATAGGCCTATGTGTATTTGTGAAAGTGGTTACACATCAGGTAAAGAACAAAAGAGAGTTATGTAACATTTATTAAACTATTTCATTTATTATAGATACATTTTGGATGAAAGAATGGATCAATAATGATAAAGATAACCTTGGAGATGAATTAGAAATAACTGCAATTCTTATACAAGACATTCCGGTAATTTAACCTTTCTAATTATATAATTAAATAATAATTGATTATATTTATCACTATCTTCTTAAATGCTTTAATAGTCTGTACCAACAATTTGTGATAAAACTGCGCCAGTTGATATTGAATGCCGTAGTACTGTTGATAGAAAACCATTCGATGGTACTTTTAATGGTCAGAAATTACATTTCCATTCACCTTGCAAACTTGATGGTGGTCTACAATGCTACAAGAAAAATTTAACATCTGGTCAATCTTGCCCTGATTATGAAGTTAGATTCGCTTGTTCTGTGACTGCAGTGAATAAGGGAATACCAACATGCCGTAAAATAGATTGGTGTTCAGTAAACGATTGCGGTTCATTCGGAACATGCGATTCAGCCAGGCAAGAATGCAACTGTATCAATGGTTTTACAGGCGCAAGATGTCAACATAATATTAACGAATGCGCAAACGAACCTTGTAAGAATGGTGGAACTTGTACGGATTCTTTCAATTCTTATGCATGCAACTGCGCTCCTGGATGGACAGGTAATTGAAATATATTAGATTAATAAATGATTATTAATAAATCAATAATAATAACAGGTTCAACCTGCGAAGATAGTATCAATGACTGTTTTGGCAAATGTACAGTTGACAAATTTTCTGAATGTTTAGATTTTCATCAAGATTTCCGCTGCGTTTGTAAACCAGGCTATACAGGAAAAACTTGCGACGTTAGTTCTATTTTAATATTACTATTACTAGCTTTATGATAACATAAAAAAACACAGCAAGATCTTAACGAATGCCAACCAAATCCCTGTCTAAATGGAGCAGGATGCCAAAACTTACATAACAGCTATAAATGTAACTGTCGCGCAGGTTTTACAGGTTTGTTATATTAAGGAATTTGTTATAAATTTGAATTATTAATGGAACAATTTGAATAAATTTAGGATCAAATTGCGGTGAAATTATACAAGATTATTGCGATTCTAGCCCTTGTCTCTATAGCGGTTCGTGCATTAATATCTTTAACGATTTCTTCTGCGATTGTATTGATAATCGCGCTGGTAAAACTTGTCAAACAAACAATTATCAATGCTCTTCGAGTAGAAGAGTATGCTTATACGGTAGCTGTTTAAATAAGGATGATGGTTTCTATTGTTCCTGTCCACAAGGTAAAATAATTAATTAAAAGGATTTTTCGTTAACCAATCTATTAAATTTATTGTTTAAATTACAATAGATAAGACAGGACTGGCTTGTCATCTACGAAAAGATTTTTGTTCCTCAACCACTAACATCTGTCAAAATGGGGGAAAATGTATTAATAAAAATTACAATAACGATTACGAATGCTCCTGTTTACCAGGTAATACAAAAATAAGATTAATAGGCTTTAATTAAAGGAAAGATACCTTAAAAATTATCTAGGATTTAGTGGAAAAAGTTGCGAAATTAACAACGACAATTGTGCTTCTACAAATTGTGGGGATGGTATTTGCGTTGACGGTCAGAATGAATACTTTTGTAGATGTCCACTAGGAAAAACTGGATTAGGCTGTTATAGAGGTTAGACTATCCATGAGAAGAATAGCTTAATGATTATATTTAAATTTATATAGATATCGATCGTAATTTTGATTTGAAGTTCGATTCTCCAATTAAATCTCAAGCCGAATCTCTGTTTCCATTCTTTTTTAACGCCTCAGAAATTAATATAAATCTATGGATAAAAGTAGATGATAAAGATACACAAGAAGACGATGTTATCTTGACATTATATACTTCGCAGTACTTATTCAATTACTTAATAATTTATTTATATATAATTTGTAAAAATATCATTTTCTAATAGCTAATTAACTTTTTACAGATCCGACTCTGTTAATATAGAAGATAAAGCTGTCTTAAAACTAACAGTTTCATCTTTATATCTTTACTATAATAGGAGTACGGAACCTATGAAAATGGCAATTTCTCAATCAAATTTGATAAAATTAGCAGATGATAATTGGCATTATTTAACTGTATCGATAGAGGAGGGTGGTTACGTTCAATTTTTCATTGATGGCGTTAAAACAAGTACAAGTGTACCCGCACTTTATAGATATTATGAATTGAATTTCGGCATTGAACCGTAAGGAATCGCTAAATTGGTCTATTAAATAGTTTTAATAAATAAATATTTACAGGATGTTCGTTCAAATTGGTAATAAAAAAGAAAGATCATTCAAAGGATATATCAGTTTATTGCAAATTATTAATTTTACACCATCAAGAAATGATATTATTGAGCATTATGCCGATGAATCGAAATTCTATCCGGATAATAGAGTACTTAGCGATTGGGAAATATTCAGATTAACCGGGAACGTTCGAAGGATACTCGATTCCAGAAGAAAGAAAAAGATATGTCCAAAATACTTTTCGGGATCCAATTGTCAAATTAAACGAAGTGATATATTAATAATTATTTAAACAATGATTTATTATAATAATGTTCTTTATTTTTTCTTTAGATGTTTCTCCACCAAATATTGAACTTTGTCCAAATGATTATGTAATAACTGTTAAACCAAAATCAACAGCAATTGCAACTTGGAGTACTCCAAAATTTAGTTCAGGATCTGTTTTCAGCAATTACATTTCAGGTTTGTGTCTTTCAACAAGAGATCTGGAATGATTAATGATCTATTAAGAAAATTGTTAAATCAAATGAATTTTACAGGTGAATTCTTTGCCGCTGGAATCCACGAGATTTACTATATCAGCAAAGATTCAGACGATAATACAGCCTTCTGCAATTTTAAAATTATAGCTAGAGGTTAGCTACTTAATCTAATATATTTTAATTTAGCATTAAAATACATAATAACTTACCTTCTACATAGAAAATCAATGCACTTTGCCAACGCAATTACCAAACGAAGTTCCATTAAATTGCGATGATAGCAATAATCCTTGGAAGACCTGCCAAGCAACATGTAAAACCCAAAAAAGTTTCCTTAAAGAAATACCAAAATTTTTCACTTGCGGCTTATCTGGACTTTGGGATGCTCTAAGTCCAACAAATACATTATCCATCCCATTCTGTGGAAATAAGGAGGACACTTACAATTATTATATCCAGTTAAAATTCTATTATAACATTGCTGGTCTTTGCGATTCTTACAAAAATGGATTAATAAGTGAATTACGTAAAGCTATAGTAAAAGTTAATGAGGAGCAAATAATTAGATCACCATCCAATTTTGGAATGTGCGGAGAGCTACAATGCGGCTCAGTTATAATATCTGCGAATTGTATTAATGATGTTGGTGGACCAGGATCAAGTACAAGAGACGCTGCAGACGTTATCGTAACTCTACCAAATTGTCCCAAGACTTTGGCTGGAGGACCTGCCGAAGAGACAATTATGACAGATATAGTCCATCATACAACATTCGAAAACTTTCCGGTAAGTGCATGTTAATAAAATACCCTGGAAATAATATTTGATAATGAGAGAGTTGTCGTCTTTTGTAACATAATATTACTTTTACATTAATATCCCAATTAAGCAACTATAGACAATTTCTCTCGTACAAATTATGAATATAAAAAAGGCTTTTTATTTACTACGACATTCTATTGCGTCTCTTATTTCACAAATTATTATTTACTTTACAGTATTCAGACTTTTCTAATAAAGTTGTGTGGGATCGTACAAAATTCTCAATTTCTCGAGAAGCCAGTTGTTCACTTACCTATCAAGCAGTCGGCTTAAAATGCGGTAATTTAGATTAATTAATAATCTCCTATGCAATTTATGAATTATAAATAATTCGCTCCTTTTTTGTAGTTCAATGTCCTCCTGGTCATTTTTATAATAGCACTAATCGCCTATGTCAAGAATGTGGTATTGGGAGGTATCAAAGTCAAGCTGGAAATCAGTACTGCTTAGATTGTAAAAAAGGATATACCACTAAAACTAAAACCTCGATGAGTGAAAATGATTGCGCTGTAAAGTGCGAAGATGGAGAGGAGTTATCAGACCAAAGTGTTTGCACTCCTTGCCCAATTGGTAAATATAGGATTGCCGCCCAATCTGAAGAATGCGTAAAATGCCCCGATTCGAGAACAACGAAAAAAACTGGAGCCAAATCGGCAGCTGATTGTACACGAATTGTTTGCAAGGCTGGAGAATATAGGGTTGGTGATGACCCTGGAATTTGTAATGCTTGTGAAATAGGATACTTTAGTATTGGTGGTACTGATAATTGCGAAAGTTGTTGCGATAACTGCCCTGATTCTTCTAAGTGGACAACGAAAAATAAAGGATCAACGAGTAGAAAAGACTGTCTATGTAATTATTTAAAAATTATCGATCATTACTTTACAAAGCATATTTTAAAAAACTATCTTAATCCTCTTTTTTTTTAATAGACAAATGTCCTGCTGGCACGGAGGTTACTTCAGATATAAATGGTGTAAGGAGTTGCGTTAAATGTCCTGTTGACTTTTACAAGCCAGTAGGTGATGATACAGCCAAGTGTGCGCCGTGCGACGGCGAACGTAAATATACGAAGGGGACTGGAAAAATGTCCAAGGCGGATTGCCGTCTAAGTATATAGAATTATTAACTTTTATGATGTTATGAATTCACATGTACATTGAACTTTTCTTTTATCAATTAGGTCCTTGTACTACTGGCGAAATATTCGTTAGTAGTAATACAACTGCGGATAGATGTCAAATATGCGATTACGCAACCTATCAGGATATTAGCGATCCAATAAAAGATGTTACAAAATGTCAAAAATGTCCAACAGGCAAAAGAACACGAACGAAAGGAGCAAAATCGAATAGAGACTGCATTAGATTTTGCCCTGCTGGCGAACAACTTCTTCAAAACATTTGCGACAAGTGTTTTCACGGTTTCTATAAAGATAACGATGAATCTGATGAAGCTCCATTCAGACCTTGTTCACAATGCCCTCTTTTAAGTATAACTAGAGAGAGAGGTTCAAAAAAAGCAAGCAATTGCCTAAATTGTAATTATTTCATTAATTGCTTAGTTTCATAAGGTATTATTTATAGTATTTATTAAATATCCTTTATTAATTTATAGATCAACTATTGGACCTAATAATGATACCATTCTCGTTTAAACTGAGAGAAACTTGGGAGATTGAATACTCGGATAAGTTTTCTAATGAACATTTAATCTTAAAATCGGATATTACTCTAAATCTTACAAGTGTTCTTGGAACAACTGCCGGTTTTCAATTCTTAGTTATTAATGAATTTTATCCGGGTAGTATAGTTGTTAACGGAACGATGTTTTTATCAAGACAAGATTTTACCACGGATCCTATTGATAAGATAATAGATATTGTGAATAGCGGTAAATTAAAACCGTATAATACAGAGGAAGGTTCTACAAAATTTCCAAATAATGGTACATATTGTTTTATCATTGAAACTTGGACATTTTCCTATAGTTCGATATTATAATACGTTATTTCTTTTTTTAAATAGACTATTGCGATAAAGGATATTATTATGATTCGAAAAGATCTATGTGCTTACCATGTAGCAAAGGATATTTTAAGGATAAAGAGGGAAAAGCCGAATGCACAAAATGCCCTACCGGAGATACAACAGCGAAATTTGCTTCAACTGAATCAAGCGATTGTAAAGGTATGTCATTAGATGGACATGTTCTATTAACGAGTTACAGTAAATTGCAATAAACATTTCTATTTATAGATGGATGTAGCCTTATCGGTGATGCTTTCTGCCAATCTCGGGGAGTTTGTCAATCCAGCGTATGCCGTTGCGAGGATGGATGGAAAGGGAGGCAATGCGAGACTGCTGTTCCAGCAGACACTAATACAGATATGATTCGATACGGCGTTATTGGAGGAGTTTCTGGCCTTATTCTTATTGCTTCGATAGCTATAGGCTATTGCCTAATTCGTAGGCGTGTAATTGCTAAGCATAAGAAGAAGAAATTAGAAGAGCCGGAAGAGAAAACCAAAGAAAGTAAAAAGAAGGAAAAGCTAAAGAAAGAAAAAACTAAGAAACAGAAGGATGGAGTTAAATTCAATCCAGTAGAGGAAATCGTTCCCGAAACAAAATCTCAATTGAACGATGATAAATCAACTGATATTGAATCAATTGCACCTTCAATGACAATGGAATTACATTATCGACCGATGGGTGTTGTCTCGCCCAGTACTCGTTCACTCTTCTCTGACGCGTCGTCATTAATACAATCGCAAAATGCCACACTCCCAAAAGCTGAATACGTATTCTACGAAAATAACGAAAGTCAAAGTGTAACTAGTTCATATTCAACCCAACCGAGAAAACCACCTCCTGATCCTCCAAAAGTCAAACCGGGATCCGTAATAGCAAGAGCATTCGTTAACAACGATGATATGGATAGAGCAGATTACGAGAATGCGGAGAGATCTTCAGAATATTATAACGTTGCTATGGATAATGATGATGATGAAAGAGAGTATACAAATGTAGCACCGACGAGACCAAGCTTTAAAAGAAGATAATCATGAAAAATATTTGTTTACTTTCTTTCTTTCGCTATTTCTTTATTTTCTATTTAGGTCATTAAAATTTTAAATAAGATTTTTAAAGACAATATTTATTTTTGCAGTATTTATTTTAATAAAATTTTCATAAGTTCACAAAGATACCTTTGTGTTAATTAATATGTAAATTTATAAAGATCCTTTACTGTATAGGTCATAATTTTAGTTCTGCAACGCATTCGGAACTTTCTAGTTGGGTCACGACCTCAATGTTTATGCTTTATACGACTATAGACCTTTTATAGGTCTAAATAATATGCCTAATATTGGACACTGCGACCTATGTAAGGAATAAGATTGAACAATATTCGCCACGCTTTTTCAGACTCTGATCACGTGACATTGTATATGTATGTAAAAACTTCCGCGTTTAACACTTCATATTAAATGTTATACTTAGTCGTTTTGTATAAATAAATATGGTTTGGGAAATATCAAATGCTACTGAAGCGATTGGTGCGTATTTGTAGAGTTAATGATCCTTTTAACAAACTTTTAAGAGAGTTTAATGTGTGATTAACTATCATAGCCATATGCTGCTTTGACGGTGAAGCATACGAGAATGGGTTAAATCTGCTATTGGGGGATAAGATCAAAGTAACGAGGAGAAATTCTGGTTAGTAAACATTAAATAGAGTTTTAAATAGATATAAGAGAAGACAAACATAAAAAACAATCATACAATTTTACAGGCTGGTGTCTGGGATATGTTGAAGGCAGAGAAAATAAGAAGGTATATAATATCGTAGTTAAAAGAGTATAAATCTAATAATAATTAAATAATAATACTCTATTAAACATGTTAGGGTATTTTCCCCGAAAATATGATAGCTTATATTAGAGAAACAAAGAGATCTTCACAAGCATTACTGTAAGTTAATAATCAATGTTAAAAGGTTAATAAGAAAAATGTTGAAAATGTTTGTCAACATTTAGCGAAATAGATAATGGTCTCAGGGAGCGTGAGATATTCCTTAATGAAATAGAAGAGTTTTTTCAAGAATGTCGATCAGTAATAGTTCCATTCTATGCTGTAAGTATTCAATATTACCGACATACAGTACATACTATATATATATATATATATTCTAAATGGCTTATTATCTATTGTATAATTATTTTGTTTGTAATAGAACGAAGTACAAATGGATAAATTTGTTGGAAGACCAACTTCCGCCGTATTCTCATTAATGAACGAAACTTATAATCATAGATTAGAGATAAAGAGTCAACCAGCGATGACACCTGCTTTAATAGAGGAAAATAGAGCCAAAGTATGTTTACGTCATTATTATATTAATAAATATAGCTATTAAACACATAATTTCTAATTATTACGAATAATTGTTTATAAATTTTACTATAATAAAAAAATGATCCTATTTATATTGTTTAGGTTGAAAGGTAGTAGTGTCGGTTTATACTGTATATTATCGATTCTATCATTCCAGTAAAATTACGTCTATTTTCAATTGAACAATAGAATTATTCTTATTATTATTTCATCCATTTTTTTAATATACTTTTATGCAGATTACGAGAAATATGGATAAAGTTATCGAATTACTCGGTCTTGATAAAATACCTAGAACTAAAACTGGCAGAGAAATTGACCCAATTACAATTTCACCGATAGAACATTATATGATCTTTGAGCCTATGGATAGGGTTAATATGCCAACAAACAACCATCACGGATTACATAACAAACACGAATTAAGCAATATGTTCGATTTAAAAGTCGTTATTAAAGACATAAAATTCGATGAATCAATTAAGTTAAACTGCTGCCTTGAAATTCTATTGTCTCTCTACGATTCGAGTAATTATAGCTCTAGAGGAGAATCCTCACTACCTCGACTATCGGAAGATTTTATAACGTAATTTAATATTACAATAAATCTATTAATAATAATTTTTCATATTTTTTTTTTAATAGAGAAAAATTCAAATTGATTTATCCTTCAGATAAAGAAGTTAAAGATATTGAATTTTGTTTTAAAGTAATTCACTCTCTCTCTCTCTGTCTCTTCTCTGTCTTAACATGTCTATATTCATATTTGTTTCTTCAATAAGGATCTGAGTTCGCAAGAAAAATATATGGATAGAGTTCAAAATGTAAGACCATTGTGGTTGGTTGTCCAAATACTTAAAAGAGGTAATTTATCAATTTCAAATTAAATTAAATACATAAATGAAAGAATGTTAGTACGTTTTCTCTTTTTCCCTGATTGTTTTCTCTATCATCTTTGCATCTTTTTTCTAATTTTCTTAAATATTTCTTTTATAAATCTTTATCAATTTTTTCAAAAAACAACATTCATTTATTAGATAATCCACCAAGTGTACAATCGAGTGTATTTTTTAACCGAAGTTCAGGTATTTCCATTAAAATTATAATTATCTGTTTTTCTTACTCCTGATTTAAACTAAAATTCAGATTACAAATTCTTTTTAAATGCTTTTTTTAACATTTTACCTATAAAAAAAATATCCTTTGTTGTTTTATTGTTCTAGGATTCATTTTTAAACATTTTGTAACCGTTATATACTGTTTATATACAACAGTAATTATATATCTATTAAACAGACAGTCTGGAAGCTTCCAAGCCGGTAAGGGATACTAGAAGCGAGATACGACAACCGTACGGTTTTGGGAGTAAGTTTTAATTAATTTACTTAATTAATTAAGAGAAAAAGTTAATTATCCTCTGTAATTTCGTTTTAGTAAAGAATCTTGGTTTTGTAAAAGATCTTCAAGAAAGAACAACCCATTCGGAAAAAGTAATATTTGAGATATTGTAAGCAATCTTTTTCTTATCTAATTAATTATTTAAATTAATTATAAATTGTTATTTTGTTTTTATTCATTTCCTATTTTCCTCTAGGGCAAAGCAAGAATATCATAATTTTTCCACTTTACAAAAGCATTTTATCTCTAGGAATGATAATAATCCATCAGTTCAGAAATGTAATTATTACCTTCTTATCTGTTATGTTATACTTATTACTCTTTTATCTTTAATTAAAAGGTGAAATTCGTATTGAATTTTCCAAATTGAATAAGAATCCGGACGTTAATAGATATATTCGTGATAACGACCCTAAAACAGACGTTCAAAAATTATCTTTTCCGGAAAAAATTGTACCAGGTTAATTGAAGAAATTATTTGTTTTCAGCCTATAACCGATGAATTGTTTAATTTTTTATTGTATTTCTATATATAAATGGATAATAGAACAATTAAGAAACGATTTATACATCCGCTTGGAAGAGGGTAAATTTTATAAAGGTGAAAAGAAATCACAAAGGAATGTCGAAGTAGTCGCATCAGTCAGAGGTAAAAGTGGAAAAATATTTAAGGTTGGTTCGTTGTTATATAAGAACTGTTCTACTCCTTTCTTAAAGTTTATTTTAACTATATTTTCTTTTCTCCTTAAAAGGAATGTATTAGCTTGGGAGCCGGTGAGGAAGTTAACATGACATACTATCGATCTATCGTCTATTATCATTCGAATAATCCTAAATGGAATGAAATTTTTCGGGCAACATTCGACGTTAACGAATTGAAATATTTTAATCAAGAAGACGAAGTTCACGTATTATTTCAATTCTTTCATATATCTAGTAAGTTATAATTAATATTAATGAATTATATTTGTTTATTTGCTTGTTTGTTTGTTTGTCTGTTTATTTATTATTTCTTCTTCGTCTCGTTCGTAAATAGCCGATAATAGAAAGGAAAAAGAATTCTTTGGCTACTCCTATCTACCTTTAACACGTTCGGGAATCATTCGACAAGATACCCAGGAGACGTTAAAAGTATTTGGGACGTCTGGCAGATCTAAGGATAATACAGAGTAAATTAAAATATATCCATATCATTTTTAATGTATATTTATATCATTCTTTATTAACATTGATATTTACAGTCAAATTGAGAATTTCAAATACTTCAACCCCAAGTCTGATGATTGGCTATTCCAAAATTCTACACCAAAAACCTCCAATTCTAGCTTTACAGTCAGTTTTAAATGGGTTTCGACTAAATGGACTCAAAGCAGTAATTACATAACTTTATAAGCTTAACAAAAGAATATTAGTTAAAGATCTATGCTCTTTTGTAATTCATTTTCATTTCACAGGCGAAGTTGTTCATTTTTTAACATGGGAAAATAATACAAGTAATCTAAAGAGAATAATCAAAGAACTTATAGATAAGAACCTTGAACAAGAGATCATTTATGTAAGATATCTAATATAGTAATATTAGATAAATTATTAATTGAATTGAATTGAATATTGATAATAATTTTCTAGCACTTGACTGATATTTTGAATGGTTTATTTAAAAATTTAATACCGGAATCGTTCAATTTTTTGGTAAGATATATTAATATATTGAAAAATATTCTAATTAATTAATGAATATGCATTAGGTTTATATTTTAAAATTAATTAATCATGAAAAATGGACTCATTTCTCCGATATTCTACAAGCATATATAGACAATAACTTTTCGAATATGATTGCTTACGAGTAAGTTAATTTATTCATTCATTCATTCATTCAACTATATTTATCACTTTTTCTAGGCAAATATTTGGGACAGTCATAAATCTTTTAGAACAAAAAGTAGCAAAATCTATCGAAAGTATAAGCGGTGTATTTTCGTGGTTAATGAAAATAGCAGTAAGGTCTTATACCTTATTCGCCAGCTATAACGAACCATCACCAGAATCATTTATAGAATTGTTAAAGAAATTATTCTCCCGTATACCAGAATTTTTTGATAGTATAAATAAAAGTGTTGAATACGAGAGGACTGTCGGTATCGAATTTATGAAAACGATAACGAAATGTTGGAGCATATTTATGAAGTCTGTTACAGTTGAAGAATATAAAGAGGACTTTGCAACGGAACTAGCACAAATATATTCGTCATTATTCGAAATGGTCCCAAAATCAGCATCAAAAATGGAAGTACATAAAGAATGGGATCCTGCGAAAGCAGACTGCATTTGTATTTTAATTAGTGAAAAGGAATTTGATTTATATCATAAAGTTCGAGAAGTTTTCATTACGTTAGCTAATTCCTACGTCAATACTGCATACTACAATTGCAGTAGCAAGACATTCAGATATCATACTATATATATGCTTGGCAAATTCTTGAAAAATCTCTTTAATTTGAAAATGCAGCATGTATGCTTGCAACAAGAAGTCTACTTGCTAATAACTCAAGTTTTAAGTACTTTAATCGCTTTCACATCAACAACATCTGAGAATAGAAGAAATTCAAATTATAGAGAAGTTAATTCAATATCGAGATATAGCAAAGCAACAATATCAAATTTCGATTCAGTGGTTTGTAGAGAAAGCAAAGAAAGTCATTAAATATAAATTTCGAATAACCTTCCTCTTTTTTTTCTTAACTAAAGGATTCTAAAAAGTCAGAAGGACCAGCACCGGAAACAGTATATTCCTGCATGGCAACTATCTTTCTTTTAATGGACAATAATCATTACGAAACGTTTTCATCTTCCTCACCTCTATTTATTTTATTAACTAAAATCGAAGCTCTCTTTGATAAATGGTTCGATATAAAAAATACTTGGGCATCTTTAAAACGTTCATTATGCCATGCGTATTTAACTGCCCTTACAAATTTATTTGAAGTTATAGCCATGACCGACTCTACACAGGTTAGTTAAGTAGTTAAGTTCGAAAAACATGAAAGAAAGAATGAAATGCAAAAAGTCGGGAGAATGTCTCTTTAATTTATTTATATGTTTAACTTGCACAATTTTAAAGGGAAGATTATATTTATATACTATAATACATAGAATGTGTGTTAGGACTAGCTAACATTAGAAGAGAAGAAAGGACAACGTAAGAGGATTGAAAGTTTTATAATAATATTAAAAAGAATCAGAATTCGATGATCTTTAGTTGCTTTGTATGATTAAATATTATATTTATATACTATATACAGTATATAAAATGAAAATACTATATATATATACAGTATATATATATAAATTTAACGCTCTTTTCTTATTACACACCTTACTTCCATTTCTATTAGTTTTAAAAGCATTTATTTTGGTTGACTAGGTGTAACAATTACTTTTTTATATATATAAATTTATACATATATAAGTTATATGTATATTTATATTAATACCATACTTATAGTTATAATTAATTATTACCTATGGTGGTGTTGTTTTTTTTGGTCTTTCCTTCTAAAAGCTTTTATATTTTTGTGTTGCTAGCTAAGTGACAATATTATATGTACATGCTTTTCCCTCTCTCTTCTCTTCAACAGATCTTCGTGAAATTTTCTTGTATTACTTTAAAATTAACTTCGAGCGACTTCCTACAACTTGAACAGCTATCCGAAAGGAAAAGAACATTTATCATACAAAGATACGGTGATATGAGAGAGAAAAGCTTTCAGCTATTTTTAAAATTATGGCAAAAACACGACAGTGTTAAAGATTCAATGAGTTCAATTGTACTTAAGCCTATTATAGAGACGTCGTTAAATGAAAGATTTACGAATAGGATTGTATCTTGCTTTCTCGATTTTATGAAAATGGAAAAAAAGAGAGGTTCAAAAGATTTCGATAAAGTAAGAAAGATTGTTTTTAGAAAATAATGAATATTGAAAGGGGGAAATAGTATTGGAAACCGTTTGGGAGAATAGTAATTTTAATGAAATTTACGTAAGACAGTGAATTCTTTTTTTATTCTATTGTTGGAATAACTAGTTATTTAGAGGAGAAACGAGTAAATTATTTATTTAGATGTGGTCAATTCCCAGGGCAGTTTATAATTTTCCCCCTTTTATATTTCCTCTTTAGCTCTCTTTTGTTCTTATTAATATGCATATTTATCATCCTCTCTTTTACCCTTGTTTTATTTTTACCACAGTTATTTAGCTCTTTCAAAATTATACTGGATGAATTGATACAATCTAATCCGTCCATAAAGAGTGACTGCTGGAACAGATTGCCACAAACGTAAGTAAGAGAGCGGTTGAAACGTTTTACCATAGCAACTATGGCGAGTCGGAAGGGAAGGGAAAGAAAAAAATCATTAGCAAAATCGACGCCATGCCGCGCTAGTCGACGCCTTACGGTCGAACGCGGAACGATTGTGAAATAATAGGGAAAGAGGGCGGGTAAAGTGAGACAGAGAGATCGAGAGAACGAGCGGGAATAAATATAGTTTTCAACTTTATCCTATATTTCCTCATACTCCCTCTCTCTTATACTTTGTCTCAATGCCGGTAAATATACTGACGCGATTAAAATCGCGTAAAAATTTCAGGCTAAGGGAACGTTATAAAGATGATTGGGAGAAAGAAGAAGAGAAATTTGTTCATTCAATCGTCAAAGTTTTACAATACCTCGTTGATTTACGCGAAGCAAAGCCGGATAAAGATGATGGATTTAGTCTACGCTACTTGACCTGTTCATACAACGCCGTTGTAAGTAGTCGAATTATTTATATTTTTTCATTTATTTTTGTCATATTCTTTACCGTTCTGTTCGGTTCTCTCCTTTCGTATTTAAATATCGCTTTATTGAATAGTTTTATGAACGTTTTAAGGCTGTAGTATTGTTCTTACTTGAAAACTAAAACCCAAAAAGACAGCGAAGGAAATTCAAAAGTCTCTTCACATTTCCTTAAGAATCTCTTTATGCCCAAAGGCATTGGAAGGTTTTTCTCCTTTATTTATTTTCCCTTCTCCCAAAGACGAACTATTACTATATTTGTACACGAAAAGATTAAGAATGTTGATGATTTTCTTTTTCTTTTCCCCTATTGCTCTATATCTGTCTATTACAAACACTAATACTTTGGTATATGAGAATCTCTTGTTCGTGATGTACTAGAAGCTTGCCTCTAAAGGAGAGATAATATAATCCTTCTTGTTTTCAGTACACGAGAAATGTTTCCCTTTCCTCGCCACACAGCATACATATATCCATATCTATATATTCTCTCTCTCTATATATATATATATAGAATAGAACAGATACTTAAAAAAAAGCCAGCACACGCTTACAAACAGACAAACAAACCCTTTTCTTTTTTTTCCTCTTTCCTTCTTACCCCCTTCTGCTCTCTTCTCTCCTTTTTTTTCCTCTCTTTAGTAATTGATTGAGTGAGGTGTCGTAAATATTTTATTTAACTCTCACTTTATGAACTCTAGATAGCCTCTCTCTCTCTCTTTATTAGTAATATAAATTGAATATGTTATATTAGATGTTTGTTTGTAAATTGTAATATATATTGGATATGCTTTCAACTTAAAATTGATTAATGACCCTTTTTTTTTCTATTTTCCTTGATTATTTATATAGAATGAATTCAATTTTAACGAAGATGCTTATCCCAGAATAATGAGTGATATATACGATTTGCACAAGTGCAGTAAAAATTTCGTTGAAGCTGGGTATACTAAATTAGAATACGCTAAGCATCTAAGTTTTGATAGTCATCAAGAGAGAAAGGTCAAAGTTTTCAATATGAGCGAAGATATGACTGAAAGTGTTAGAAAAGAGAAACTGTATTCGGATATAATAAGCGATCTAAATGAAGGATGCGATTGGGAAGAAGCCATTAAACTCTGCAAAGAATTGGTTATCTATTACGAGAGCACTTTTAGGTACAAAGAACTTTCCGCTATATTAAAGAGACAATCAGAATTTTATCAAAAGATATACCAGCAAAGGGGAATGAGTGTTTGGGGTGCGAGCTACTACGTTGTAGCTCTCTACGGCAAACCTGTACCATCTTACCTCAAAGGAAAATTTTTTATACATAAATTTGATCTGTTTAAAAGTAAGGAAGAGCTTGTCGATTATATAGGTAGTAATTTCTATAGTCATCGTGGCATGAACATAAATGATCCTTTCGACGAGGACGATTTAAATGGCCGCGACGAGGCAATTATTCGCCATGGAAGTGTGACACCGATACAAGAGAAGGACGAACTGTTATTCGGTCAAAATGTTCCACCTTTCATTCAAGAATATTATAGATATAATAAAATTCGAACGTTCGCCTACGATCTACCGTTCGAAAAAGGTCAAAAAATACCAAATAATGAACACTTAAACTGTTATTACGATAGGACATATTATGTAACATGTTGCGAATTTCCGGGTATAATGACATGGTTCCCAGTTGTTGATCAATGGAAAGAAGAATTAAGCCCTTCCAAAGTAGCTGTCTTCAACTTGAGGAAGCAATTCTTAAAGCTTAGATCCGATTTATTAAAAGCAAGATGTCAGACAGATATCTCAATTCATAAATCGAGCCTTTATATGACATTAAATGGCACTCTTATGGCAAACGTTAATGGTGGACCCTTAAGATACCTTAGCCTATTAAAGCAAGACGACGACGATTCATTAAACGTATCTTTCTTTTCCCTATTCGGAGTGATGAGAGAAGCTCTCGACGAACTATTTCATAGACTAAAAGTCGAAGAGAATGAATTTAGAGAACGGCAACATATTCAATTCAGCACAGAATATAATAGCATGATGAAAATGCTTGAAGATAAGCTGCACGAATTAGGGTAAAGATTTTTTTTATGGATATTACTTAAGCCCATTCCCTTTATTAAGATAATCTTTATTTGAAGCAAATTTATTAACATTCCTTTCTGTAAAAGTTTGCTTACTGGGCCATTTTTTACAAATAGGCAATAAACTATAAATAGTATATCGTAAAAATATATATATGTATATATATATATAGATATTTCTATATTTGATATATGCAATCCATTATAATATTATCAATTATGTAATAATTAATTACTTTTCCAACAGCAAAAAGAGACCTTCACCAAATACACCAATAAAATCGGTAAGTTTTCATGATTTGGTCTTTCTCACTTGTATTCTATACAACCACTCTCTTTTCCATGAATATATCTTCCTATTTTCTATCTTTTCCTCTTTCTCTTTCTCTCTCTCTCTCTCTCTCTCCGTCTCATTTTTCTTTCTCGCCGTTTCCTTCTCCCCATTTATCATTTTAAAATATTCTCTCTCTCTCTCTCTCCCTCGCTCTTTTCTTTATTTCTCTTTATCTTTGCGTGCCTTTTTTTCCAACTTTTATCTTGTATATTTTGCTTTTCTTCTATTTACTATTTATAGATCATTTACTTATTAAATTAGCATAATTAATTCAAAGTAATATTGATAAATTGGAGTAAATTCTTTGCAAAATGTAGTTTATTTTTCTATATAATTCTAGGTAGTTTTAAAATCGAAAATAGTAGAATGATTAATGAAGGAAAATAAGCGAAAATAAAGAAAAAATGCATCAAGTACAAGCAATTATAATGTGTATTTGTGCGTAGATCTCTCTTTCCCCTCTATGAAGAAAAGAAACGAAACTAAAGGAAAAGAGAAAGGGAAGAAGAGAGTAGGATAGATAGATAGATTGATAGAAAGCTAGTTTAAAATACAGATAGGATTAAAATGAATAGATATCTATTCCTAGAAATAGCCGTATTTCTATGCATAGAACGTAGGAGTTTGTGTAGCTGTATATTTATTAAACAGCTTTGAAGATGTATTTTCTAAATTCTAAGAAGATGCATTTGTATAAAGTTATATACTGCTTTTAGGGAAAGTATCAAACTGGAGTTATTCTACTGTATACTGTATATATATGTGCTGTATATATTCTATTGACTAGACAATACTTTAAATTCTTTTTAATGATAGCTAAAGAACAAAGAAAGTAGATTTGTTCCTGTTCCATGTAAAAAAAATTATCAACATTCGGACACCTTCCCACTTCGCCCACATCCCGTTGACAGCTATGTTACAATAAGCGTAAGCGCATACCCATTCCTTTTTTTCTGTCCCTTGTCCATGATAGTGTTGTAATGTCTATCCTTTTATATATATATATTTCTATTTATCTTACGAAACTTATAGTAATTACTATTACAATTAGCGTTGTTAATGCATTTTCTTACTTTCATCATTAAATCACGCATGCGCACTATATTAAAAAAATAATAAAGAATAAAAAAAAAGCTCGTTAGTGTAGTAATTAATTAGTATTTATTTGTAGTACGATCAGTAGAGAAGCGTGTTGTAGTTTACCGCTTATTTTTGCACTTGGATATTTTGAAAGGCACATAATTACAACCTGTTTGTCACGTTTTCATAGATTAATATATTGGGATTTGAAATGTACCCATATCGATAGTTTCTTTATACTTTACGTTAATTATTATTCCATACTAATTCATAATTTCTTCCTATCTAGCCTATAGCCGCTTTGCCAGTAATGAGACAAGGTAGAAGAGGTAATCAAATAACATCCTTTTTATCTTTATTAATATTATTAAAAGCCTTATACTTATATTTAATGGAAAATATGAAAGTGTTTATTATTAAAAATAATAATAATAATAATAGTAACGTGTAAGTGGATATTTTAAAATACTCTCTACTGTATTTATAGAACAAAAGCCCATTCCTGTGAGAAATAGTGACGAAGCTCCTCCTACACTACCTCCAAGACCACCTCCCAGAGAGAGTATGGCACCGCCGATTCCTCCAAGGGCATCGTCAATGGCTCAAAATCAGTAAAAATAACTACCCGCTTTTTTTTTGTATCGAACATCACCGTTAGACTGTTGATACCTGTTCTGTTCTTTTAAATTCCTTGTTATTATATGTCGCAAAAGAACTCTATGTTACTGACAAAATTTTCTAAATAAAACAGTATTATAGCGCGCTTTATCTAATTTTAAATAGAGGTGATAAAGAAGAAATAGAGATAGATTACAGAGCAATTTTTTCATTCAAGAGATTCGAGATCATGTTTATTTCTTTCATCAAATTATCCTGGGAACAATCAATCAGACAGACACCACACAAAAATAAATGTGAAAACATGATACATATATTTTAATTCGAAAACTCTTAAGCATACTTTTTCGGTTGCGTAGCACGAACTTTCATTTTTTCCTGGATAAGGGATTCTTTTTTATCTTTACAAGCTTTAAAAGTTTTTTTGTGTTTCATTAGATAAAAAAAAGAAATGAAGAAGTTTATTATAATTAATTCTTTTTGTGTTTTTTTTTTCCATTTTTCCATATTCAGAAGAAAAAAATGAAGCTGAAAAAATTCTGTTTTCGTACGATCAGTAGCGAACCAGGGATATTGTTGTATTGCCACGATTTCATCACTTTTATCCTGCTAAATTTTTTTAAATTTTTTTTTTGCAAGAAATAAAATTTTTGCGTGATTTTTAAAACAGTTTTCCTCTTTTTAATTGTTTATTTTTTCCTTTTTTTCGAAGGCAAGTAGCCATAATTTTCATTCCTTTTGTTAGTTTGTTTCTTTGTTCTCAATCTTTTTCACATATTTTTATGAAAATTACGCCTTTTTTCTTCAAAAAAAACAAAAAATCTAACATGAACAAAACTTCGCGTCTACGCCCTCATATATTTTATCTTTTTCAGCCATTTTTTTTTTTAATTTTCAACGAAATAAGATTTTCATTAATATTCTCTTTCATCGCCTATACCTTCGCCCTTTATGCAAGCTTTGGGTTCTTTCCACAACAGCGTACTTGATCAATTATGCTTGTTGTTTTCACGATATCATGGGCCCTTCGCTCCTGAACCGTGTACCCATTTCTTCTTTTTTTTGTTTCTTATATTCATTATCTTTTAAGTTTAACCTAATCGATTAATTTTATGCTTATTGGCGAATTTTTTAACGACTAAAATAATATTGTTTCAATGGTATAGAGATCAATACAAAAGATGCATTACCTTAGCCGAGATCTTTTCTGGTGGAAGGGACCAATTTGGTGGTGAAGGAGAAATAAAAACGTTCATATTCTCTGTAAGAGAAAGCTCTGCTTGGCAAAGCGTCTGATGGCGGCCATTTTGCTATTATAAGCGTCCCGAGAACGATATTTCTATCCTCTTAACTCCACCACCATATACGCAATGATCCCTCCGTTTACCGAATAAACGGTACCTGAAACATATAAGGTTGCATTAGATAAAGAAAATTTGCTTAATTAATCAAATTTCATCATTAATATAAAGAATATTTACCAGACTAACGGCTACGTGATTGAGAAACGACTACTTCAATCGCTCTGAAGCTTTAACCAATCACCGTTTAGTTTACACCTTTTTATCATATCCGATTGTTCATTGGTTAGTTGCAAAATGATGTGGAATATATTTTTTACTGTGTATTATATGATATACGATAGGTTTTTATAATAAAATATTATAATAATAAACTTTCAAAGTTATGAAAGGGATAATGTTAGTAAAAAAAAAATCCTATGATCTAAAGTTTCTTCGTATCTTCGTATAAAAAAAGAAATTACACACAGACAAGAACATTATCAATGCTCATTTTACACGATAGAGCATCTTCCTTTGCATTCTATATTGTAGTTCCCCTCTTCTAAGCATGTAATTTAGAACCTTTTGCACGGCTCTCTCTGGATACTTTTGTCTGACAAAATCTTGAACTATAGCGTGTTCGGACGCTTGGGAGCCGATAACGAATCTCCTCTTCATTTGCTTTTCTATACGAGATAGTAATTCTTGATCAGCATCCGTTGTAAATCCTTCTGCTCCAGATAAACTACCGGTCATGGCTGCGTCCAGAGTTGATACCTTAAAAGAATTTAATTAAAACTATTTAGAATATGATAAATTTCTTTTCAACGAACCTGGAACAGTCTTAGAGCTTCATCAACGTCGCTTTCAGTTGCGAACGCCGCTAAACGCATTTTAGCCAATGATTCCGAAATTCGAACTACAGCTTCCAGTTGACGAACTGTAATTGGTATAGAACTTTTCTTAGTAGAATCTCTTTCTTGTTCGCTAGCTCCATTCCTCATGAGAACGTAACGATTCTTAAGTTTTTCTGCAGCAGCTCTGTTTAATAAAAGATTTATAAGGAAAATTAATTACACCTAATCTAATTATAGATTAATTACGAATTTAGCCTCGGGCCACAGTTATTTCGAGCGTAGGTGATGAACTTCTTCAAAAAATTTAAATCCAACTCTCCTCTGCGTTCTTCCTCATCTAATATATTCATATGAACATTTATTACGTGCTTAGCTAGTGTAGCATCTCTTGATTCGTTATGTTCATCTTTAACAATGAATATCATATCGAATCTTGATAAAATTGTTGGCATAAAATCAATGTTCTCCTCTCCTTTTGTTTCATCCCACCTTCCAAATACTGAATTTGCAGCTGCTAATACACTGCAACGAGAGTTTAATGTTGTAGTGATTCCCGCTTTAGCTATTGATATAGTTTGTTGTTCCATAGCTTCGTGAATAGCAACTCTATCATCTTCTCTCATTTTATCAAACTCATCGATACAAACCACACCACCATCAGCAAGAACCATTGCTCCACCCTCGATTACAAAGTTTCTAGTACCTGCACAAGAGTTATGTTGAAAGGGTAAAATAAAAACGCTAATTTAATAGTCTACTCACTTGGATCTCTCATTACGCTTGCGGTTAAACCAGCTGCACTGGAACCTTTACCTGAAGTATATACGCCAATTGGTGAACAGTTTTCGACAAACTTCAACAATTGAGATTTAGCCGTTCCAGGATCTCCCAACAATAAAAGATTAATATCGCCTCTTCTAGTCAAACCATCAGGAAGTCGTTTTCGACTACCGCCAAATAATAAACAGGCAATAGCCTTTTTAATGTCGGAACTACCAAAAATACTTGGAGCGATGCTATTTGCAACTCTTTCGTAAGAATTAGGGCTTTGGGCCAAAGCTCTAAACTCTTCCTCGTCTGGAAAAAAGATTTACATCATTAAAAAATTCACACTTGAAAATATTATCTCTAACCTTCTGCCAAAACTGGAACTGTTCCAGATCTTCCTGGTCCAATATTTTCAATTTGTATACCTAGAACTCTTATATACGGACTTCTTGTTCCAATAGTTCCTTTTTCTTTACCACCTCTACCACCAGCTCCCATTTTCTTAATCGAATAAACGCCGTTAATAGTTATCCTGTTTCCTGGGACAACTCTATCACAAAGATATCTAAGAGGAGAAATTACAAATTTAGCATAAATCCATTATATTTATTATTTAATTTTGGAATAGAATGTCCACCTATCGCAGAACAAAAGGACATGTCTCGGTAATTCTCCTTGTGGAACAGCTTCTGGTACTTCTTGTAATTTAATTGTTTGAAAATCAATACATTCAGATTTTTCAGGAACAATGAAAAATGGATCAACAGGACATTTTGGTCTTCCAGCCTGGTCTCTGTAAATTCAAATAAGAATTATAATTGAGTTAGAAAGTTTTGTGAAGTGATTCCTACGTTGGACATTTTCTTGGTAGGGCATAGCCTTCTAAACCAGGTTTTACATTAATATTATTGAGAAAATTCTGACAACTTCTGCATTGAATAGTAATTTTTGTGGCCTTTGCTTTAATAGTTGATGCAGCTATAGCAATTCCTGAAATTTTCACCAATCTTGCTATATTATCCGACTGAAAAATAGAATTTTTAAGTTGAAGCAATTACTTCTAATTAATAAATTTGTTTACTTTTAATTCTCTTAAGCTCGAAGGATTCCAGTTTGTTTTCAACATGACTTGAATATCTTGAACTTCCTCTTCTCCCTCAGGCCTTGGTCTAGTAATTTCATCAGCAACTTCTTTTGCCGCTTCTTCAAACTAAGTAATTGAGCATTAAAAAAACTTTTAATGAATATAAAGGATCGAATGACTTATATTAGAGTATACCAGTGGTAGGAATTCTGTAGGTTGTTTCATCAGCTTATCAGCCAATTCTTTTTTAGTATTGATAACATCCTCGATTTTAACCTCTAGCCAATATTCACGAACATTGTAGTGACGTTTCAATTCATCTCTGATGGCGTATAACGTTCATTTTAAGCTGCGATTATAAAGGTACCACGCGAAATATATCCAAACCTGTATGTATAATTGAAATTTCCTTCATGAAAATTGCGCAAAAAATCCCTAAATTCTCCTTTAGAGTGTTGCCTAGAATCATCTCCAGCATTCTGCCTATCTTGAGCATTCCAATCATCACTGAAAAAGACTCCTGGATCATCGAAACCTTCCATCTTAGCGTCGTTCAGTCAATTTGGCGCGTAAAACGATCACGTGACTCGTAGCGAATGATAACTTTAGAATAGGCCCGCGGAAATTTAAAAATATGTTATAAAAACGGTCCTTCTTATTTTGTATATATTTCAGAAAGATAGAATAACAAATTGACTATTATAATTTATTGCAAACAATCAGATGAATATAACAAGAAAATATACGAGATATTTCAACAATATTCATCACAGACTTACTTTCGGGGACGGAATTCGCTCAAAAAATTCAACTACAAAATATAAACAAAATAGTAACGTTCTAAAAGATCATTTTTCATTAGAATAAACCAACGTATTCGGTTTTCTCTTGTTTAAAATTAAATTCCTTTACTTTAAGGTTTACACTTTCTAAATATTCATCAATAAATCCGTCGATATCTGGCCGATAGTTGCTTCTTTCACCACTCATAGAAACGTATTGCGATCCGTTATAAAACCATCCATCGGGTAATGGTTCTTTTGATTTTTGGGATTGAATCTTTTCAATTTCAGTTGCGGATAGAGAATCTCTTTTCTTTAGATCCCTCAGAAGGGGTTTCTTAGACTTATTTGTCTTTTCCAACCATTCTTTCAAGAACTTTAACTGCACATCTCCAACTGTTAAGAATATTAGATATGAAGATCCTTTTCTATTCTGTTTGATGGAATTAAAATATCCTCCGGAAGGACAAACTTCAATTTCATTTAATTCACCGGAAGCTAATAAATAAATAAGAGCGAAAATAAAATATCAACAATATATCTTATTCTGTTTTGGAAAAGTGAAAAAAAAAGATAATAATATCTTTTCTCACCAGAAAATCTAACAAAGCCGTAAATGTACACTATTTTCTGTAAATCGGATATCTTAGTTTGAGATAGAGCTGTTTGGGGACAATAATAAGGAAAAGGATTAAGACTAATGATTGTGGCAAAATATATAAGAAGATTCTGACCAATAAATCCATTATAGAATAATCTTTCGTCAAAACATCCTTTATTAGATATATTGACTAATTTCTCAGAAAATCCGAGTAGAGATGTTCGATAAGTTTGATAAAAACGGATAAAATGATCTATTTCTTCACCATTTCCCACAGTGAAAACAGTATCAACGAATTTGTTACCGCTAACAATACCTTCAGGTCCAGTCATAAAGACAGCGTTAGCATTCATTGCTCTTATCATCTTTTGTATTTCCAAGTTTTTATCTAATGCGTATGAAGATGGTGTTGTCCATATAATTGTTGTTGAAAGTCGAATATTATTTTGTAAATTCGGAGATAATTCCTTTGTTTCTTTATTTGGAAAAACCGTTGAAGCATTGACGCAAGTGGTAATCGATCCTAAAAATTGTTTAAATTATGTAAATTTACAAACAAAACAAAATAAACAGTAATAAATTAATGCATTTTACCAATTTGAATATTTTCGTTCTTTAATTTATTAATAATCTGTAAGAGATTAGCGTTAATTGGAAGGGCTAGTATAGAATTTCCTTTTATGCTTGTATATTTTTGATAAATTTTATCGTAATTAGTTTGCTCTGGACACCAAAGTTGCTCATCAGCTATCAAAGCTACATCTCTGAAAAAAAAACATTTGTAAATTAAATTTATCAGAAAACATAGAAGGGTAGGGAAATTATTTAAAATTCTTAGTATAGGATACACTAATATTATTATATTGAGTATATATTTATCTATATATATGTATACAGTGTAATGTATCCCATATTGGTGGCAGAATCATGACCGTTCTTAACCTGTCATTGATATTACTTCTGAGACAGTCAAAGAATTGCCTGGTAAATGACCCAAGAGTTGAACAGACGATGTGCGTCGTATGATCTAGATTTTGGACGGCTGTACGGTAACCCGCAGTTGCCCCAGAGTCGTTTTCGTCATTTTGTTTGATTTTAAAGTAGCAGTTTCTGTCATAATCTTTCATAAACCTAGTTTTTTTTATGAGAAAATTTAGAAATAATAAAAAAGTCATAAAAGTAAACATTAAAAGAACACTTAACCTATTAAAGTTGGTTGCATTTTGGGAAAATTTCTTCAAAGTTGTATTTTGCCATTGTTTAAGGAATTCTCGATTTCTTTCGCAATTTTCATATCTATAGGGGTTAAAAAGAGGTCTAATTGAGTTGTTAAATATGTAAATTTGTAGAATATACATTTCCCCAACGGCTTTTGGTAGTTCTGATGCCACTTTCAATTCAACCTTGTCGTTTTCTTTCCACAATGGAAGAATTTTTGAAAAAAAATGACTTGATAAGATCCTAGAAGTTTGATCACTCCTTGAATCTATCCAAAGAACTAGCATGCACTCGTTGTTTGACAAACAAAGTGGTATGTAATCCCATGCTAGCCGACGAAGTCGGAAGCAAATAACCAGGGGTTCCTCTATCGATTGCTGGGGGGAGGGGAAAGTTGATAGTTGTTTTTTTCAAAAGCAAAAAGAGAAAAAAAAGCGGCAATAAAAAGTTTTTTTTAGCTACTATTATTACTTGAAAGAAATAAAAACACTATATTTCTGAGCTGTAATTTTACTAATTTCTAGTTAGTAGTTAATTATTTACCCGATCATAAATTATCTTTTGCCAAACAACATCATCCAAAAGTAAAACGGGAGCCAGATGACAGTGTTCGAATGATAAACCTCTTTCATAAAAAGCTACTTTAACTTCATTAAAGTAGGCCAGTGTACCCGGGACAAAGATGCTTGATGTTCCCTCAGCCAACCTCTTTCCAAATAGAGCGTGGCGGACGTCCTCAGCATCACCCTCGACCTAATAAAGTTCAACAGGTTAGAGAACTGGTTATCGGACGAACGGGGCGGTGACCCTGGTGACCTCGATTACGGGTTAAACCGGGGACAAAGAAAGACGAAGCCGACACCCCTACTTACATCTAAGTATACATCTGCTGCCATCCTAGGTAGGAGGGTCGACGTCAGTGGGTTGGAAATAAAAATGGAATCGCCATAGGTCAATGAGCCAATTATTTCACCTTCTTCATTTTGTATGTCGTAGATGGCAACCATTAAAGAAAGTACATTAGACCTTTCTAATCGGCACCAAACTTCTGAATTTGATGCGCAATGTCGAATTAGCGGCCTTGACACGTGAAATTTGTCCAAGTATCTGGGAATTTCTTTCAAACAATGAGCCTTTAATTGAGAAGGATTCGATGCGAAATCTGACGCTTGCTCCAAAATAGTTCTTACAGCACTCCTAAGTGATGTGTATATCCTTTGGAGTCGTCGAATAGTTTCGTCATTTTCAGATATCGTCCTCTCGGTCAAAGACTCTTTCTTTGTATTACCTGTAACAATATTTTTATTAGAAGAGAGCACATATTTTTCATATAAAAATGAAACACGACGAATGTGAATAAACTTTAGAAATAAAGAAACAAAGTACAAACTCTACATGTCTTGGAATACATAACCAATTAGGCCCATTCGGCAAAGTTTTGCAAACAAAAAAGCACAGACTAGCACAGTTGTTACCTAGAGGCTTAAAAATATCACTTTGTTTTGAAAATAAAAGATAAATATATATAGCGAAACTGGAATAAAGAAACTAAATGAAGTCCGTTTTCGTGTTTATTGTAATCTGTATAGTAAGCTCTTACGAATTCTATACAGTTGATGATATTAGGTATTGATATTGATTGACGCTTTTCAATATGTTTATAAGTTGTTATAATACTTCTCTTTTACATCTGATGTTTTTTCAGCGATGATAGACTTAAAGACTTTTTTAGGACATACGACAAAACCAAATTGCCTACTAATAATACAACAAACGTTCGGTTAAGCATGAAAATACTGGATCTTGAAATTGATCAAGATAAATCCGTAAGAATTTTATTAAATCGAAACACAATTCTTAATTTACAGAATAATAATGATGAATTTCAAATAGGCAATATCCTTACTAATGTATTTGAGAGTCCGCTGGAAAGAGCCGAGATTAAAAACCCTAATTAAATCGTATCCTATTTACTTCCGTAACGAATCAATACCTAATCAAGATAAGAAGATTTATCATTTGTTATGGCATCCTGACTTTTTTATTGCCAACTCTTATGGGGATCATCTCGTACCAAGTTTAAATGTTGAAGGGAATATATTTTTTTCTATGCAAGAAAATACCGAAGTTACTCTATCTGTCCCGTAAGTTTAACTAACAATTGAATTCTAACAGAAAAAGCTTTGTTAAATTATCTTATTCTTTAATAGGATTTCCACAAAGATTCCTTGTCCCAAAACTGGATTATCTTATGGTTCTAATATAATTTGTAACGTACGATTCACTAGCTGTAAGTAAGCTGCCCAAGAGATGGCGCAAACTTACAAAAAGAAAGAAAAACTTAATAATATTGCTCTTTTGTTTTGATATTTTTTCCAGACAAGCATAATAAAGGTGATGTGAAATTTATACCAAGTGCAGAACAACCTATAAGTTTTAAGAAGGATTTAGAACTCACAAAAAATTTAAAATTGGAATCGTATCAAACTTCAGCTATATGTAGAAAATCGCAGTTTCCATGCACAGATTTAAAAATTTCATTTAAACCGTCGTGGATGAGATCTGAATATCAACAAGCCTATACTATAGGAGTATTTACAGTTATAGCCTCTTGGATTGGATTTTGGTTAGAGAAGGATAGAGATAGAATACTTTTATCAACACTTTTAGTAACAAGTTTACAAATATACAAAGTTGGATTTACTTTATCATGCCACGGAAAAGTAAAAATCTTCCTAATAGAAATTTTACTTATCTATATTTATACAATTAACTTATTTCTTTACTATTAATCAATTTTTTGTCTTTTTTCCCTTTTATTTAGATTGGAGAGAAGGCAATTGAATTATGGCTGTCAATTTGCATAATTTTTATACTTTTAACAATTTTTCAATTCGCTATTGTTCGAATTTTAATTGAAAAAATTCCAAATACTATAAAATCTTTTAAAAGAAGCGACAAAGATTTGGTAACTAAATTTTAATAGTGATATTTTTTTGTTAAGTATTGGTAACATCTTTCTTAAACAGGCCTATTTTCCGCCTGCTTCGTCTTTGGAAAGAATAGCAGTAGCAATTGACACTTTTTGCGGTTTAATTCTATTCCCTTTAGGTTTTATAATAATTAATGTCATTGAGTGGCCGACAGTTAGGTCTATTTAGAGATGTGCAACTTATATTGTAGATTATAGAGAATGTTTGTACAGTATTAGTTAAATAGTAAACACTCACCATTTATTTTTAAACAACCATTTCTTGTGAAAAGAGTCCTTGCAAAGACGAAACCTGATTTTGGTTCAGTGGCGCAGCATATGATATGACCTGCTATATCTCCATTAATCCCAGTATTTTCTAAAGTGCAAGAAGACTCCATCCAATGTTGACGACTAATTAAAGGTTTCAAAGTGGTCTTTGCCGTATTTGAACCGAATAAACAAAATGGTTTGAGTCGTTGTTCAAGCTTTGCTTTCGTTTCCGTTGGATATTTTCTCATATAATGATTATAATAAGATAGAAGAGGCTAAATTATATAGAGAATATACAGTATATTATTGTTATGATCTATCATGTTTCAATTATAATACAAAGATGATTGAGCAACAACCTCGCATATTTCTGTTTCATTCAGATCCTTTGGTTTAGATAAATATCTTTTCAAGTTTTGAATAACTTCTTCCCAATGACGCTCAAACAAAGCGAAATCCTATTTAATACGATAAATTAAGTTATAAATTTTTACATGAACGACATTATATTACATTAATAAGGAGTTTTTCAAGACCGTAACAATCCATCAATTCAATGAGATCAAGAGTTTGCGATGGTGTGATAAATTTGACCTATTTTTTCAATTTCAGAGAATATATAATGTAAATCAAAATAATTGAATAACAAAGTTTGAGTATTTAATTAGTTACCTCGTGTTGGAGAGTAAAGAATCCACCACTATAAACATAGAAAAATTTACACATTGTATTATAAAATTCTTGGAATTATGTTTAAACTTACGCATTAAAATCTTCTAGAGCGAAAGCTTGAATTAATGGCCATTTTTCTATGTCCATTTTTCCTATTTTACTGTTAGAGTTGGTTGTTAAAATGCCAACTCTTTTCGTTGGTTTTATCATTTTAATAAAACAACGAATTTTATAATCTTCACCAACTTCTTGATCATACTAGTTTGAATTTTTAAAGTTTATAAACTATTACTTGTTTTTATGTAAAATTACTTCAATACCTTATTATTATTAATACAATACAATTCTAAATTGTCCCAATTTGCGAAGACATTTAAAAAGAAATTATAATTTAAAGGATTGCAATAGAAATGAACATTGTCCTTATTTATCAATAAAACTACATCTTCTAATATTTCATCTTCAGTATTGTATCTATAAATACATTACATATTTATGCATTACATTGTATATGTACCATTTAAACGTTATATCACTTACTTTTCAGTATCTTTACCGATAGTTTCTAATATATCGAAAAATATATAGTTCAATAGTTTCATACTACCATCATGATGCCAGCTATCTACGCCTATTGAAAAGAATTGCTTTTGTTTACTTTTTAATCACATAATTTCAACATTCTGTTTAAACAATTTTCTTTTTATAATTATTTTTTAACCTCCTATTGCTAATATTCCATCAATAGATTCATCTTTCTCTATAAAATGTTGAACATTCCTTAGGCGAGTTAAACTGTATGAAGAAAATAATTTTGCTGTATTTAAAACGCAGTAAAACAGATTGAATTTTAAAGGATATAAATATTTATATTCTGCTTACTGTCCAATTGAAGTTAAGCAATCGCTTTTTATCAAAGATTTATAAGAAATCTGTTGCTTTCCTCTTTTCTTTGACATTCTTAAATTTGTTTACATCGCTACAGAATTAGGCCTATTCTTTTGAAAACTAGTTCTATTAGCCGCATAAATTTTACGACATTAATATGGTATCCCATTCAAAAATTTAAACAAAATGTTATATAGGTTGAAAAAATACTGATAAGACAAAAACTTGATAATATTAAGATTACAAGCTGCTTTGTTTTAAAAATAAATGGAAATATATCTACCTTTTTAGATAAGCTTATACTTTAAGTAAAGCAAAATCTTTACTTTTCTTTTAACATTTTGGGCAACGAAACGATTTTGATTTTTGAAATTCTTTTAAATCGATAAAAAGTTAACTGAAACCTAATCGTCTTTTTAAGGCTACTTTTGGATAGTAATCCTAGATAACGGACACATCCTTACTATTAATATTAGAATACTGAAGTTGAGTTGGGGAAGAGCTTTCTCTAAAACTTCTATTAGTTTCGTGCCAAGAGAAGAAGAGAAAAATTTAAGGATAAAGGAGAGTAATTTTGTTTAGAACCTTATAATTTTGGAATAAATCAAGAGAGAAATAACTGAGATTCGTTTGAAAATGAAACCTCGAAAGAGTATACTTACTTATATTGTATGCTAAACCTAGGTCTAAATCTCTAAGTCTACATTCTTTGCCTTAAAAAACTTATTAATTAGTATTTTTGCATCTATGAAATTATAAACTATATTTTATTGTTTTTTATTACTTAAGCATGCTTATTCTTAGTTAAGCACAACATAACAAATAGTTCTTACTTAGAGTTAATATTTTTACGACACTTTAGACTGGTTTGTGTCGTTAAAATAAAACATAAGAAGTAAGCTTCAATCAGTCGTAGTGAGTTTAGAATGAGAATTTATTACTTGTATTTACATAAATTGCAATTTATCTTTTTGCAAATTTACCTATTTTTTAATTAAATCGCTAAATACAGGCACTATTTTTAAAATTCCTCAACAGTAATCAATAATTTTAAGACATTCATGAACGATAATTTGTTAAATTGCAATTTTTAGACCATGTGGTTTTTTAGTGAGGCCTATTTTTTTGTAACTCAAAAATTCTAATTTATTCATTAATTGTCAGGATGCTCTTCGCGCAATAAATCAGTTTTACGTCGGCAAAATATGAAGTATGTTCTTGTAACGGGAGGTGTCATTAGTGGCATAGGGAAGGGTGTAATTTCTTCTTCAATTGGAACTCTACTAAAAACTCATGGAGTTAAAGTTACTTCAATAAAAATAGACCCTTACATAAATATTGATGCTGGAACATTCTCTCCCTATGAACACGGAGAAGTATTCGTTTTGGACGACGGAGGAGAAGTTGATCTTGATCTTGGAAATTACGAGAGATTCTTAGACATAACACTACATAGAGACAATAATATAACAACAGGCAAAATTTATGAGTATGTAATTAAAAAGGAAAGAAAAGGGGATTACCTTGGAAAAACTGTTCAAGTAGTACCACACGTGACAGATGCAATCCAAGAATGGATAGAGCGTGTTGCAAAAATTCCTGTCGATGTTAATGACCCTTCTGAACCTCAAGCTTGCCTTATCGAATTAGGTGGAACTATAGGCGATATAGAGGGTATGCCTTTTATTGAAGCTCTTAGACAATTTCAAAGGCGAGTTGGCAAAGAAAATTTCTGTGTAGTTCATGTCAGTTTAGTACCAGAACCAAAAGCGACGGGGGAACAAAAAACGAAACCCACACAAACAAGTGTAAGACAACTGAGAAGTTTGGGTCTTACTCCTGATTTAATAATTGCTAGGTGCGGAGGACCTATAAATGATTCTACAAAATGTAAAATATCATCATTCTGTGATATAGAAGATGATTGTGTCATTGGTTTACCCGACGTGTCATCAGTGTACAAAGTTCCTCCGTTGATGGAAGACTCAAATCTTGTTGAATATTTTGCGAAAAGATTGAATTTACCTTTAAAGCGTAACAGACGTGCCTTGTTACGCTGGCGAGGACTTGGTAGTAATCAGGAAAGAGCATTGGAAGAAGTATGTATAGCTCTTGTGGGAAAATATACCAAATTAGAAGATTCCTATGCAAGTGTGATAAAATCTTTGAGGCATTCTGCCATGAAAATCAATAGAAAACTCAAAATTCAGTATATATTTATTTATTTATTTATCCTTTAATAAGAATGTTTTTTAGTTATATAGAGGCTGACAAGTTAGAGAGCCAAGAAAATGATCCTGTTAAATATCACGAAGCTTGGCAACAGTTATGTAGATCGGACGGAGTATTAGTTCCTGGTGGATTTGGTATGAGAGGTTTAGAAGGTAAAATATTAGCCGCAAACTGGGCAAGAACGAATTCAAAACCATACCTAGGAGTTTGCCTCGGTTTGCAATGCGCTGTTATAGAATTTGCTCGCAATGTTTTAAAATGGGATGATGCAAATACAACAGAGGTAAATCCAAACACAAATCATCCAGTTGTTATTGAAATGCCAGAACACAATACTGGAATGGTGAGTATATCTACTAGTTAAATGAAAATAACGTTCCTCCTACCACTTACAATAATAATAATCAGTTTGCGTATATTTATTCATTTAGCTTGGTGGAACAATGAGACTTGGTAAAAGACGTACAAATTTTACAACTAACAAATCAATTGTCAGGAAACTATATCATGACAAAGAATACGTTGAGGAAAGACATAGGCATAGATATGAAGTTAATCCGGAAGTTGTTCAAGATTTAGAAAATAGTGGCTTGAAATTCATTGGCAGATCTACTGATGGAGAAAGAATGGAAATTTTAGAATTGGAAAATCATCCTTTTTACATTGCTGTCCAATATCATCCTGAATATATATCTCGTCCTCTCAATCCTTCACCACCGTATTTAGGCCTACTTCTTGCTTCATCTGGAAAGTTAGATAGCTATTTAAATTCTGACTGGGAGCCTTCTCCAAGGTCTGGCTGTTAATCTTCTTTTATATGTTTTACATAATTATTCATATTAAAACCTCTGTGCTTGTTATCTACAGATGCACTGACTCCAGTGACCTCTCCGATGAGTAACAACTCTTGATTAACTCTTCGAAATGTTAAAGTATATGCGCTGAAACGAATGGCATATTTTTTTTTGAGTATCATATTATTTTCCTTTATATTTCTTTCATATCGAGATCTGTTCTATTTACAAGATGATGACAATATATGTTTATTAAAGCTTCTGTCTTTTTTTTAAGTGTATATTAACAATTCTGCAGTTGATCCATGCTTTTATTTTCTTTTTCACTACTAAATGAAATGTCTAATATTTAATTTGTTTTTGTTCTATGTATCGGGTGGAATAGAATAAATTTAAATTAACACAAAAGCTGGATATCAAGACTAATCAAGTAATAAATTAGTTTTAGTAAAATAATGAATTATTCATAGATTTTTGATAATTCAACTTTGGCGCGAAAATACAGGTTATTTTCGTAAATGTTATTTGACATTTATATCTTTCTAATTAAGAAAAAATTTAACAATTATTCGTTGAAAGGTATAAAGATTAAAATAAAGATTTATGAATTTGAGAGTAAACTTGATGAATTTAAATATATTCCTACGAAAATAACATTTATTAATACTTTAGCGTTCAGCTATTTTTTGAGATCTTACCAGTGATCTCGTTTGAAAACTATTGGTTGGAAACTTTTCATTTGCAATTAAACCCGGAAATTTCACAAAACGACGCAGAATTATATAACAATTTACTCTAATCAATTGTGTAAGACAAATAATGGACAATAATTCATCAGAAAAAAACGCCTTCGTCATGGGCTTCACTGGCGGTATTGGACAAGAAGTACTAAAAGCTTTAGCAAGAGAGAAGTTGTTCGCCAAGGTTGTTCTTATTGGTAGAAGAAAAGTTGAATTTGATGACGAAGAATTAAAAACTTGGGAGCAAAGAATAGTCGATTTTGACAATCTATCAAAACACACCGAAGACTTCAAAGACTTGCACGTGGGATTCTGTTCACTTGGAACTACAAGAGCGAAAGCTGGCAAAGAAGGATTCTATAAAGTAAGAGTTTTTACTGCCTTATGTATTCGGAATCATTTTCGTAGTATGAATCATCAAATTCATTCTTATTTATGCAGAGAGCATTTTTAGTATTAATAATGTATTAGACTATAAAAAATTGCTATTTTATGCAGATTGATCACGATTACGTTTTGGAATCGGCTAAATTGGCAAAAGATGGTGGGTGTGAAGAATTTCACTACGTAAGTTCAGCTGGTGCAGACAAGAGTAGCATGTTTTTCTATTTGAAAACTAAAGCAGAGATTGAGGATGACTTGTCCAAGGTTGGATTTAATAGGCTGAGTATATATCGGCCCAAAATGCTTTTGGGAAAGAGAGATGAGGCGAGAATGGGCGAACGCGTTGCGAAATTTCTTCTAAAGCCGATTGTTGCTCTGTCACCAACTGCTCTTAGCGTACCAATGGAAGATGTAGCTAAAGCTATGCTAAATAACTCAAAGAAGTCTATTAACGAGTCAGTAGAAATACTAGATAACGTTGCTTGCCACAACTTAAGTAAAGAAGGAAACAGTAAATAAAACAATGTCATTAGTAAGAGATGCAACAGGAATACGGCTGCTTTCAACATTTTCTGTATATTAATTATGCATAGTGTTCTATATCGATTAACAGAATAAATATGACTATCCCTGCAAAAAAGAAAAAAAATAAGAGATGCTATTTGTATTAATCTACATATTTTTTCCCTTTCCCCTTATCTCCTAATTGTTCTTTATTCTTTTTACTATCAATTTTTTTCTCTATACGCCGCTTAAAAGAAGAGATAGAAGAGAAGAAGAGCCAACTATAAAAAGATGCAAAATTGTTGTACTATTTTAATTTTCTTTATAATTCGATATCAAATAAATAACTTGATATAACTTAATAAATGTAATATTGTATATTTACTACGATATTCTATTATTAATACTTTAAAAGCGAATGTTTAATGGATAAATTAATACTCTTGAAAGTTTTACTACAAAAGATGCTATATTATTAAAATTTATAGCCGATTCACACGATTAATAACGATAGCTTATTGTTTGTTTGTTTATTCTATACATATATATCTCTTTTTTATCATTATTATTATTATTTATATCATTATCATATTAAAGGCTCTATAATACTTTCAGTATTATTCTATAGTAAAATGTTTAGAGTTACATTTAATGTATGAATAGTAATGGTATCGATTTTAACTTAGCTACCCTATTTTTCTTTCTTCTTTTTTTATGAAGCTGTAAACTCTATAACCTGCTTCAATTTGTAGTTTTTGACTTGTTTTACAAAGTTGATATACCTGTTGAAAATTATTTTTATCTTATTCCTTTATATTCTTTACTTTTTCTTAGTTTGTAATACTTTTTTATATGTCTTTGAGGTTATCTTATCTATCATTGTATATGTATATATATATATACTTAATGATTTTATAAGAAAAATGCGTAACGTTATTTATTCAAATGTTGAAACTAGAGCTAGAAAAACGAATAGAGTTAACTAACTATTGCGTTTCTTAAGCATCCTTCTATATATATATATATTATACATAATTTAAAACAATGGCGGCAAAATACATAGTTATTCTCGTAAATTATATTACGTTGAAAATACTATTCTTAAGTTGTAATAATAATAATAAGAGGAACGTTAGGAATTATCTACTAAAAATTATGAAAGGTGTATATTTTAATAAGCCTTTTTAAAGGATTAAAAAATCGTTTTATTTCGCTTTTGACACGAATATTGGATATTTTATGTTAGTTACTCAATAGTTACCCTTTTCCCTTCTTTTATACGAAAATAACTAAAAGGATTTTATATAGAATTTCTTTTTCGTTTAAAGACAAACAGTTCCATATAAGCTATAGTCTCGACTGCAACGACAAACAATAAAAATCTCCGAACGAAATATATTAAACCAAAAGGTTTCAATTAAAAAAACTGCAACTCGAATAACGAAGAATAAACTATGGCTGATAATCAAACTGGAAAGAGAGCATTTATTATAGGTTTTACCGGTGCAACTGGAATGGAATTACTCAATAATTTGGCAAAGAATAATATTTTTTCAAAAATTGTTCTTATTGGTAGAAGGAAAGTTGACTTTGACGATGAAGAGATAAAAAGTTGGGAGCAGAGACTAGTCGACTTTGACAATTTATCAAAGCATGCAGATGATTTTAAGGATTTAGACGTGGGATTTTGCTCATTAGGTACAACCAGAGCAAAAGCTGGAAAGGATGGATTCTACAAAGTGAGTACTTTTTAAGTCTATCTTCTATTTTTTTCACTTTTAACTCGAAGATGAAGAAAATGAAGAGAGAAAGGAAAAGAAATATGTATTAATAGCTTTTTATTTTTTCGATAGATCGATCACGATTACGTGATAGAATCGGCTAAATTGGCAAAGGAGGGTGGATGTAAAGAGTTTCATTACGTTAGTTCGGCAGGAGCTGATAAGAATAGTATGATGTTTTATTTAAAAACCAAAAAGCAAGTTGAAGAAGATCTCGCTCAAATTGGCTTTGATAGATTAAGTATCTATAGACCAAAAATGCTCCTGGGTAAGAGAAAAGAATGCAGAATAACGGATTTCCTCGGTAAAGCTGTTTTAAAGCCAGTTATTGCAGTATCACCAACAGCTATATCTATACCAATTGAAATGGTTGCAAAAGCCATGTTGATCAATTCCCAGAATGATATAAAAGAGCCCGTGGAAGTTATAGATAACGCTATGTGTTATAAAATAGGTAAAGGTGACAAGGATATTCCATAAATAGAACGTAAAAATTGCATGTATAGAAAAATTATACGTCTACAGTTAATATATATATATATATATATATCTTTACTTAAGTACAGCATCATTTATTGATTAACGTCTAAGGATAGCCTTGCGGTATTGTTTATGTCGTGGCTGCTATAAGTTCTTATATTGACAATATATAAATTTATATATTAGTATAAAATTTATATATTTATATACGTTTCTTTTTGCACAGGTATAAAACATGTACCAACAGTAATTATTGTTTCCAAATTCATTTCCAACAAATGTAAATAACTTAGAATTACGATGAAAAGTTTAATGGAAAATTCTCTTCCTAATAGAAGAGTAACGTTCCTTAATCTTCATTTATAATGAATTAATTATCCTATTTAGACGGTGTACATCTTCCTCTTTCGTTATTCTGTTTAAATAAATCCTTAAATTTGTATTATCATTATTATTATATTTAGCTGATTTAATCGGTAGTCACCTAGAATGTCCTACTTTTTGAAGTTTGTAAATTTTCCTCTCTAGTCAACATATTCTTACATAAAAGAATAAAATCTTGTACTTGTTCGTTCAATTTTGAGAATTTTCTTTTCTAATAATAAACCTTATTTATTTTATGTTTTTAAAATTTTCTTTGAAATATTTAATATAAAGTATTTTACCTAAAAATATCAATTTAATTCGATATTGTCACCCGATAACGATTTTGATCTTTTAGCGGGAAAATATTCATCGTTATTTTCGTATAAATATTTTATATTCGTACGAAAAAAAGGTTATAAAAAAACAGAGAAAAAGAACATTTATACTACTGATAGATTCATTAGTTAAGAAGAAAGAGGGGAATAGTTGTCTCTTTTTATCCTTCGTAGCTAATCGGATAACTATTCAAAATAGATACTCTTAATAAATTCAGGTGCCTTCTCAAAAGAGATAGTTTAAGGAAATTAACCAACTATCAAGAAGGAAAAAAAGTTTTTATTATGGGCTATACGGGTGCTGTTGGTACAGAGTTATTAAATATTTTGGCAAAGGATAGTACCTTTCATAAAGTAGTACTGATTGGTAGAAGAAAAGTGGAATTTGATGATCCAGTATTAAAAACTTGGGAGCAGAGAATAGTTGATTTTGATCATTTGTCAAAGCACACTGAAGACTTTAAGAATTTCGATATTGGATTTTGTTCGTTTGGAAGTATTTCTTCCAAAGTTGATAATCAAACTTTTCGAAAGGTAAACTATCATTTCATTTTAAATTTTCCAGCATTTTCCTTTTGACAAATATTCAGAGATTTAATACGAATTGTCCAATAGATAGATCACGATTACGTCATTGAATCGGCAATGCTCGCTAAAGAAGGGGGATGCGAAGAGTATCATTACGTTAGTTCAGTGGGAGCTAATAAGAACAGTATGATATTCTACTTAAAAACCAAAGGAGAAATAGAAGAAAGTCTTGCCAGGATTCGCTTCAAGAGGCTCTGTGTTTACAGACCTAAAGTGTTGATTGCTGAAAGAAATGATTTTAGAATTGCCGAAAGTTTAAGCAAGTTTTTCCTAAAGCCAGTTATAGTTTTAGCACCAACAGCCCTATCAATACCAGTTTTGGATGTTGCAAGAGCAATGATAAACAATTCCAAAAAAAGTAGTATAGAAGCCATAGAAATTGTTGATAATGCAACTTGTCATCAGCTAAGTAAAGAAGAAAAGAAGAATTAATTAAAACTTTATTCCTATTCCTTCTAGTCATCGTCTATATATTTTTCTTTTTCCTATCTCTCTCCCCCTGCATAAGTGAATAGTAGGTAGAACGAAATATGTATAAATCTCATAGTTAATTAGAATATATTAAAATATTGTTGTTGCAAGTAAAAATAAAAATAACCTATCAACAAGGAAAACAAGACGAAAAGAGAACAAAATATCTTTAATTAGTTAATTAATAGTATAAATGAATATATTCTCCATGTTTTATATGCATATAGAAATATGTATATACAATATATATATATACAGTATATTCATCTATCTATCTATCTGTCTATCAATCATTATAATTAAAATTGTAGGTGTATTTTATTCTTTTCTTCAACAAGAAACAAAGAGAAGAAAGAGAATGTAATTGCTATTAATTTCATGTTAAAAAAGAGAAGAGAAGAATAATATCTTTAATTCAAGTCAGGCTATTCTACTTATCAAATTTAATGGGAACATTCCAATAGTTATCATCATTAGTTTTTCCCCTATCAGGAAGAGAGGGAGACAGGAAAGGAGACAGAGAGAGAGAGAGAGAGAGCAAAAAAAGACTATAGACAGACGAAAAGCGAAAAAACAAACAAATAACTGTATATTTTTAAATAAATGAAAACTAGTCTTCTATTGTGAATAGCAAAGAAAGAAAAAAAATTAAATGGATATATGAGCTTCTTTAATGAGAAAATAATAAATATATTGGATAAAATGATCTTCTTAATTAGTTGAATGTATTAATATATATCAGCTAACATTATAAGATACTGTTAAAGCTCTACTAATAACTATAATAAGTAAAATAATAAGAATAAGAATAACAGCAGTAATGTTATTTATTTATAAGGTTTTCTCTTTGTTTTCTTCAGTATATATAATAAGATCATATCGAGAAATATCGAACATGTATTTTTACCGATAGAGAAATTGTATTCGATGATTAAATTATAATACAATTTTTATCCAATCGATAGAAATTTGATATTATTTACGTTTCGTTAAACGATATAGATACTAAATAAGAAGAGAGAGAGAGAGAGAGAGTGTGAGAAAAGTGTAAGTATATTCCTTATTCTGATTGGAAAAGGTATAGAAAAATATAATCAAAAGAACATGAAAAGTGATTTTATAACAGATAGTGATTAAAGGAAATTTTATTCAAAGATCCTTATCGCTTAAAGAATTGTTTACTTTGAAAATTAAGAACTAATAAAAGATAATTAACTTTGATAAAGTACCGGAATATTCTCTAGAATTTCAGATCTTTCAACAACCCCATATTTTCAATGACCTATTAACTAGTTAATTCATACAAACAGACCAATATCTCTTCTTTCCTTATTAATTATATATATTCAATAACATCTGCGAAACTGGATAGATTAGCTGAAGAGGAAAGAGATTAAGAGTTTCACCTACAGCCATCTGGCGGCTATATTGAAAAGTTATAGTACCATGTATTTGAAAGTTTGCGCATGGAAATTGAACAAATTGAATAAATTGAATAAATGGAATATTTGATGTTGTCGACAACTAAAAAGTAAGAATTATTAGTTTAATAGTTGTCAATTTAGATTAGCAATAAAGTAAAGGAAAATTGTCGCAAGATCAGTCTTTATACTGTATTTAGACTGTGTATACAGTATTTGTAAAACTAGCAGAAAATGAGAAAATATCTTCTTTATCCTAGAAATAGGACTAGTAAGAATCAGTTGCACCATCTATATTTATTTTCTTCCTCTTTATCTCTTTTAATTACATGCTCTAATTACTTTATTTAACTTATATGATAGATAAAATTGTTAAAACGCCATCTAGTCCCAGAGATATTTTAACAAACTGACATTACACCAAATGAAGAAGGTATTTCTTTTTTTCAAATTAGATAGGGGAAAGACAAGTCACTTTTAATTAAGGAATCACGTGACAAAGGTTTAAGAATTGCCTATTTTGTTGTTTTCATCTTCTCCTTCTTATCCTGCTTTTGGTATAAAAGGATGTTGTTTATCATGAATAAGCTTATATGGATATCCATATACCACAAGACAGTATCTAAAGATAAAGTTTATTTTTTCAATTAGAGTGTTACTTCGTATCGGTTAACCTTTTAGTTTACAGAATATCAACCGTTTTAGAGAGAGAGAGAGATGAAATGAATGAGTGAGTGAGGGAGACAGACAGTCAGTTAGAAAGAATGGGAATAAAAGATAAACATTTTTCATCCTTAGTTTTAATTCTGATAGGATAATAATCGCTTATGAAAAGATAATATTTGTTTCATCTATTTTGTAATTAAAGTCGCCTAATTCTTTTTCGTATAGCAATTCGAGCACGAAAAGATTATGCCGTAAAATCCTCTTCGAATCGCACTCGAAGGTTTTTAATCTCCGTTCTTCTACGGATTCTACGGTAAAGTGATATCATCATCCCTTCTGTCAATATATTCTTTGAATAGAATAAAAGGTAAACTTTTGATTATACTTGCAATGACGTAATTTAAAAAAGAAAGACAACACGATTACGTAAGGTAAACTGATAAAAACTTTATATAAATAATATTTAAGAGTAGAACATTTGAAGATCAAAGTTGTTGAAATCGACCGAAAGGGAAAGTTGAAGTGATTTAACACGAGGTCGAGTGGCCTTTAAAAAAGTTGTCGATTCTAAATAAAAAAAAAAACTCCGACTAACAAGCCACTGATTTCAAGGATTTTCCTTTCCTTTGACTGAATTTTCTTCCATAAATACGATAATGAGCTATTTTTTCACTCTATTCTCCCTTTCGTCTTTTCTTCTTCTCCTCCCCCTCCCCACTCTCTTTTAAATGAGCAGATGGCGTTGCAGTAGTTTAATAACTTTGCTGTCAATCTTAGTTTAAACATTGAGATAATCAAAAAGTAATGAGAAAAATATGGAGGGGGACGTAATGTTTAATTGTTCTTTGCTATCGCAACAATTCGATAACGAGAAAAACGTAATTAAAAACATATTGCAAAGAGTTAATATGTTTACAGATTACGTAATACATCAAGCATTAATAAATACAAATATTACGGTAGAATGCAGTTGATTAGAGTAATGAGAATTTTATGTAAATTTTGCCGATTGCAGTATGTTGCGGGAAGACAGAAAGAAAAGGAGATACTTTTCTTTCTTTTCCTCCCTCCCTCTCCCTCTGTCTCTCTCTCTCTGTCTGCCTGTCTGTCTTTTCTTCTGCTCCTTCTTCTGGTGTTCAGCAGAAGGAAAATAGAGCTCTATTGAAAATACTATTTGCTTTATCTTGGGCTATGATATTCCTTAAAGAAAATATTAAAAAGCCTAAGTAAACACCAAGTTAAATTCTTTTTCCGCTTTTTTCAATAAATTTTAATCGGTGCTGTGATTTTTCTTCTGCGTATATAAAATTCATTAATCCCATCAAGAAGTCAACTGGAAGAAGGGGAAAAGAGGTTAGCTTTTCTCTCTCTTTCTAAATACAGCTTATAAATCTAGATGGCGTTATATATATATATCTTACGCATAAGTAATTTAGAAAAAGAGAAATGTCGATTCTAATTATTAGAGAAGGGTAGGGAGAAGTTTTCTTAATCCCTTAATAATAGGCTATAGAGCATGGGAAGATTATTCTAAATCAAAGCATTGCATTACTTCTACCCTATGATTAGACTGTTATAAAACAATAACCTACTTTGGTTTTAGTAATTATGAGTGGTAGCGTAAGAGCTCGTTCGAGGAAATGGAAATACGATATGATATATATATATATATATATATATATGTATATTTACTTGTTTACATCTCTGTATATTTATGGTTTAGAAAGAAAAATAGCTTAAAATAACAAGTTAAACAAGTATTTTCTTTTTAAAAAAAAATGATAGCATTCTTTTACAAAGTACAATAGAAATTTTGTTCATATTTGTATAAGTATATAATATATTCATTATTTACATTCGAATATTCATAGAATTTCGCAATGTAAATAATTTTCTCACGTTGGAAATAACGATTTGTTACCCAACTATAAAGATAAACGTTTAAAATTAGAAAGAGTGAGCAAGAGCTACAGAGAGAGAGAGAGAGAGAGAAAGAGCAATACGCCTGATGATGTTTTTATAACGTAGAGCCAGTTTGATTCGTGTTTATTCATGCTTAATAATTCTTTGTTATTGCGCAATAATTTATCCGATTCCCATTATACAAGAGATTTATTACCTCCCTTATCAACTTGCGACAATAAAAATGCTACTACCAATAATAAGGATTTTATTTCAGAATTTTGAAGTATTCTTTATTGATATAAAAAAAAGTTGAATATCTTCTTTATAGGCATTTTTGTATATTTTTTACAATATACAGCATATATATATATATATATATATACAAAAAAAATTGGAAAAATACTGTACAAAGTACATTTATATTGTAATTATTCGTAAACACATACTGCACACAGCATATATATATATATATATATATATATATGCTATATACACAGTATATATATGTATACTATATAATGTATATTGAGAATGTATACTATATGTACAATGCATAACAATAATACATAATACAATATATCTTAAATATCGTATTAATTTTCGTTTCTTTTAGTAAGAAGTAATGCATATACGTCGTAACATAATAACAATAATTGGCACCGTAAAAATTACCCTTCGCCGTAGAAACTATCGTGATTCTAACTGCTTAGTAAAAACAGTATCAAAAATAAGCGGGAAAAAAATAATCGACTAGTTCCTGTCATATGACATATAGACAACAGTTACCCTGTTTAATCGTTTCAAATTGTTTGTAAAGTCATTTTTTGTACTGTTTATATAGGCTTCCACTCTGCCTAAAATATCATCTTTGCTTTAGACAATGTAGCCATCAGGGGACCGTAAAGAGTCGAGCATCTTCTTTCTATGGACGGCTGAGACAATGCCTAATCCTAGCAAATGCTCGTGATTTAGTGGTAGACAATGGCAAACTTGTGTGTAACCGTTGCTGATGAATACGTTAGTATATCTCTCTAAATTAAGTGACCTTAACCATTCTTCCACTGTTAGAAGGTCTGAAGGTGATATGTAATGATCTGGATCTATATCTATTGCACTTAGAGCGATACCATCTTCCATCAAATAGGGATTCCTCGATAGGTTGTCCAGCCTATTCACAATTTCGATAAACTTTGGTCTTTCGGATCTCTCAACTCTCCAACAGTCTAACATCAGTTGATACAAAATTTTTGGGCAATAGTTCATTGTTGGAGGTAAACGGAAACCTTCCTCTACCGCTTTGATTACGTCTTGATTAGACCAATTCCAATAAGGTCGTTCGCCGTAGGTTAATATCTCCCACATGACGACACCGAAAGACCAAACATCAGAAGCTGAAGTAAACTTCCTGTAGCTAATAGCTTCAGGAGCCGTCCACCTGACGGGTATCTTTCCGCCTTTCGTTGTGTAATCGCTACGATCCATTTCTAGTTCTCTAGACAAACCGAAATCGGATACCTTACATACGAGATTTTCATTAACAAGAATATTCCTGGCTGCCAAGTCGCGATGAACGAAGCTAATATGGCTAAGATAGACCATGCCACTAGCAACTCCTCTCATCATACCGATTAGCTGAAGAATTGTAAACATGCCGTCGTTCTGTTGCAAAAATTTATCCAAACTACCATTTCTCATATATTCAGTGACAATCATTATTGGATTTGATCTTGTAACGACACCCTCGAGAGAAACGATATTAGGGTCATCAAATTGGCCCATAATAGACGCCTCGGCAAGCATATCTGACCTTGCTTTGTCACCACCATCAGGCTTTAATGTTTTTATAGCGACATCTTTTTCTATATTCATCGCCGGAATACGAAATTTTCCTTTACAAACGTCTCCAAACTCTCCACCGCCAATCACTTCTTCGATCGTAATAAAGGAGACGTCAATCTCCTTTGCAAATTCCCTAATAGCTTCATTAGGATCTTCGTAGGTGTGCGGGTCAACGTAAGTTCTTGACTTCGGTGTGCTTACAAAAGGTATTTCTGTTGAAGGGGAAAAAGCATTGACTAATCAGTTAAAATGTTCTGTAAATAAAGGGAAAAAAAAGAAGCAGAGATATAGTATGAAAAAAGACGTTTTCACAGAATCTTCTATTCTATTAGTAGTTTGATAATGCAAACTTTCTAATTTGAAATAAAGATACAGAACAATAAAAAACAGGCAGATTCAATTTCTTAATGGAAAAGCAGTAAAATGTCCCATTTTTTTTAGATACCGAAAACAATAAATCGAATTTTACAATGTAATTTAATAATATTATTTATGTTTTACAGGAAATTTGGGTTTTATTAACTTGTTAGTTTTGTCTGCTCGCAAAATGCAAAAATGTAAAGCTTGCTTAGTAGATTTTTTTTTCCCTATTATCCATCTCTCCGCTCTTTATTTACGGTTTTGCGCGGATCAAGAGGGTTAAGAGTTGAATGAAGCTTGCTAACAATTTAATATACTTTTTCTGACCGTATTAGAAAGGCTTATAACAATCAAATCCTTTTGAAGGTATTCCATTAGTAAATTTCATTCGACTCGAGTAACTATAAAAAGTTTCCGATCGAAATCTCTTCTTATTTATTTACGAAAGGGATTGAATAAAGCTCCAAATAATGAAAAAAAAGAGACGTACAGATAGGAAAGGAGCGGTTGCTGAGATCCCAGCGAGAATCACAAGTATAGGAAGATTAACATTATGCAATAATAACCTAGCTTCGGCTTTATCTAAGACTTCCTACTAAGGTCTTACAACTGAAGCCATTACACGATTGATAAATAACAGAGTAAAAAGATGAAAAAGAAGAAAATGGAAATGAAAAAAAAAAATAAGCAGAAAAATCACTTACTAGGTCCGACAGACCGTGGAACGCGAGAATTATAAGCATCGGGTTGCATCAAAGTCGGATAAGGCGCTGTAAAGGGCAAAACAATCGATATTTTTTCCAAATAGAATAAGCAGTGGCATGATCAAAAATTAAGCATAAAAAATTCTTAATTAAGTTAAAGGAGTCGTCTTGTCCCTTTGTACAAGTTTTCTGTTGTTTTGCAAATATATAGAGAGAAGTGAGCTTACCTTCTCCGTTACTGTATTGCAAGGCATCGCAATCGCTAGCACTTTTTTCGTTACAGCCCTGGCGGTTACTGTTGGGGAAGAAACAAGAAAGGAAAATTAAACAACTGCAGGCGATTGTCAATTTGCCAAATGTCAATTTCTGTGTTAAGTGTATTACTTTGTCACATATGGTGTTATTATGTTGATTTCTAAAAATTTTCCCTTTAACTCTCACAACAACCCCCCCATTTCTACAACCCCTCCTCTTTCCACCCCTTCACCCTCTTATTTTTTCTCTCCTCGTTAAGTGTATTAATAACGGTAGGATGAACATAAGTTAACATATGGCGCCTAATTTTTGTTCGATCGTCACGTTTCCTCTATTTTTTTATTTCGGTGCGAAGGAAAGAGGTTCTTTACTCGCTTAGATCGATTCCTTAAACACATAAAAAATGTTGTTCTGTTTTCAATGTCAGTATTTATCTATGTTATTTTCTTTCAGAAAAGCTTTGATTGTAGATTAAATTACTAAATTTACGCTTCGAAATTTCGTACCCAGCGACAGCTGCAAATGTTAATTTTTATAAGTTTCCCCCCTTTTATTATTCATTTTACTCTTTCCATTATCCACTTCGCTTTTCGTCTGGCATAACCTTATGCTCTATAACCCTCCTTTTTTATTTTCCTTTTTAAACAGCTTGAATAGGCTTATTTTAATTAATTTTTCCCAAAAAATGGAATATTTTTTTCAAGTATTAATAAATAGATATTTTTAGTTTACTTTTTATACGGGAAATTACTTTATTATTATTCTCAAGTAAGTAATATTTTCTTCTATTCTTTAAAGAAGACGAGAATTTGCCTAGCCTTTAGAAAGTAGATTAAATTACGTCTTTAAGCTTTCAAAGATTTATTGAATGGCGTATTTAACACCATCTGTTTAAGACCGGTCGTTTCCTCTGAATGCATAAAAGTCGAATACGAGATTTTCTCGATAAGAACGAGAAATACTTGGGATACTTCGAACGAAGTTCAATTGATTTTAAATCCTGTTCATAGTATTTAATTTAATTTCTTAGAATCTAAGATTAGTTAAGTTAGCTGAAACCTATTAATTACCTTCAGTTTTAATATTTTTAGGCAAAGCTCTCACTCTTTAGATGAGAGAATCCTGCGGCAAATCGTAAAATATAATCTCTTACTTAACTATATTAGCCTACTTTCGAGATTTGTAACAATTCGAGGAGAGGCAGATACAAAGTTTAATCCCCCTTTAAAACTATAAATTAAGGGAGAGGATCACCAGATGTTGTCACCAGATGACGAATAAATCGCCGGCCGCAAAAAGAACAAAAGAACGTATCTCATCAAATCCACATACAGTAAAAATCTTGTAAACGTATTGTAAAGCTACTCAGATAATTGCAGTCGTTTGCTATATTATAGCCAGAAAACTCACGTGCAACTTTATACTCTTTGCGTTAGCTACCCTGCTAAGGAAGAGACAGGAGATATAAAAGAGATCGAAACTCTTATTGTCTCCAGCTATTCCCTTATTATTTTTTCCTTATTTTTTAAGGTTAAGAGGATTACTACCCATCAACAACCCAGATCACGTGATGCTGATATTAATTCTTGCCAATTCGATGCCCTCGATCTTAAGTGCATTACTCTATATTCATAAGACGTGACAACGTCAATTAGCCGGACTCGAACACAGCTTGACGTTAGAAAATACTGGGCAATTTTATATGGGGAAGATTTTTCTTTTTAAATAGAGTTAAAGGGAATAAGAAAGTGACAACGCCCGCCAATTATTTTGCCTTTTAAAAGAACAGCATCTGCAGATTAAAGGCATCAAGTACGAAAAGTACACTTTTTGTTTATCTACGATATCGTACTCTTCTCTGGTTTAGTCTTTAAGAAAGAAAACTCCGTATCAGATTGTACAAAGTCGATCCGACACGTAGCAATTATTTCTTTAAAAAGAAAACGGGCGTCGTCCCGCAGGCGAAAATCTCATAATTGATGACAGGTGACGCTTACCGTCTCAGGAAAATAGCGATCATAACCGCCAGCATAACCAGGAGCAACAATACGGCGACTGCAGATCCCGCAATAATTCCAGTTTCGCCATTAGAAACACTTCCATCCGCTCCATTTAGAGGACCTTCTGCTTTTTGAACAGTTCGAACGGACACCTTGGTGCTAAACTGCCCCCAGCCTAATGATGTATTGGCCCTCACTTTAAATGTATATTGAGTATCATACTCCAAATCATTTATTTCTATTTCCAAATCTTCAGCTTTTAGTGAGTATAGTCTTCCGTCAGGATCACTTTCATTGACATACTGGATTTCGTAATGTTCAATCGATGTTCCATTGTATTGAGGTGCCTTCCAGCCTAATGTTACTTTGTTTCCTTCAACCTTCGTTACTCTCACATTTTCCGGACGACCGGGCACTGTAATAGAACTCGATTAGTTTCAAGTGTCTTTGCCTTTGTCTATGTTACTATAAGAATTTAACGATTACATAAGATCCATTCAAACTTCACGGGATAGCCTTAACAATAACCCTTTCCCCCCCACGGTTAAAATCAGGATAGCTTTAAAAAGGTTATACTCGGAGAAAAAGAATTACGATCCCCTTAATAAAAGGCCATAATTAGATATTCTATGGATTCTGATTTCAGAGGAACGTCTCAGAGCCAAAGCACACTATCTCAAAAGGTTAAAAAAGCGATTTGAGTAATGGGATTCACAGTCAACTTGGGTAAAGTTAGCTAACAATTAAAAGGTTGTCAGAAAGCTAATTAAATATTTTCTACTCAACAAGATGGCTTTTATTATTAAGTGCATTTTTTGGACTTTCCAAAATGAGTCTTCCTTCAATTTTCCTGTTTGGCATTTAGCAATTTAAATATAAATTATTAATTTTAAAGAACAATAGTTCAGACGTGCCAGCAATGAGCTAATTACCGGAATTTTATATTTTTTTGTACATAATCATACTGACAAGGCGTATTGTCGGTAATGAAGTTCAATATTTGGCCGAATTACTGACGACATATTTACCCATTACCTTTTTGTTTGTGGAGCAAAGCATTTTTATTATATTATATTTGAAATGGCGAGAAAATTCACAGACCTAGTAGCCGCCTAGCGGGAAAAGTGCAAAAATACCCAACGGTACCTTATCTGTTAAGCTTTTTCTTGCCTCTCTTCCCTAGGTGCCCAGAAGTTGACAAGTAACCATCAATAATGAAGGTCAATGTTAGTTAAGTTAGTGACGTATTTACTCATTTAAGCTTTTTTTTTACTATTTACACGGTAAATTATTGATTTATTGGAATATTATATAGTTGGAGCAGTAGGCAGCCAAGCGGGATATCGGAAACAATTCGTCCATGTGTTAGCAAAACCGATTTACAATGGAAGAAGAAAGAAGAAAAGAAAAGAAAGAAGGAAAAAAATTTCCGATTGCGGCTGAGCGCACAGAGGCGTTGTGAGAGACGTTACTCACTTCCTTTTTAATTAAAAAAAAAAGAAAGAAAAAAAATAAATAAAGCGGGCTGTAAACAATAATAGCTCGTTATTCTTTTGTATAGGTGGTAGCGGAGTGGGATAAAGAGAGTTGGAAAACGTTGGGATAAGAAGCGAAATTTTGTGTAATTTTCGCCGCCACAGCTGATAACACACCCCTAGGGCAGTATAATAACGGCAGTAAATAAGCACTTGGGCACAATAGAAATCATTAGAGAACAGTGACAATTGTATCCATGATGCAGTACGCCACAAAAACTGTCATTGTTCAGTTCTGGCAGCGGTGACTATTATATATTATACGCTATTACTGAGGTTTTTCGTCCATCTAAAACACCCTCCCCCTTTTTTTCTTTTCTTACAGGTGGCAGGAGTCGTAGGTATTTTAAAGACCTCCTAGCTCGTTCAACTTCCCGCCTTCTTCCACCTTACCGTTTTCCCTATCTAAAAATAGCGAGTGCCTGGAGTCGATAGAAATAGAGAAAGACACCAAGAGGAAAAGAGGGAATATCATAACAAAAGAAGTTTTAAGGCATTAAAAGGTTTTTTTTGTAACAACCCGCTTAAAATATATAATGAATATATAAGTCATATAAAGAATTTCCCATTTAAATATTTTCGCAGCCCCGATCGATATTAAAGTGGGTTAGAAAAAAAGAGTTGACGTCACACAGTAGGGAGTAAATCGCTTTTTTGGGGGAAAAAGAGATTTTTCAATAACTTTGTTAGAGTATCTCAAAATTAGCGCTATCTCGAAATCCGACATGCAAATATGTTTTTCCTATATAAGCAAGAACGTGTAAAAAATACTAACGGGCATCACTCGTCCGGACGGTAATCAAGGTTGATTTCATAGATTCTTGCCCCGCTTGTTCGGAGACGCCGTTGAGTGCATAAACAATTACTCGATAGTCGCTGCTGGTATCCAAATTGTTAAGAGTTACGCGAGTATCCGTCACTTCAGAACTTGGTTCATAGGACACGTTGGGTCCACAATCGTGACACACCACCTTATAATATAAGTCACTGCGTCCATTATCTTCTGGTGGTAGCCAAGTGAGCACTGCTTGACGTTGATCGACACTCTCAGTCTGTAAGTTCCGGGGTTCAGATGGAGGGCGTGTGCAAGACATATTATCATCATCATTCTTATTTCTGTAGTATCCGATTTTACATTGACAAATCCTGGAACCAGGAGCAGTCGATTCGGAATAAGCCGGGCAAGAGATGCATATTGAATTACCCTTCTCAGGTTTGTACTTTCCAACGGGACACACTGTTGATAGAAAAAACAAAGAGATAGTGTTTAATGCATGTCACTTTTGTAATAACAGTGTATATCATATAAAAGAAAAAACGAGTCAGGAATAAAAACATTCGCCTCTAGAAGGCAGATACCAAAAGAGATATTTGTCATATTGATAAGCTTTTTATCCCTTACGAATTTATCAATGTCAAATATCGGTATTCGTATCTGTCGCAGGAAAAAGTAGAAAGAGAGAAAATTACTAGCCTAACATACTCTAGCCGGAAAAATTTCAGAACTACGGAAACGCGCGGGGGGTAAAACGCCTTTTCTTTTCTCATTTTACGAAGAATTCTACTATATTCTCCCTCAATTATTATCGATTTTCAATTCGCTCCTATTTTATCTGACTATCTAACTATAGTTCTTTTTTTATTTCGAGTTATTTCATTCCTCTTCTCTCTAAAATATTCCATTTTGGTTGCAATACAAATTTGAAGGGATTTACCAATATTTTACGAATCGTAAACACTTTTTAGCCTCGAAGCAAATTTTGTTTTGTTCCTATTGAACAGTAAGTCTTCGACATACATATACAAATCGCAAGGAAATAGCTTCCTTTATAAATTTTCGCACAATCAATTCAATTAATTAAAGGGTCATAGGAGAAGATCCGACCTACTGACTGATTAGGTAATTCTTCTTTCCTTTGACAAGAATGCCTCAGTTGGTAACAGCATCAACTTTGATTTATTTTTCTATTGATCTCTCCTAATTACAAGAGCATAAAGGAACTACCCACGGCTTAATTAAACAATCATTCGTATCGTCTAAACAATAACGGGGGAAAGTGAACGGCTATTACAAACAAAGATATTTTAACTAGCCTACTGTCAAATAGCTTACTAAACGTACATAAATATCAAGTCCTATATAAACAATAGTCGTAAATTTATTGTAGTCTTATTAAGATTAATACTGCTCTTACATATACACTCTTCGCCATTACAGTTTTATCTAATCAATGTGGGCAACTCTTATAGGTAAATCTAAATTTTCGCGATAGAGTCTGAAATATACCGATGATTCGATTAATTTAGTTTCCCGATAAGAAATCGCTATAAATAGTAAAGAGCGTCTTAAAGAGATTCTTCCCAGTTAATGAAGCGGTAGACGATTTGGGAATTGAAAGCACTTAAAAAGGCGGAAATTCGTAATTAAATCAATTTACAAAGTTTAAAACTTATGTAAAACTTATTCATTTATGCAGCAGTCAACTTTTCTCTTCCCAAACGGCAGGTGCAAAAGGTTATTTGTTTACGAAATATAAAGAAATGATAAATGCTAGATAATTTTTCAAAATGCCAACGCTTCTCTTTGTTTGTTCGTTGTTAGTGAATGGACTCGTTGTCGATTTATATGCAAACCTTTTAATTCAAGTAGATTCCCCTCTTACAAAACATTATAGTAGAAATTTAATCATCCAATAGGTCTATCTTCTCTTAAAATCTCTTTTTTTAACCAAAAAAATGTAATTCTTTTATGTTTAGTTCCCCAACCAGATAAAGTAAAAAAATTAAAATTCCTTAAATGCCACCTTATTATTAAGAGTAACGAAATAGATTTATTGCCTATCAAGGAAGGTTGAAAAAAGAAGTAGCACGTTAATGATATCTTCTAATTTTATGACTCTCATAAAATTATCATCCATCTGTCACATCTACTACTGAAAATATTTGAACGGTATATGCTGCATTTACGATATGGCCTGCGCTGATTGATATCTATATACTGCATAAAGCTATATACTTTAGATATTTATATTCACATTTCTATATTGTCTGCATATTTTGTAGAGCATTTAACAATCTTTAGTGAATACTTCTTAACTTTTATCCTTTCTCCGAATATTTCCGCAGCCTTTGTATTTGCCTCTTTTCGATTTCAAGTACGAATACAAATCGTGTTGAGGATTTTCGTCACGTGTATGACGTCACTTTGTACAATAGCACTAAATCACTCTGATCGACTACTTGGAAAATTTACTGAGAGCCTCAAAAAGGATTTGAATTCGTACTTATAGCTTTAAAAACGAGAGAAAGTTAGCACTAAAACGTAACAATTAAGGTAGAGAACCACCATAAAGTGGGATTAAAAAAGCCGATGGGCAGTTTTATTACTATTTAGTAAAACGATTTCCATCCATTAATTGGAACCAGTATAGACAGTAGAGTGAAGTTTGTAATATTAATCCGACAGTTACTTTAAAAGAAGACATCCCTACTATAATTAAACACGTATGTGGTATACGTTCGAAATAGAATACAAAGCGCTTCATCCAATCATGTGATATTAGCAATGTTTAGCAAGGCTTTAATCGATAACCGATACAAAGAATACCATCGTAATTTAATCCTACTATAGTACATCTGTTCATTTTTTTTACCCCACTAAAACCCACAATAATTTTCTTGCGAAACACGCAACATTCCATTCAGAATTTTCCCAAAAGAAATTTCATTGCGTAATGTTACGTTCAAACGAAACCTGTTTGCGTTTGGTTCATTTGACAGCTAGTTTGATCGGTTGGAGGGAGGGGAAGCGAGCAGTTTGTTCAAACAATTATAACTATAGAAACACGCCAGTGCGAATTTACTAAATCCAATATTTACAAAGACATTTTATCCCCAACGCAGGCGAGACCGCATGAACGATTTTGAATACCGTTCGGGTTTGGTATTGACAAAAGGTATGAGGGAATCGAATAGAGCCGAGGGAAACGAACTGCATTATTTCGTATGATATAGATAACAGAATAGAACGAGACGGAAAGATACAAAAAGAAAATAAAAATCAATACTCACTCTTGCAATATCTGGGAGCAGTATCGACCATGTAGCCCTCTTTGCAAACGCATTCACCCTGAATATCGTACCATTTGCCCTGATGAGAACAATACATTGTTGGACTGGAAGAGAGTGGAACGGAATTTTCTATACAACGGCCGGTCACTTTTCTCGGTGTATCATCAATAGCCGATGATGTTGTATTTGGAAATCTGGCTAATTTTGTGACACTGCTAGGACACTTTTCATAGAATATCCTCATTGTGAGCAAGAACGTGCACGTTCCTTCTTCTTGTATGGCTATATAAAATCCACCTTTCATTGGTCTAAACTTAAAAGATTCCGTGTTTATTGATTCCCATATCTTGCTTTTAGAATCGGTGCCTTCATAGAGTCTAGTACCCGGTACTTGTTTAATCATATTCCACGAAGATTTTTTCCATTCCGGGATTTCGCTATTAGCTATATCATCGTCGGCCTCATAGACTAGAAGAGAGAAGGATTGCTTGCATTGACTACAACGTCGCATTAAGAATTCTATTTCTATTGTGGCTTCTATTGCGTCTCTCCTCTTAATAAACGGAGATCTTATCCACGTTGGTTCGGGTTTAGGCCCTACAGGGCAAACCCCGATTCCCCTTATAGTTTGGCTATTTCTGGTAGCTGACGATTCTTTCCACTAAAAAAAGGAATCAAGGATAAGTGTATTTTCTACAGATAAAAATATATATGCAAATCATATAAGAAATTTTTCTTGGAACGAAGAGACCGTTCTTTGTTAAAATCAATAGCTTATTGACTACTGCTTTTTTATGCCTTTTTGTTCACGATTTCATTTGGCGACCGATCGATTACAACCGATTGAAAGAGGAGAAGAAGAGAGTATTCCCGGAGGAGAAACCGAAACGGTAAAACGAAGAAAAAAAAGTAACTCTGTAGCCATCGTTAATACATTTTCCTTGCCTTAATTTATTTTTATCTAACAGGAAGCTAACCAAAATGACTTTTATGGTTTTCTTTTCAAGTTTTTAAAGAACAAAATTACCAAATCGATAGCTTATCGATAAATTTTATGGATTTCGCTTAGATGCTTAGCTACTGGTTGAAGTAGGCTATTATAGTGCGGTCGTAACTTTCTAAGCCTATTATTTGTTGAATCGATGATTTCTATTGATGGTTACGTTTGTCTCATTATGATGACCAATTGGTTGCAATCGCCTTCCGGTTAGTAAGCTACCTTAGTGTACTTGTGTCATAATAAAAGTGGGATGAACCGTGAAAGAATTCTTATTTAAGATACTTTCCATTTACTTATTCCTGCGACGTTTGTCGATACTTTTATTAGACTGGATCGTTACACTTAACGGTTTTATTGATGATTTTAATAATATAATCGACTATAGAAGTAGATTACTCAGTTAAATTGAGATTTTTTATGCAAAAGAAATTATTTAGAAATTTTTCTACTATTCTAACACTTCTGGCTTGCAAAACGGAAAAGTATAAAGAAAATGCTATCTTTTGAACATTTCCCCTTTTGCTCTTTAAACAAAGGCAGCTATACATAAAATCTATCGAATTATTAGTTTTCTCAGGCAACTGTACATAATGCTAGAAGAAACTTAAAGGAAAAAACCGATTCTACGCCTTATATTTTCGAATATCGTATAGGATTACTATCTCTTTCTTCATCTCTTTTTACGTCTTCATTTTCTTCTTTTTAACACAAAAGTTTGTACTAAAGCCTTATTTAGATTCTAAATATTACAAAAGTTTTAAAAACATGCTTTTAGTAACTATTCTTTGATTCGCCTGCGCAGAAAATTCACGCTTAAATAACTTACCTAATTCAACGGAACTTATGTTTTTTAAAGAGTTTTATAGGATTAAAAACACGCTCTTCAGGTGTACCAAGTGATTCATACACAAACGCTGCGTATCCCTTGTTTTTAAGCTCTCAATATAAATGTTTTGCTCCAAATGATAAGTAATATTATACGATTTGTGGCGAATAGCTTAAAAAAGTTATCTGTACAACTCTTTCATCGGTAAATATCTTCTTCAAACGTAAACAGTTTGTTATTTTAGAACTTCTATTTTGACTGCCAATACTTAATTAAGTTGGAGAGATAAAAGGAGAAGAAATATGTCAAAATACTCTATGTTAAACTAAAATTCATGTTTTACTCAAATGTTTCTTCTCTTCTTTGTTAACAGACGATGATGTGGTAAAAAAATAGGGGAAAAGTTTAAAAGTTCATTAGCTATTGGAGATGGCCTTTTGTTCGAGAGCTTTTGTAATTAAGTACGGAATTATGGATTATATATGAATCATATAATGGGGTAAATTTACTTATCTCCACTCGTCCCTTTTTAAATTATTTAGTTTAGCAACCGATGATTCGGCCTAATCCAGACTATCTTAATTAGTTTCTATGCGTTTAAATCTACTTCTTTTATATTTTCCACGAAGGCTTCAGTAAAGTGAGTATAGGTTTTATTAAAGTCAGTTTAAAAAAGGGAAAAGTAATTTCATAACTTGTGACTTTTTAGAATTCCCCCCGCTGATTCACTGAATACAATAAAATTTAGTATTTTTTTTTTACCGCAATAGTCATATACGCTATTCATTGACCATACAAGAAATTCTTCACAATCGATAATCGATAATAATTAGGGTACAAAACGTTTTGGTAAAGGCTTTTCGTGTACTAAAAATAAAGACTTTACATTAGGAATATAATAAAAGCAATTATTTACAAATAGAACGAGAATAATATAGCAGAGGTAGATCCAGTCTAAATAAAATGCACGCTTAAGTGTTTACAGGCAGTAATAATATTGAATGTCTCGCCAAATATCAAATTTTAGCAGATGGTGTACGTTTGGACGCCGATGAATAAAAAAGAGAGGGAAAAACGAAATAAAGAGAAAATAGGTGTGGAATGAATGAGGTTGATGGTGGGTGGAGAGGAATAAACAATTTCCGTTTAATATTTCATTTAACGAATAATAAACTATGTTATTAGATTATGATCTGCTCATATACTATTTTCTCGTACAGATATAACATGTATGTGTATATAGCACGCAGAAAAACGCCTCTTTACTTGTATAACCATAGGCCAACAGGCGCACCAGATGAGATTTTTAACCTAGAAAATGGCTCTATCTAAAGTAAATATGAGCTAGATTTGATAGAAGATATAGAATATGAATGGGCGTATTGGAATTTTTTAATTAATGTAAAGTAATAAATAATTCAGAAAAAATTAATTTTAATCGCTTATCTTTAATATTAGAGAAAAAATAAACAAATACCTCCCCTTTAACAGGATTATCTAGTATCTAGAAGTCGGTATCAGTGATAGACGCGAAGATTATTGTGTCAAACTGATAATATCTTTGTTTAAGGGAAAAAAATCCCTAAGTGGCTACCTGGTGTCGCGTCTCTCCTTCTTTCTTTTCCTACTAGTTTTAAGACTTTACAAACACTTGAGAGTGGCATTTAACAATAAAAGGTTTTATAAATATATAAAAGCCCGTAAATAGAAACGCGACGCGTGACGCTTGAAAGGAGTGGGAAATTTCGTTTTGTCAAACTAATAAAGCGTACAGACGAAGGCTTTTTACCTATGGAATGCCCTAAATGAATTTTTAATAGCCTTGCACCAAGTTCAACCAGACGTGAATAAAGTAGACCGTCTGGACAATGGATTTCAATAGGAGGAAAGTAAAAAATATCGAAAATAAATAATAAACACCTGCCCTTCCCTCTTCAAGCGGCTAAAAACGAACCGAAATACAAACAATTCTCTAGGAAACCGAATCGTTTTAGTCAATACTGACCAACTTCATAAATCTCGTATGTCCTATTCGGAAAAAATACACCACCCACATCATTCATTCTGACCTTTGACCCTTTAATACGCGAAATTATAGCGCCGTTCGATAATTAAGCCACTGCACCTGTTTTCTCACGCAACCAGCAATGAGAAGAGTAGGAAAGGGTAACTGAGGGAGGGGAAGCGGAAGAGAAAGAGAAATTTTCATTAACGTTATAGTCTAGGGATTCAACTAGTGTTTCTCCAACGTATTTTCCTAGCAAATCATTCCTTATCTATCTTTTCAGGTGGTACCATAATACGATCAATAAAGATCCCTAATTCAGGAGGATTTACGCGTATTTACGTAGCTGCACTGTTTCAAGGTTGCAATGTATGATAAGAGAATCCGAAACAAGGAGGTTAAAAGTTGACAAAAAATAGTTCAAGCGTTTAGATCAGGGGAAATAACTTAATTCTATTCGGTATTCATATAACTTATTCCCTAAAGCTGGGTCCGGAAGAGCTAGTTTGTGAAGAACGTCTCTTATGAATAAAAGAAAAATAGTTTATATGCATATATACACGATTACGTAATAAGAAACATTGTCAGGGTAGCCCCCAGGCAATAACCATGATAGAAAAACAACTTTATTCCACCCATTTCTCTGGCAAAATAAAGATTTTCTAGTAGTATTTTGTAAATAAGAAAGTATACGCAAGTTTATAAAGTTGATTTCGTAATCGTATATTCATATCCAGGACTCGTAAATTTCACTATGTAACAATTTTTTATTTCTCTGAACAATATCCCTGAAAAAGTGTACTCGCCCGCAGAAAGCTACGTAAAGTTTCGAAATCGGCTATAAAATGGTAATAAATTTCGCTATAAATGAGAAAATGTGGACAATGGAAAAGCCGTTAAAAATCTTTCTTTCACTATCACCCTTTTCCGCTCTTTAGATGCTTGGCATGCTTACATACAACTTAAGGTGTTTTTGAATCTACTCTTCTGCTAACCCCTTTTAGGTTGAGGCAACCCTTGTTGACGGTAATTCACCAATATGAAATGATTTATAGAGGCGCCACTTGCACTAAACGATTTCCGGTTTAACACCCGCCGAAACACATCAGTAGTCTCTTTACAAAGAATGGTCTCATTGTTTGAACTACTTTTCATTCCATTGTTAAATCAAAAGATGACAAAGACAGTAGTAAAAATTTATTACATACCTCTTCCTTTCCAGTATTATATTTCCTCCACTCAATCGTTAGATCGCCAACCGTGTTAAATAGATCAACTGTAACAAAAAAGGGAATGATGAACATTCATAAATCATTATAGACGGAAAAAAGCCTATATTATATTTAGTAAAGGTCGATCGTAAAATTTTTTATACAATCTGCTTATCGTCTTTTAACGAATATAAAACTATATAATAGACGAAGAAATGAGTTTCGGAAGAGAAAATAAACAATATCAACATTGAAGTTAAATAAAAGTAAAAAAGGGAGCATTTATAAAAACATAAGAACGTATAAAGCATATATAAATATATGGATATATAGAAGTTAGTTTTCTTTCCGCGCCAAAATGGTTGGAAAATGTAATAATATTGTACTTATCAACAATTATTATCGCCCATCAAACGCCGACCGCACAGAGTCGAGCGCTTGTCAACGAGTATCGATAAGAGATAGCGTAGTTTAGATATTTTTTCGAATTGAAAGTATAAATAAACAAATATAGACGGTTTTTTTTTAACGTTCTACCTCATCTGTATTTTATTCCAACCGTAGAAAAGGATTATGGATTAGAGTCCACAGTAGAAGGGAAGGGTAAGGATTTCGGGATTAGCCGATGAATCGGACTGGAATGAGAGACAAAAGGCTGATAGGATTAATGGGCGTTGGGCGCGTAAAATCGGAAAAGTAAACAAAAAAATTAGAATGTGAATAATGTATGAACAATTTTTTGATGCTTATTTTCCTTTATTCACATCCTTTATTCTCCTTGAATGGGCATTGCCTAGCATGTGGTCATCGGCTGGTCAGCGTGTGCGCTTCATATTATATTCCCTATTTCGTATACAATTACTGATCAAATATTTCCATCGAAT